ACAAGGTCAAAGGTCATTCACCCAGGCTCGAGGTATTGCTTTTTGTGACCGTCTGTATGTCTGTCTTATTCGATTCTTCACTGCCTTATCCTTCCGTCTCCTCTCAACCTTCTATTCTACACTTTTTCTTCTTCCACCGTCTCACCCGTCCCCATATGTCTACCCTCACCCCTGCACTCCCCATGCCCCCACCACCCCGCTCTCCGCTCCCTCTCCCTGCCCCCTCTCCATGCCCCCACACCTCCTCTCCATGCCCCACCCCCTCTCCTACTACCCTGCTCTCCATGCCCCCACCTCCCTCTCCATGCCCCCCACCCCCCCTCTCTGCTCCCCCCTGTCTTTGTTTGGCGGGACGATGTGATCAGGTGGACCCAGGGCCAGGGTGCAGGTCGTTAATTTGATAACTGCTGGATACAATTGTCCTTCTTCCTTCCTCCCCTCCTTCCCTCCCTCCTCCTCCTCCTTCCCTCCACTCCTGCCCTCCACTCCTTCCCTCCACTCCTTCCCTCCCTCCCTGCCTCTCCTCCTCCCTCTCCTCCTCCCCCTCTCCTCCTTCCCCACTCCTCCCCTCTCTCCTTCCCTCCTCCCCTACCCTCTCCTCCTTCCCTCTCCTCCTTCCCTCCTCCCTACCCTCTCCTCCTTCCCTCCTCTACCCTCTCCTCCTTCCCTCCTCCTCCTTCTCCTCCTACCCTCTCTCCTTCCCTCCTCCACCCTCTCCTCCTTCCCTCTCCTCCTTCCTCCCTCCCTACCTCTCTTCCTTCCTCCTCCCTACCCTCTCCCCTGCCCTCCACTCCTACCTCTCCTCTGCCCTCTCCTCCTTCCCTCCTCCTACCCTCTCTTCCTTCCCTCCACTCCTTCCCTCTCCTCCTTCCCTCTCCTCCTCCCCCCACTCTCCTCTCTCTAAATGTTTGCTTTATTCATTCATTAATGATTCATCATTCCTTTTCCTCCTTCCATTCCTCTGTACTCTTCCATGATTTGTCCTTCCTTCCTTCCTTCCTTTTCCTTCCTTCCTTCCTTCCTTCCTTCCTTCCTTCCTTCTCCACCAGTTCGTCTCTTCCTCCCAATTAGTGTTTGTTGTCTCCTCCTCCCCCAACAGTGGCGTCTCCTCCCTCCCTCCCAACAATGGCGTCTCCTCCTCACCCCACACTCTTTAGCTGAATTATTACCGCTTTTACGAGATGATGGGATTGGCGCTGGTCGTTAGTGTAGGTAGTGGTCGTTAGTGTGAGAGGTGTGGGTAGTGGTCGTTAGTGTGGGGGTTTGTGTGAGTAGTGGTCGTTAGTGTGAGAGGTGTGGGTAGTCGTCGTTGGTGTGGGGTTTGTGTAGTAGTGGTCGTTAGTGTGAGAGGTGTGGTGAGTCGTCGTTGTTAGTGTGGGGTTTGTATGAGGGAGGGAGGATGAAAGGATAGGAGGCAGTATGAGGAGGGATGAGGACAGTATGAGGAGGGATGAGGAGGCAGTATGAGGGAGGATGAGAGCAGTATGAGGAGGGATGAGAGGCAGTATGAGGGAGGGATGAGGAGGCAGTATGAGGGAGGGATGAGGAAGCAGTATGAGGGCACAGTGTTGAGTGGCCCATGACTGTGGCACTGTTGAACATCACAGTTATTGGCGTCCAGGTACAGTGTGTGGGGGGTGGTGGGGGTGGACCCTCAACTCTCAAGTGTGAATTTAAAGCCGCTAGTGGGAGAAGACGGTGGGGGGTGTACAGTATCTCGCCAGATGAAACACTTAAGTTATAATAGAATAAGGAGGAGATGGATACCCGGTCTATGGATGCTTTTGTTGTAGATGTAGCGAAGTTTTGTTTAACCTCTTGAGTACGAGATGAATTTCCCCAGCTGAATAAAATCGTCAGGTGGCAGCCAGAGTAAAAGAAGGAAAAGATGATGTTAAGTTAAATGGGGTAAATTATTCTCTCTCTCTCTCTCTCTCTCTCTCTCTCTCTCTCCATGTGCCAGCGGTGGGGCGCCCCGGTACAGTGGTGGCTGGGACAACAGGTGTGGCCCGCTGCACCTTATTGGGTCAACCGGTGTTTGGTGATCCTCCTCCTACCATCCACCACCCTCCCTCACCTCTTACACCAGCCATAGTTCTCTCAGATTCTTATGTTAATTTGACCCATCTACGTACATATTAACCGAACGCTCACATTAACTAAGACATGACAGTCAAGTCTCTGTGTAATCTCGATGCCATTTTGACTCGCCATGTTTGTAGGTAGAGTGAGTCAGTTGGGTCACTCCTCTCCAGTTAGGGTGGCTATCACTCCCCAGAGAATGTGACCATCCCAGGTCCTCGTGTTTGGGGAATGAGTCACCAGTGTCTGGGGGTCGGGTTGGGACATCCCTGAGGTTGGCGACCAATCATGTTGTTGCTAGCCCATGACGTCACAGAGGCTGGTTTATGACGTCACGGGGCATAGACGCTCGAGAAGACCAGGTAGTGGTCAGGGCCGTCATCTCCCCCCCCCCCCTCCCTTGCCTTTGCGCCGTGGTATTTGTATTCCCAGGATACACATTGTTGTATTAGGTGTTGTATATCTGGACGAAGGCGTCTGGCCTGAGTGTGCGCATGTGTGTGTACAAATGTTCATCCACCTGCAGGACAGTGATCACTCAGCTGTACAACTCGGTATTCTGTTCCTCCTGGACCACTGTACAGTACACAGACATGATCATCACACTTAACAGCACGAGAAAAAGTACAACCCTGGATGACTATAAACTATTATTGAAGTAAGTGTTTCAATATCAATTACCCAGTGAAGGCCTTAGGCTGTCGGCTCCTCACACAAGACACTACAGGGCGGCACCTCGTACACATTAATTTTTGTTAAGGTGGAGAATAAAGTTAACCCGAACTTGTTACTCAAGGCGTCAACCACTACTAACCATATACAAGAGTGACTATTTTAAGTTGTAGTGTAGAGAAGTTATAAGGAAATACTGGGCATCAAAATAGCCCTGGACAAGACTATCAAAGAAGAGACTACACAATGCTCCTTCCCCCCGGCATGACCACCCCCTAGTTGTGTCTCATCTACACCTAGTGACCAGTGTGTCGTCCTCCCACACCTAAGAACATAAGAATGGAGGAAACTGCAGCGGTCCTATTGACCCATACTGGGCAGTCCCATTTACACCCAACCCCTATTGCTCATATAAGCATCCAACCTATGTTTGAAGCTATGCAGCGTATTCGAGTTAATGATGATGTTTGGTAACTTGCTCCACTCATCCACTACTCTGTTTCCAAACCAGTGTTTATCTATTTCGCGCTTAAATCTAAATTTGTCTAATTTAAAACCATTGTTACGAGTTCGCTCCTGGTTGGATAGTTTGAGTACCTTTGTAATGTCCCCTTTGTTCAGCCCTGACTTCCATTTATACACCTCTATCATATCTATTTGGCCAAGGTTAAAGTCGCCTACTATACAGACTTTGTTGTGTATGGAAGCCCTGCGCATTTCATCCCAGATAAGTCGCTCATTGACTCTATCAAGATTAGGAGGTCTATATATTACTCCTGTGATTAATTTTTCCCTACCGTCGATTAATTCTATCCAAATTGTTTCTGTATTCCGCTCAGTTTTTATACCCATGTTTATTTCACACTTCAGGTTAACCCTGACATAGACTGCTACTCCGCCTCCTTTCCTGGTCTGCCTGTCGGTATGAAACAATTTGTAACCCGCAATTTGGTAGTCGATAGGTAACTTACGTGAGCCTAGGTTGATCCATGTTTCAGTGAATGCTATTATATCGATTTCTTCGGTACATACCAAGGCCCTAATGTCATCCATTTTGTTTCTCATACTTCTACTGTTCGCGTAGTAGACATTTAGGTTAGTCGTGTTCTGAGTCGTCCCTTTACCGCATTTAGGTCTTAACTTGCTGTCTAATTTAGCTTTGTCATCATTCCTAACACTATTTACCTGTAACCTTTTACTTTGTTTACCCGCTCCCACTGCAGTCTCCTCCACCCCCGTGCCCATATGTTCCCCTAGTAGTTTAAAGACTTCGATATCCTTTGAACTGCCCCCTCTAGAGACCCAGCCAGGTTTGCCACCCCATCCCGAGACAGGTGTACCCCATCCCTAGCATGAAGGTCCCTTCTGCCGTAGAAGTTGTCCCAGTTGTCAATGAATGGGACTGATATTGACTTGCAATATCTGTCAAGACGGTCGTTGACACCAACCGCCCTTGACAACCATTCACTGGCAACTCTCCTTCTAGGCAGGACACCGCATATGATAGGGATCCCTCCCTTAGACCTAATATGATCTATAGCTGCCTTGAACTTATCAAGAAGCTCCTCGCTCCTACACCGGCCAATATCATTGCCTCCTGCACTGAGGTAGATAATGGGTTTGTTCCCATTACCAGACAAGATATTGTCCATCCTGTCAATTATATCCCCCACCCCAGCTCCTGGCAAACACACCTTCATCCTATTTTGTTTTTACCACAAAAGGCCCTGTCCAAGTACCTTACCTGTGAGTCACCAACAATTAAAGTTTTTATACATTACTTGTCAGCCCTGTCCCTGACTACTAACGTCCAATTCGTCTATCAAGGGACTGAATGAGTTGGTACACTTAGCTGTTGATGTCGTTGTTGACGTAACCTTGGTGTGTTTTTTCATCACCAGTTTGGTCTTCCCTCTCCTCACAACCTTCCACTCGCTTGAGTTTTCGTCAGACACGGGCTTTCCTTGTCTCGCCTCTTCCTTCATCCTCGCCACCTCTTCCTTTAATTTCAGGTTCTCCAACGTGGCCCTCTCTAATTCTTCCTTGGTCCTCTCCAGCTTGGCCAACAAACTCACACACCCCAGACCACACATAGCACTGGCCATATCTGATAATTATCCCTCGGGACCTAACCCTGCCTTGACCTTTCCCCTAGTGAGGTAGTGACCAGTGTGTCATCCTCCTACACCTAGTGACCAGTGTGTCGTCCTCCTACACCTAGTGACCAGTGTGTCGTCCTCCCACAGGTACAGTACCACGCCGACTTCGAGAAGAACAAGGCCAAGTTCACCCAGGTTGCCGACGACCCAGAGACTCAGCGGCTCAAGAAGAACACTCAGATCATCAGGTGAGTGGGGGGGGTCCTGGGAGGAGGGTGGGTGGGTGTCCTGGGGAGGGAGGGGGGTGGGTGTCCTGGGGAGGAGGGAGGGAAGGTGGGTGTCCTGGGGAGGGAGGAGGAAGGTGGGTGTCCTGGAGGGGAGGGAGGTGTCCTGGGGGAGGAGGTGAAGGAGGAGGGAAGGTCCTGGGGAGGGAGGGGGGGAAGGAAGGGTGTCCTGGGAGGGATGGAGGGTGGAGGGGAGGAATGGAGGTGGTGTCGGGGAGGATGGAGGAAGGTGGGGTCTGAGGGAGAGGAAGGTGGTGTCGAGGGAGGAGGGAAGGGAGGTCCTGGGGGAGGAGAGGGTGTCCTGGGGAGGGAGGGAGGAAGGAAGGGGTGGGTGGGTGTCCTGGGGAGGAGGAGGAAGGTGGAGGGAGGGGAAGGAAGGTGGGTGTCCTGGGGAGGGAGGAGGTGTGGGTGTCCTGGGAGGAGGGGGAAGGGGGTGTCCTGGGAGGGAGGAAGGTGGGTGGGTGTCCTGGGGAGGGAGGAGGAAGGAAGGTGGGTGTCCTGGGGAGGAATGGAGGGAAGGTGGGTGTCCTTGGGAGGGAGGAGGGAAGGTGGGTCCCAGGGGAGGGGAGGGAGGGAAGGTGGGTGTCCTTGGGAGGGAGAGGGGAGGGAAGGAAGGTGTGTTGGTTATATATATATCAGCCATTTATAGTTTGTACCCAGATATAGAAAACCTCTCACCACTACTTAAGTTTTCTTTATGAAGTATGGGGCAATATATTGTGGCTCTTATAGGAGTTGTTATATAATTTCGTATCTTTAGATTTACTGTATAATAAGTAGTAATAAGTTCATTTAAGACATGTGGGTAATGGTTCACCAGGATGTTTTACACGTCAGAGGAATACCAAGACTTCATACCTGTGCTGTATTATACTAACTAATACCATCAACACACTCGGTAAAGTTATATATAAGTGACATCTTCAATTATTAAGACTGGTGAAAGTTTAGTCAGTTTAAGGCATCAACGTCACTGATGAAATTAAATAAGGTAAAATAAGACAAAATCTGACTACAGGTTGACATTATGGAAACTATTTTATCATTGATGTGTCAAGGGAGGGAATATATATAACTTATTGGTCTATAAATACTGTATAGAATCAACATTACCTTCAGCTACATTATACTACATGTCTTGGCTGTAGGGTTTTTGTAAGAGCAGTGAGTCGTCTTAAGCCCATGTACAGCACTGAATGTCTAGATACTTAAAAACAAAAACAACTAATTTATACTTTTTGAATAATAATCATACCTAGTTGTGAAGAGATGCTTACAATTATTTTTTTTAATATTTTTTTATTGTTTTTTATTTTTCGGTACTTCTTTGAAATATATTTTCCTGGAGTATCATTTAGTATAATATGAAATGCCTATTCAATGCTGTCAGAGAGAGATGTTGTATATAAATGGTACAGTAACATTAAATACAGTATTCAATGCTGTACAGATGTCTCCCCCTCCCCCCCCCTCCCTCCAGGTGAAAAAACTGAACAGTATTTAAATCAGAATCACTATAACATGGGTTTCAATAAGATACGTTCCCAGCCACTCGGACACCTCCCCCCCTCCCCCCACCGTCTGTTTAACCTGTTTGAAGTTGAAAACCCTGAAACTGTCTGTCTGTGTGTGTGTGGGGTAATATTCAGGTGATCCATGGGGGTTTGGCTAAGATTACAAATGCCGAACGAGTACTATTCTCTTTCACGACCTCGGCTACATAACGGACACGTCGTTCGATTGATTTCACACGGCAAGATACTATTAACAGCTCTTATTAACGTTTGTTACTCCCTGTGGCAGCAATGTGATATATCATGGTGAGCTGGCCAAGAAAACGGAGATGGAACGCAAGCGAGCGGAACCCAACGAAGATGATGAAGGTAACGATTCCTAATGTTTGTTTATCTTATTCCAGGTAAACCCAATCCAGTTAGTCCTTACCTAATATATAATGGAGTCCTTAATTAAGTAAATGTGATATTTTATAATATTTTATCCTATACAGATCCACATGATAATTTACAGCTGCATTGTTAGATTTTTTTTGGTCGCCCTTTAGTTCAGGTGACAAATTTAGGTCTTATGATTTTTTTTTACGTACAATAATAAGAGTTTTGCACATCAGTCAGTTGTTAATTTTTATGGTAGATAAATCTTCACTTTATTTGACTGCTTGGGGTTGATCCTGAGTGGAGAATATGGAGTGGTAATGTGTACAGTCTCCTCACTTGTGGACGATCTGATATTTCCCAGTCAGTGAGTCTAGGGAGGGGAAGTAGTATCTAGAAAAACTCCTTCAGAAGTTCCAGATCATTAAACACTAAAATTAAGTTGTTCGGAGAGATAAATACATCAGGAATATAATAAATACAGGTACAGTATTATTCAGTATACTGTATTGGCTATCATTCTTGAGAGGATTTTTTTTCTTACCCTTGTAATGTGTCGGATAGTGTACTGTATAGTGAGACTTATAGTATGCAAGATTACAGTACAGGCTGTAACTGCTGTACAAGGGAGTGACAACTGATGAAAAGTACAGTACTGTATTTATTAAACCTTGAATTAGTACCAGATGTTGTTTTCCATATTATGATAATACATTAATTACATAATGGCCGTACTGAGAGACTTGTGTTATGCATCATCCGGCTCAGAACCCAGCAGTAAAATAGCTAGAGACTAATCACCTGCTGTACTTAGCTTTACATTCTAGCTTTAAACAGAGCATTGAAAGGTGTACGGTACAGTATAGTATTACAAGTATCCGTGTACTGTACTGTACTGTATTTTAGGATGAGCAATTAACAGGAACTTCAAATTCGGGAGGAATAAAGTTTAATTACATTCTTCACAATGATCTGATCCGATTCTGTTCCTACTGATTTTACTGCACGTCCTGTACCTATAATCATTAGGGTCGTCGAATAAACTAATGACTGTATTTAAAGCATAAGATGAGGTGACTCGTGAGCCACATCATCTGTTCAGTCATACCTTGGGTGACTCGTGAGCCACATCATCTGTTCAGTCATACCTTGGGACAGACAGCAGCAAATCATCATTCAGTTCCAGTCGCTCGTGTTCTGGGCCGCTTGTTCCACCTAGGGATGAATATATGTTGAAGTGCCGTGTGTCTTGTACCATGTGTGAAGGGCACTTGGGCTTTACATCCATGGTGTGGCCTCCTTATTGTTTCATGAGGCAAGAACTTGTTTTGGTATGACTCAATTCAAGCCTCACTCATGAGTCTGTCTGTGATGCTTAATTTTTATTCCTATTGTGTCAAGATTTTAATTAATATCACAATAATTATTCAGCCTGTCATATATAGACTGATTTTACTAAATATCTATCTGATATGTGAAACTTTTTGTTACCACCACCTACCATTCAGTCTGACTGGGTAAAATAAATGACCCAGGATAGCCATTAGGTTAAATATGGAGAAATGTTTCTGAAGTCACTTATTATAACTAAAGTCAGGCTCAGTGACTTGGCATGTCTCCTTCCTCTCGCAGGTGTTTTATGTGGTGGTTGGCAGTGATGGCTGGACTGTTGCTCCCATAACTGAACAAAGGACTGGGTTAATGTCCTCTGCTGATGTACCACATGACTTGTCTGGCTTTATTCTTTAATTGACTTCACCTACATGTTTTTAAGACTTCCTCAGGGCTGTAGTTATTGTTGAAAGGTAATTCTAATCATATGATCAGCCCCTAGCCACTTTTTATATGAGTTCTGACCTGGCAGACTTTGTTGGCTACATAACACAAGTCCAGCCTCAGTTACGAAGTGGGATATCAGTACTGTATTAATCATCTATTTTTAACCTTTTACCATTTGTGAATTCAGGTTGATATATCCATTGTTGTTTTTGTTTTAGACGCCATCAACTGCCTGGGTCATTGAGGGCCATTCACAGGTTGTAAATTTTGTGATAAATGACAGACAGTATTTACAGATTACCTGGATATGCTCAACAAACAGTGTACATATCCTTATTGCTCTCAGGCAGAAGCAACAAAGCTCATACAGTATTCAAACAGTTATGTGATTTGTTTTAAGTTGTACAGTACAGAAATTAACGAGAACTTTCATGGTATTTAAGATATTGTTTAATGGAGCAACATCTTAAGAATTCATCCCACTACGACTGTATCTACCAGGGAAACTTGAAATTTGTCCTGTTTACGCACAATCAAAAAAGTGTCTTTACAGTTTTGTGTTAGACAAAATGACAACGGACGAATGATTTTGACAACCCAATCAGGACAACAGGAGTCACAGCAGCAGTGTTCATTTTGATACCCATCCTAAAGATAATTTTATTGTGAGTGTGTGTACATAAGGACGGTCACACTTAATTCTTAATCATATACAGCATAGAGTCATGATTTATTAAAGGTTTCTTACACTCGGCTAAATTCATGATCATTAACTGTACTTCCATGTAAAGTGTCAGTCTGCATCTTCAAGTACAGTATTCTAGTGTGTTTGGTAGAGTATTGTAGCCATGAAGTGAGAACATTGCGCTGTGGTGGAGATCACTGCCACTTAGAGGAATGGTCTCCTTACCTGAGTCTGCAGAATTTTGGGAAGGACCTTTACCTTTGAATCTACATTTGGTGTGATTAAGTGAATTGTGTCTTTATTTTCTCTACAAGATATATTTATCAGCCTTTGTAATACTCATCATTCATGTTGTTAATGCTGTGTATTGTGTAGATGAGCTAGTGGAAGTAGATACTGTATTATTAAGAAAAATATGATCAAATTTGTAATACCAAAAACAGTTACTTGAGATGGTACAGTAGTTTTAATAGAGAAGGTGATGGTTAACAGTAAGAGGAGTAGCAACAGCAGCTGATTGAACACCAACTTAAGTTGATGTGTTCTGGACAAAGACTCTGTGTCTGAATGTCCAGATCTGTCTTGGTTTACTAGGTACTATAGTTGGCTGGCTAGCTAGTGGCTTTACAACATTTACTGAAAAGTGTGTTGTCAAATGTGAAACATCTTGATCTGTCCTCTGCACTTGTATATGACTGTAGAGAATGTCCAGAAAGACAAGGGAGGTACAGTTAGTGTGTATCTGCCATCACACGCGCTGGGGCTACATGGTTTAGTTTACTGTACTTGTGTTTTCTAAGTGACCAATAAGTCGAGTGCAGTATCAAGTGTGTGGCAGTGAGGAATGCCAGTTTTAAAGTCATTAAGCTTACCAATGAATTCATATACTGTATTTCTTTAAAGGAAAAGCAACGAAAGAAATGTAATGAAAGTAAATGCATGGAACATATGGATCAATTAAAGTTAAACATTGTTAATTGGTATAAACTGCTAAAGCCTGAATACAGTACAGTTAAACCTCATTATTTCAGACCTCACTACTTTAAACAAATTCACAAACCTGGTACAGGTGTACAGTACGGTACTTCAAACAAATGCAGTACAGTACGTATATGAAATTTGAAATTCTAAGCAAATTCCCAATGATGTAGGCACAAATGCCTCTAAATACTGCACGTAGTATCCAGCAGTTCAGTTAGATGAAGGGAGTGAATGCAGGGACTGGCTTTTTTCCTCTGGCTTGGCCGTCCAGTCCTGTAGTTTTTATAATGCCTTCTCCTTCCTCCTGGCTTAATATTACTGTATTTAGGGGCAATAGCAAGAAATTGAGAAAATATGGTGAAATCCATAGCTAAACAGCACAGAAACCTTACCGTTTCCCAGAGCTTCATAACTGGCCAGCTAGAACTGAAGAAACACTGGGTGGATTGTGCTAGATTCACTCATATCCAAAGGTAGCAAACATTGGTCTTGGAATGTTCGGTGCTGCTTGGGCAGTTAAAAGTTCTCAATGAGATTTCCAGCCATTCAGGGCGACCACTGTACCACATCCCCTTGATATGAGGCAAACAGTGCATGAGGAAGGGAAAGGTAATCAGTACAGTACAGTGTATCTAAAAGGATTAACAAATTAGCCCTGGATGATGATATCAGGGCTGATCTCAAGGACAAAACAGATCCAGTAAGTTGCCCTGTGAGAGATACCAGGCTACATGATCTGCCAGAAAGAGAGGTTCCTTGCAAGACCACTCCTTCATTTGTGTTAGTGTGTCATAATAGTGATCATAAAGATGTAACCTCCTCCCTCAACTTACATCAAACACAGCTTGTATATGTAACAATAGTCCTGCACTGTACAACAATTGTTCTGGTGAGCACAGAGTATTTTATAATTTTTCTTGTAAATCTTCAAAAGGGATTGTTGCTTCATTCTCACTATTCACAACATGGTTCAAGTTTGTGTTAATTACTCACATACTTTGTATAATTTGGTAAATATGGAACTTTTTAAGCTTCAGGAAATTCATACAAGTTACTGATACACTTAATGTTTACTGAAAATTTCTCATCACTGTTTAATAATGAGGAGGTTGATGATGGTGAGAACTGTCTGTATGAAGCTAATCTTTCTGCAGGATAATATAAAATAGAATAATCTTGGTTGATAAAAGAAAAAAAAACAGAACCCAAATAACGGACAAAGTGGTCTTGGTGGATTAAAGAAACGTTGCTCTCAATATACATAAAAGAGTGTCGTGTGATTGTTCAGTGACGTATGAAACTATGAAATAAAGTTTGAAGACTGGAATAAACAGTTGTTGTGGGGTGTAGCATGTAGAACACTGGTATATGGGAGAAGAGTAGGTGTAGTGTACGATGCATGGAATAACCCTCATCTCTTCTCCAGGCGGTGTAAGGGGACTTTCTCGGTGTAACATTAACCCGGTACTGTACTGTATTTTCTACTTGGTTTACCAGACCTGTGGAGCATGACTAAATATTATAAAAGATGCTACTAATTAATAACAGCTTATACCATACCACACCAACCCATACTGTACCTTACCATATTATGCTGTACTATACCATATTATACTGTACTATACCATATTATACTGTGCTATACCATACCATACTGTACCTTACCTTACCGTACTATACCATACCAAACCATAACATAACCATCAAGTGTTTTGAAGTCAATATTAACCAGATTGCGTAGAAAAACTCACTGAAATATTCAAGTCCAGATAATGTAGTAGTTTTAAATATTATGGAAGGGGAATAATGCAAGGCAACAAAAGTTAAACCTTACCTGTCTTTGGCAGCAGAAGATGAAGGCTTATCTGCCCAGTATCTATCCCCCTGTGTGAGAGCTCTGTTGGAAGGGGCAGCCACATGAAACCTCTTCCCTCACACAGTCTCTTCACTGACCATCTCCACTGTGGAAACTGATACCACTTAAATATTTACTGAAGAGTATGTGTGGTAATATGGGCACAGAGGAACATGGAAATTTTTGTTCTTTCTTAGAAAAATTATATTCAGAATTCAAATTAACATTTGTCTTGATAACTTCACCAAAATGTGATGACCATTTACGCCTTTTGTAAGTAATAAAATTATAACTTTACTTAAAGCATCATATAGTACAGCATCATATAGGACAGTATTACAAACTCACTGGTAAGGATGGTGTCCAGTTTGTGGTTTTTATTCACAGTACAGTATAAGGTACAGGATCTTTTCAAGTACAGTGCAGTGCATTTCCTGTATTAAATTTCAATACAAATACTCACTAAAGCACTCCTAAGTTACCTGTAGCAGTTAATAAAGGTATTCCTACAGTACTGTATTGCCTTTTCATTTAAGTCACAAGTGAAAACTCTGGATCACAAACAAAACTCCCGTCACCTTCTCTGCTGCTCCACCACCCCCAAGATTTAGACTCGTGAATATGAAACATTTATGAATAGAATAATGCATCAGTGTCTGAGTCTTGGGGTTCGTGGAGCAGCAGAATACTGTAGGTAACAGGACTCTTGTTTGCGACCGTTCATTTTGTTAAGGGAAGGTAGATTATTGTGGATGATGGAGGTAACTTTGGTTAATTATGCATGCTGGTATACTGTTAATATTACTGACACTCGCTTGTAGTTGCTCTTACTTCATTCCAAAAGATGAGATTTAGATTTGCTAAAAATATGTCGAGCTTTATGAAATTTTATTTTCAGCAACATAATAGTGACAAAAGTTAGAAAATAGGATTAAAGAAAATGTACAAAATAGCTTGCCGGAAGGATTTAGTTTGTGTAGTAGCTTGATACTTAACCTGTTAGTGAATAAGTGGTGCTCCTACACAGTTATGATAAGTTGTTACCACAGCATTTTACAGTACACATTTTCACATATCCGTTGAAACATTGTTACTTAACTATTTGACAAATTTCATAACCGAATGACAAAACACATATCGAATGACAATCTAAAATAACTGTTGGTGGTATGTCATTCTTCAATTGTTACAGTCTCAAACATATATATGTAGACTCGGTTTATTGTTCACGGCCAACTTCATAACTTATATCAATCATTTCCGTCAGCATGAACGAACAGTTATATTAGATTGTCATTCGATGTGTGTTCTGTCATTCGGTTATGAAATTTGTCAAATAGATATGTAACAATGTCTCAACGTATATGTGAAAAGGTGTATTATAAGCCTTGTTAGCACCGTGTTACCCGAGGGGGGGACTGCAACTTTACTAATTTTTCCCATTAAGTTGAAATGTGCACTGTTGCTCAGCATGATATTAAGTTAATGCATTAGGGGTCCATAATAGCATGGCCTCAAACCTGGATGTAGTTATAATGGCACTAAGAATTCCACTATACCATTCCAGAGCGGTCCCAATGGCTTGATACTTTTGGAGGAGACATTGCCACAGCCTCTGCATCTGTCCACCATAAATTAGCCTCTTACGCACAAAATGATGACAGTGTTGCCTATGAGTACGATCAGGAAATTTCTGCTTCCCCAGATTCCCGTCAACCCCATGATTATTCCTACTCCTCAAACTCTCGAACCAACGTCCCTTCCCAACCATACCACCACCACCAGTCCTCCACAGCTCACCCTTCATCCAAACAGTCGAGATCAAACAATAATCCTTCTGCTTACACACACAAAGAGAATCCCAATCCCTCTCCCGGTTACCACCCGTCCTCTAATTCACGAGCCCCCAACGCCAACACCCAGTACCCTCCAGATTATATTGATGAGAGAGGTTATTACCATTATCCTGAGTCTATGGATGGACAGAATGCTTCTGATAACCACTATACAGGCAAGCCTGCAAATGGTTCAAGTGGGTCTTACCCAACTAGCACTAACAGACACGGTGCTTCACATTCAAATTACCCGACTAACAACCATTATGCAAGTAAGCACTAAAATTTTATTTTTTCTTGTTTTTTCTTGTTGCCCCATTGTCTTAGAAGTAGCTAGTGACAGTTGCTCTACTTTGGCTTCAGTTGCTTAACCACTAATGTGTGATGTGTGCTGGTACAGTAGCTACTAATCCTTAGATGCATTTGAATGGTAATTGTCTCCAGGTATTAGTTTTCCAGGCAATGGTACATCACCCAGAACCTGTTTATATTATAACTACATGTGTGAATACAGTGCGGTGATTTATTGCAGTAATTTTTTTATGTTGATATACAGTGTTACTATCCAAGACTTGGTGTACCAATCCTGTAAGAGGGCGATGATGACTTTATTATCACTCCTGAAGCTTTGCATCATATTGGATATTGTCCAGGTGAATGTGCTGCCCACGATGACTACGCTCACACTGGGGAATGTTTTGTGTACTGGACTTGTGCAGTTTCTCTGTTTGTTTATATTAATTGTGTGTTGCTTGCTGTGCTTCCTGAGCATTTTATTGATATTTTGTACATAGTTAGTTGGCTTTACAAGTGTGTCAAGGTGACTTACATGTGTTCTCTTAAGTCTTGTTATTATACTTGTGTTGCTGCATGGGCAGGTAGAGAGCAGCAGTAAAACATATCTGTATGCAGTGAATGTAAATATCTTGTCAGAGCTGTTGCTTTCTTCTGTTCTTGATTTTAATTAATCACATTAGCATATTGTGCATGGTATCTGTGCTCTTGAGTTTAGCTTGGTTGTTTGTTTGTGGTAGCTGGAGCCCCACCACGTGATGACATTAAGCGGCAGCAGGAACAGCATCTGCAGCAACAAATGCAGCAGCACCAGCAGCAACAACAGCAGCAGCAACAACAACAACAACAACAACAACTACAACACCAACAACAACTACAACAGCAGCAGCAGCAACAGCAGCAACAACAGCAGCAGCATCAGCAACAACAGCAACAGCAGCAGCAGCTTCACCAGCAGCAGCTACAAAAGCATCATCAGCAACACCTACAGCACCAGCAACAATCTTATGCTGCTCCCCACCAACAACAGTACAGTGGACCTCCCCCATCCTCTCAGCACCGACACCCATCCCAGCCTTCCTCCACCTCCTTCCTCCATCACCAGCATCAACAGCAGTACCAGCCACAGCAGAAGCAGCAGCCTCCTCCCACCTCATCCTACCATCACCATCCTACTCCCCAGAACATGTTTCACGATGCAAACCATAACTCGCCGTACTCCGCCCGCACATCTCAGACTCTCATCTACTCCAGTCAGACTGGACCAGGTACAGTAAATGATCTAGTATCAGGGAGTAACAGAAAGGTAGTACAGTATATAGCTGGTAATTGGGAGGTATGCAGATAAAAATGAAAAAATAAATAAGCCACAGTTGAGTAAAGTTAAACAACTATGAATACACTTGGTACTGCATGTTGCCATATAGTGTGTTCATTTTAATGCTTCTCTGAACCTTTCTTATTGATCAATAAATTAATAGATTTAGTTTCATTGCATTTTCACAGTTTGCTATATTTTATTTAGATGATTTGAATACCAATCCATTACATTTTGGGTCAGTGACAAATAAAAACAAAATAGAAATGCCTAAATTATTTTTAGTGTCATACAAGAGCTGTCAGTGGCTGGTATAGTACTGATGTTGCCAGAGACAAGATTAGTCATCACTTTTGACAACTAGAGGGAGACAAAGATAAAGTAATTGAAGTTATATTTGTAGAAATTAGTGTTGAGAGAGAACTGTGTGCATACATGTGTGTGTGCATGCGTGCGTGTGTGTGCATGAGTGTGTGCGTGTGAAAGAAGGCCCCCTTGTCTCTACCAGTCTAAGCTCATGATCTCTTGTTTATTTAGTTTCTCATATTTATTGTTTTATGGCCATGGTCTCAGTGGATGACTCACATTATCAGTCTGTGTACTGTGATGGAACACTTACAGGTATAGTATACTGTACAGCAGTGGTCCCCATCCTTTTGTAGGCTCTTGGCCACATTTGTCATTGTCAATATAGAGGAGGGCGCCAAAACTTTGGATCTACATTCAAGGTAAAAAAGTAATCCTATATAGTATACAGTTATTTACACTTTTACACAAGTCTAACTGTTTAACTGTTACCAGTTTTATACTTTTTACACTTACTCTTGGATCATGCTAGCTCTCTGGCCCCGGTCTGTGGTAAATACACACGTCTTTTACATGACAGATTTGGGATAAACAGGATTTCTCTCTCTAAAGTCGTATAAGTTACGACATATTTTCATTCTGGCAGAGATTCCCAATTATTTCACAGTTTTCTAATAAACCCTTGTGGGCTCCACAATATGGTACCCAAACTACAGGTTGGGGACCAGTGCTGTACAGTATCTTTTGAAAGAGGAGCCAGGTTGCTGCAAACAACTGCCTCTCCAGCTAAAGCTAGTTCTTTAATTAATAAAGGGTTCCCAGGTATTGTCATTAAAGATAGACAGGCAATTGAGTCGTACCATTTCTTTCAACACAACGCCATGATCTCTTCCTCTGACCACACACACAGGGTTGTAGAGCAGTACTGTACTCTTGAGTTCCTAGATGCAAGTGCATATCATTGCACAGTATATGCTTTTTCATTTGCTCTTACACCACCTTTCCATTGTCTCTTGTTTTTACATATATAGTAGAGTAAATGTAAAACATGATTATTCATTCCTTTGTGGCTTTGTTGAAAACATACATTACAACAGGCTCTGTCACCTTTACATTTTATCAAGGTAAGGTTTTACAGTATGTATTACCTTATGTTTCTGACCCTCTTATGGTAATGTGACTTTGGTTTTAGCTGGAAAGAATCTGTTCATAACAATCTTGCCACTTTCCTAAGATTAAATTAAGAGTTCCATCACCAAAACTAAAACCAGCTGAAAATAAATTAGTCACCCTTTCTGGCTACCGACATAATATGAGTTTTCTTTGTCATTCCTCTTCCTTCTATTTTTTTCTGTTGAAATTACAAGTGGAATAAATGTATGGTTTTCCAAATGTAAAGTTTAAAATGCATGAGGTTCTCTGTCAATTATAATCCAGATTAAATTCCTCAATAATTTATCCAGAATTGATACTCTTATCTAAATAGTTAGTGGCAGAATTATCAACATTTTCACATATGTTTCTGGATACTAGTAATGGTAAGTACCTTAAAATTGTTTGCATGATTTGATGGGTTTTTTGTGGTTGCTGGCAGTAGTATCCTTGTCTGTCTTAAAACACTATGACTTTTTAATGCCTCTCTGTCTCTCTCGTCCCATTAATGTGTCTGCAGGGGCTGTAGCATTTGATATTTGCAGTCAATAGTGTTGCATTAAGTAGTGCATTTCATGTTTTGTAATGTAAGCAACTAATCACCACTAGCAGAGACTGTATGAAACAGGTGCACTATGTTACCCAGTGTGGATGATTGGGTGGGTGTACTGTACTGTATTGTCTTGAAGCTGCATTGTGTTAATATCTTCTGGTGTCTTCGGTACTATTATTTATTCTTATTGTTTATGATCTCTTTGTATCCAGCTCCTCAGTACTGTATGTTGATGCTGGACTGTGTATGTGAATATGTTTATGTTGCATTTATTCCAGCCGTGTGGACCAGCTGAAGTGGTTTCTTCATTCAACTCTGATTGTTCTGGATAGATTAGCTTCTTCCTGAACCTTGTATCTCTAAAATTCTTCATAGAATTTGTTTTTTTCAGGGTCTTGAAGGACAGCCATTATTGAGAGCTTCCTGTCTGGTTATGTGTTTTTATCCATATACAGCAATGATATTTAATGATCATATATTTGTTTTAATAAATACATAATGGAGCTACAATGGTAAAATATTGTTCTGTTATGTTATATAGTTCAGTCTAGGAGATAGAGGTGCAGTAGGTAGTTGAAGCTTCTCCCTAATTGAGTGTACAGTTAAGACGCCCTACAGAAGTTCAGTTACGTGCTATCTACCATGTGCTTGTACACATACAAGCATTAATGTAGGATCATATTTACTGTACTATACAGTTCATGTGCTGTAAACTAGAACTCGGTGTAATGTGGGGGTTATATTTCTGTACAGTATAATATTACATTGTTGGAATTGGAGTTATAGAAATGCTTAGATACATGAGAATAATCACCATGTTCATGAAAATACTTAAATCTGTGTTGCCCTCCCAAATATTGATAGAAATATGGAATAGTTTGTGTTGCCAGTGAGGAGTAACTTCAAGTTTGCTAATAATACACTTCTTGATTTGAAAATATAGAACAAAGTAAATTCAGAATAGTATAAATATTTCACAGATGATGGTGTTGGTATTGGAGGCAGCCTGTGATGTGTGGCAGGCAGAATTCTATCATAGTTTCAAAGTTGAAGCAATTACAGTATTCATTTTTTTGTGTGTTAGCTGCAATGTCATTAGAAAACTAAATAAAGCCCTGGGGAACCTTCAGAAGTAGTTGACAGAAAGCACAAGCACAACATATGGTTCACATAACACAGTAATAATCCTGGCATAGTGCAAGGGGGCTGACACTGCTCCCATGACCCACATCTTGAGGGTGTCCAAGGGTGGTAAGTTGTGATTTTTCTCTTGTGACACCACTTTTGGATGGCCACCGAAACATGTTTGGAGTTTATCTAAAAGTCAATTGGGAATATTAGAAATGGATGGAATACCTTGATGGTGAACATACAAGAAGTGAAGTGCTGTAATGAATGGTTTACCTAAAGATACAGTATGGAACTATGATGAGCCATGGTGATGCACAGCTCGTTTTTTATGCTACACAAACTGCACCTTATTTAACATTGTCACAGTTCAGCTTCTCGATACCATATCATTTGCCAACTATGGAATAGAATAATAATAATTTATATACATAGCCAGCAAAGCCATCAGATGCTATTTCGAGTAGGGTCCTTCAGCCAGCAGCATCTGGCGTTCCCAGGCGGTGACCCATCCAGGTGCAACATTAACCAGACCCAACATTTCTTAACTTCACTGATCAGACGAGAAATGTTGTGAGGTGCTGCCAGCTAAAGAAGAAAAATGTATCTGTTTGACTCTTCATCTATTTAGAATAAGATTAAGAGCTTGCCTTATGCCTCATTGCCTGCCTTGAAGGTAGGCAATAGGATTATAACTGTGAACCTTGTTTATGACGTTATAAAATGGGGTGCAGTTGTTGTAGTAGAAAGAACGGGCTGTGCAGGACCACGCCTCGTCACATCACAGGGCAAACCAAGACCAATAAGCTGTCATCTTGAGAGAAGGGTTCCGTGCAGCAGAGTGATCCTTGGACTAACACCATTCACTACGGCCTTGGGCTTCACTGGGAAAGTCCTTAATAGCTTGGGAGTGTATTATGTTAACTTATTCCTGTATTAGTTATAAAATGGTAGTCCAGGACCACATTTCTTTTTCTTGATTTAATAATTAATCTCTTAGGGTTAAGAGGAATTTGTGTTAATCATTTAAAATTGTTGACTAAATGGCTGTGCTTAAAGCTAGAGTTTATGGATTATTCTCATATATAGAAAGGTATAAACTTAGTATGCACAGCAAGATGTATTGCAGAGTGTACGTAGAAGGTAAAGGATTTTAGAGGGGTGTAAAGTTGTATTGTAGCAAGTTACCTAATATAACAGACAGTTTTAAAAAGTTTTGAATGGGGAACTTAGATAACAGGGGATTAAATATTAATTTATACCTTAAAACAAACAATGTGAAAGAAAGTATAAGTGAACAAATGAAGGCTGTGAAGGTATGGCAACATTCAAGGTTATATGGCAGAAGTGTCCACGTACAGTGCAATATTGTGCACCTTGCAGAGGAGGAGGTTGAGAATGCTTGTGAGGTTTTTGAGGGAGCCAGAGGGAAGGGGTACTGGAGTTAAACTTACTCTGATGATGGTTAATGTGAGTGAATGGTCACAGAAGGTAAAGAAGATGAAGTAATTTAAAGAATTAGAGCTCCAGTGAAGGTGGTAATATAATGACACACTGTGGACATAGAATCTCTACATGAGGATATCTACCGTACATGGCGATGGTATAGAGAAGAGTTCTGTCTGTAAGAAAAAACTTGCTGCACTATTTATATCATTGTAAGTACAGTACAGTATTCTATTATCAGAATCTGAAGCTACTCTGTCTCCCAACTAGATGATCTACAGATGATGTATGGAGTAGAGTATGGGATGGTAGGGGATTGGTCTGAATTATACTGGCCATCTGGAAGAAATGAAGTGGTGGCAATGCATCCCCCTACCCATGAACAGTCTTACCAAGGGGCTCCACTTAAGTCCACCATTGTGAAGGGGGAGATGGGTACTCTTGAGGAAATTTTGGCCTGTGTGTGATGGTGTGCTTCTTTAGTAGATACAGTACTTACAACTGAGTTTTGGTTTGGTTCTCCATTGCTTATCAAGAGACATATTTTGTTTACTAAACTAGTCCCAAACCCTTAACCTTTAAACTGTGGTCCAGGAACAACTGGGTGCTCTGCCTCTATGCAGTAAACTTGGGTTTTGTAAATCTTATTAAATAGTAAATTTTCTGTGGTAAAACTTGTCAAGAAGATGAATTTGGGACTAACCCTGAGACTTTACTCACTAGGTCAACGTTATGAATTGAGGCATCACCTAAAGCAGGGGAGTAAGTGCTAAATGTGTGAATTTGAGGTAAGGATTTTCCCATTTTCTATTTTAAATTCTCCGTCGATTGGTATACTTCTTACACCCATAGCTTACTCAAAGCCTGTGAGAACCAGGCTTGAAAAATAACTTAAGGTTGCTTTAGGAGATGCCCCAATTGTTGATGCTTACCCATTACAACCAAGTCTCGAAAGGGATTTTTGAAAGTAACAGTTCACCATGTACAGTGTGTAGTGTGCCAGATCAGCAGAACCATCATCCAGATCAGCTATAATGGAGGATCAGACATGAAGCCCTGTAGTTGTGGCTCCCCAGTAGCTGTATCTCCTTCCCGTTAGTTAGGACAGAGATAAGTGCTTTTATCTTTGTTTTCAGCTCTAGTGAAATTTCAGGTTGATCCTTGTAATTTATGGATATTTGTGAGAATTTCACTTTGTTTTTGACATACTGAAGGGTTTTATTAATTTACTAACTACATAAATTGTGCCCAGTTTATGGGAGACATAACCCACGTCATGCAAAGAGAAATGCGACTGCCAGTGACTAATACAGTTGGTTTAACATTTTGTATTTCTGGACTGGACAGAAGTCTTATCCGAGATGTTTCTAAGTGAATTCTTTGGCATGTGCAGAGATAGTATTCAGGAAGTGCTGCTTCAGGTCTAATATGGGGCATTTAAGTGATAATCAGTAGGAGATCAATTTAGGACTTAAGTATTTTTCAATTTGGATGTTGGTTGTTTGGAACTTGAGATATTGTGTCCTGGAAGATTGACCTGCTGATTATATTCTCTCTCTAGAGTTTATTGTAAAAGGACTTTAAGAACCCCTTAGGTGGCCCAGCTAGTACATTCTGGCCTGGGTGGGTCATTCAGTTTGCCCATACCCCACCATGCCGTGCCTGAATGAAAGATTGTGCCTGAAATCCCATTTTATGGCAGACCCCAGAACTAGGTAATTTAGATACAATATATACCCTCATTCCCTCAGGTTAATGTGGTAATTACTAGAACTGAAGAACTTGACACCTGACCACCACACTCTGGCTGTATTGGGTGTAGGTCAAGTTACATGTCTCTGGGCATAGTGTTTCCAACTCGTTACCTGCCACGACATACGGTGAACTGTTGTTAATGAAGATTTCTTTCTGTACTTGGTTTTGATGAGGAATCATAACAATTGGTTCTAGTGTATAGTGTGTGACGGTTAACTTAGGTGTACAGCCTTGGGCTCAGTCATAAGATGGTATTTCAGAATCAATTCTTTATTTTATATTTACTCCTTGGAATAATTAACACTTGTTTGGGTTGATATTGTTCACCATATTTTGAGGAACTGTTTTGCATGTGACCTTTAATAGCCATTTTGTGTAGCTTCATTATGACTGAAGAGGTACAGTACAGGTACTCTTAATAACTTGGGTGTCATGCTTGGATGACATTAACATGCATGAGGCCCTCATGAACATAATAAAAAGCAGTTTATTGAAGGAAAATTCGTTGGTACAATAGAAAGATCTTTTATGCAGTTCATTTTTCTGTATAATTTGCATACATATTGTTAGTGAGGCTTAAGTTGGTGGCTCATAGATAGACAACTTTGTGTGACCAACAGAGTGTTGTTAACTAATAATTGAAGAATATTTAGATTAATTTGTAGCATTTTTTCTTTAGGTGTACTGTACTGTACAGTAGAAGTAAGTACTGTACATTATTTAGACATTGCGTGTACAGTGTTGATGAGTCCCAGAAACAAGGTATTTTAAAATTTTGTTTCAGTAAATATTTTGTAAATTTTTAATCTGGTGTAATTTTTGAAAAGTTGTGAACTAAAAGGGTAGGCGAGTTTTGAATCTATATTTATTACACTGTCAATACTCGACACAATACTGCATCCTACATAACTTTTATCGTTATTTCTCAGGCAGATAGATCTTCGAGTATGACTTACTGTATATTCATGTATTAACGTTCCCTGTATACTGTATTATTACACTAGATTTATACAATATTTTTTGAAACATTCTGATAAAGAAGACAACCACCATGGTGTAAGATTAATGTTTTATTGGTGGTTACAGTGCAGCAGCAGCCCAGCCGCCGTGTAGGCAGCATAGCTGACTATGATCCAGTGAATGAACAGTATGGCTCCATCAGTCAGACTACCGGTAATGCCAACGTGGGCGGAGGATACCGACAAGAGACGACATATCAGGTATGCTGTGAATAGTCATCGGGACTGTTTGTTTGCTGACTATACTGTACACAGACCTGAAAGTTGATTTTTCACAATATATCGTTGCCTTGGTATTTACTTTTCTTTCACTGATAATGTTTTATATATCCCGAATACAAGGATATTTTGGTTGGTACAGTATATATTTTGTGACACCCAGTATTATACAGTAGTTTATTTATATTTTTTATATACTGTATATAATAAGAACTCATGATCCCGTTATCCTCAGTATTCACCAGTTGTTGTTATTATGCATCGGTCCAGTGAGTGGTAGCCATGTAAACAATGTCGGTCACTACTCTACCAGGCTCTGACCATCAAGCCCAATTTTTCCTTGTTTTTTCTGCAATTTTTTTGTTATGTAAAACAAAATGCAACAGTATTATACTACCTTTTTATTCTTTATTCATATATGCAAATTAACTCTGAGCAAGGTGCTGAAAGATGAACAGATGGGATAAAGAAATGGAGAGTCAGCTGTGTAGCTCATGCAGTTATGAGCATCTTGGAGGCAAATTGATCACGGTGACTCCTTGTTTCAATGACCATACTGTACAGTTCACTGGCTTCACTCAAGTTTTTTCTTTTGCATATGACCTTCTCTAATTTGCTGTATGCATAAAACTTCAGTAATTCGTCACACCTCTTTTTTTTTTTTCATAATTTGTTGTTGTTCCTACACCATACTGGCTACAGAGTCTACTTGCTGACTGACTCTTATTGAGTTTTCAGAGAATTTCCTATTTTTCTAATTCAGCATTTTGTTTTCTCTTTGTACTTCTGCACTCCGTACCTGTACCATCACTCCTGCATTTGTTTTGAGACATTTTAAGAGTAACAGTCCAGCTTAGAATGCACATTGCTACTTTCTGAGTGCTCTGGTGGTACTGTCTGGCACCCAGGCTAGGTCATCTGATGAGACTTTGAGGAAGTTGGTTATTTCTGATTTTTTTTTTTTTTTTGGTTTCTTGACACTCAAGTGTAAGAGAAGTAGAGCTTCATAACTTAACCACTACTTATCTGGGTTGATTGTAAGAAGAATAAATATGTGTGGGATGATGAAGTACTGTAGTAGGATGATGAAGTACTGTAGTAGGATGATGAAGTACTGTAGTAGGATGATGAAGTACTGTAGTAGTCATTTTAATACTGTACTGCACTACAGCGTTGTGGATATAAAAAAATTATGATAAATAGTTTGGTGAAGCTGTATCAGATATTAATGGGAGATTGAACCCAAAATCCCATTATATAACCAGCATAGCTAGGAACTGAAGGTCAATTGAGATTAGGTTTGCTGGCATCATAGGCTACATGTGTATCAGTGACAGACTCTTTAACTCGGGCCTTCTGGCAGCTGAATCACTAATGATACCCACTTTTAAGAGGTTGCAGGTGAGTTGGGAGATACCATACAGCGTAGAGTTTCCTAATTTTGTACTGGATTTTTGGGGTACATCAGAGTCACACCAGTGGAGGAGTTCCTGGGGCATCAGTACAATTTTTGAATGCAGTGATACATCATTAATTAGACTTTGTGTGATGGAGATGAAAATCGATCAGCTAATTGATGAAAATGAGTGAATTATATTTGCATTGTTTGCAACATTTAGAGTAATTTGGTTATTTGGGTTTCTCAAAACACGAGAAGGTAAATTAACACATAGTTTCACTTTATATTTTTGAATTTCAAATAAGGATGAATATTTTGAAGAATCTCCATACAAAGACGGTGCTCTCTGTGTGGAAGGTTTTTATTGGCTTAGACATATAATTAAACATTTGTGTAACCCAGCTCTTGATTTTAAAAGAACATTTGATAAGGAATTGATGACTTTCAGGTTCAACGCTCCAACCTCTATGGAGACCAGCAGCCTCCACCTGCACAGATTAACTCCAACCCAGCAGCTCTCCACAAGGTTAATGCTCCACCCACACAACTTGGGGTGAGTGTTGGTGTGTCTATGCACTAAATATAAAAATTGTGTCCATGGTATGTGCGTCTTGTCTTTTCATTCTATTAACATTGCAAAAGGAGTTCACAAAAGCCCTGTGTTAAAGGGTGAAGAAGTTAACTTGAAAGGCAGCAGTAGAAACATAGCTTGTATAAAACACGGACTGAGTCACTGAATTGCCGAGATTATACACCACAAAGAAACCCTTAACATTTTGAAAGTGTGAAAAGTGATTACTACAGTGAAGTGGCTAAGCCTTTTGGATGACTCAATTTAATATACATTTCAGTAGTGCTCTCCCTCATTTTTTCCTTTATTCATTGTTAAATATTTTACACAAGAATGTTCATGTAGGTCCACAATAAACAGGATAGAATAGGACCTCTTCCTGTCAATCATGGTCACTACCACACATGAGAGAGAGCTACAGGATGAGGTGTTGCCATTATCATCATTGACTATAGATTTCTTTCTTGTCTTCATTAATTAGTTTGTACAGAATTTTGAGATGCTGAATAAAATCATCTGGCATTAACCATATAAACCAATAAAACTGATATGCCAAAGTAAAAGGGCTAAGTATGGCTAGAAGATTGTAATTAAGATAAAAACAAAACCTAAAGTCCCAAGTTTGGTGGATTTGGAACTATATACTGTACATGTATGGTATTTCTCTCTGGGGTGTTAAATGGGGGAGTCTTTTCTATACCCTTGTCCTTGATTTCGATACTCTGACCTTCAGCTAACCAGACCCTTTCCACCACAGTTAGTGCGGGCGACTGAGAGTTCACTTGTAGGAAAATGGTAGTAATTTAAGTAGATTTGAAATAGAAAATTGAAGGAAAGTCGCAAAATGACCCGAGGCTACTGTACAGTATAAAGAATATGAGAACTACACTAGCCTTGGGTTATTTTGTGAGATAGGGGCCAAAAGTATTCGCAAAACACACTAATCACGATATAAAAAAACATGTACCTGGTAATTCAATATAAAATAAAAGGCTAGGGACTGCAGGCCCAAAAAATTCACCAGACAATGCTTAAAAGATTTCCCCATCACCACCCACACACCCAAGGCTGGCCTCTGCTGTGTGCAGCTGATATGTTGTGTGCTTCTCGAAACTGTAGGCGTGTGCATTTCAGCCGACTAGCACCAGTAAGTCTGGGCTTTGGCAGTTTCTGTCTATAAAACCTGGCAATGATTCTGATTTACCTTCCTGTTATATATTTGCTGTATTTATTGACTCTTATATAGGGAGAAAACTAAAAAAAAATATATACAAATTTATTCTATTGCGCTTCCGTCGGACATTTATATTTTTATAGTATTTTAACCAATAAAACTCCCCACAATATTAGTGACCACCAGCCACCACTACCTCACACTACCCACCACACTCCTGTGACCACCAGCCACCACTACCTCACACTACCCACCACACTCCTGTGACCACCAGCCACCCTCCCCCTTTCTCTTCAGTGATCATACACTAGCTACTGTGGACATGAGAAATGTTTGTCATTAAGATAATAATTTTCTCTGCACTCCTTATGAACGATTGTGTGTGCATGGAAGAGAATAAAATAAATTGAATAATAATATGTATATCTATTGAAAATTATGACTTGAAAATTAACAACACACCTCGAAGGTTGGCCCAGAATGGGGAGAGGTAAGGTGATGTACTGTAGTTGGTGACCTGTCAAGACCACACACACACACACACGTAGGGCCTTACTTAGGCCTACTTCACACGAGCATTTTTCACCCCCGTATGTGAGAAGACAAGTATTCACTCTGGCGTGTTTTTCACGCTTCAGTTCACCTGCATCTGTCAAATATTATCACAGGCACTTCCAGACCCTATCACTATTGACACGCTGGAAAATATGATCATCATATGAAGAATTCTAGATCGCTCGGCGTATTTTTTCGTGCCGCAGTTTGGAAGCACTGTATACAAGTATAGGCGGGGTTGCAAATAGCGAGGTATTCCTGCACTTGTATCAGATGAATTTTTATTTTCTCGATTTTGTTCATATCCAATAAATGAGTGGGATTTTATTGTATTATAGAGAGATAATAGAAAAGTATTCATGTTGCTAATGCAGTATTAACTGAACAGACAATTGTATTCTTTCAGCGATGTTATCGTGCTATGTATGATTACGAGGCAGCTGACACAGACGAGGTGAGCTTCAGGGATGGAGACCTCATAATCAATTGCACAGCCATTGATGAAGGTTGGATGACTGGCACCATTCAACGCACTGGAGTTACAGGCATGTTGCCAGCAAACTATGTGGAACGTGTTAGCTGAATTCCTTCAGAAAGCATCAAGTTCATTGGGGTCTTCTTTAGGGATTTATTACATGAATTCAAGTGTTTTATTATAAATACATTTCTTTTGTTTCAGTAAAGTTTTTGCCAACATATTTTTGTTATAGATAATAAATGTAATTAAAAGAGCTAATCATTCACATTAGTGAATTTTAGTTGATTGAAGACCCTGAACCTTTGCCACTTGTGATAAGGTTCAATTGAGAAAATAATTTATCATAGAATTTAAATTAGAACATTCAATTTTGCTTATACTGCATTTCTTTCTTTTAGATAAATGTACATATACAAAAACCTATGATTTTATGAAGTGTTGTAGGGCTCTTGTGAACGCTTTTTCTGTTTTGCTGGGAGCATCTTTATTTTGTGATGGCGCAGCTGAAACGCCTGTCTGGAATCACATTAGGTTATACTGTATAGATGATACTTCACTTCCTGTACCAAAGCTTGTGAATATGGTTATTCATACTGACAGTGAAGCATTTCAGTGTCAAACATGTGAAAATTGGGTGATGTGAATTGTACACTTTTGTGGCCTTAATGTAGCCTTAACTTTACCCATATTGACTTGAACTTAGAAATACAACTGACAAATTGCTACATTACATCTTTGAGCTTAGGAATATGCTTCCTTCATTATACCATTGTGTAAATACAAAAAACAAAATATATATACTGTATAGTAATTAAATTTGTAAGGTATAGTAAATATTCTACTCAGCTGGATTTATAATGAATAAAAAAATCATATACTATTGCAATTAAAGTATAGTAATGCATTGTTAGGAGACTGCCAGATCTGGTTATCATTCTTTGGCACATTCATATTGCATAGGCAAAATTACATAAGGAGTAGGTAGCTTTTAACTGCTTGTTTTCATCAGTTTTATTTTTTAGTATATAAATCTTAGCCAAGAATATTTACAGATACAGTAATGGCCACTCTAAATTACTTGAACACTGTAACATAGTTTGAGGGAATTTGGTCTTTATGAATATTTTAGGCATTTAATTTGACTATTTTACAGACACTCCCCCCCAAACCCTTATTTAGTTGATGGGCAGATGGAAGTTTCCTGGAGTTATGCACTTGTCAGAGTTACTGTATGGCACTTTTGGTATAAATCACATGCAGTGAAAACTAATCTGTTTGTACCTTCCATGTTAAACTGCTCTTAATTGACTGTATTCCATGGGTCATCGTTACTGTATGTTTGAAGTAAAGTTTGGGTTGATCATAATAGCTATTCACTGATATTATATAATTAATATGAGAGGTGGTGCTCTTGAATATATGCTCCTTGGCTCTGTTTAATGTAGCAATCAGTTGTGATTACTTAGTGTTTGTCATGCTCTTGTCACTTGTAGTAACAGATTTTAATCATAACACTATAGGTATCTCAATCTATTGTCATATAGATTGAAGTTTTGTACCTTTGTAAGAAATACTGATTAGTCAGGCCAGGTGGATAACAAGTAAGTGATGTTTGTTGATTTATCAAGTAAGGTGGTTGATTTTCCTTGTGAGGTTTGTGTATTTGTCATGATGGCTGACCTAGAAGTGCTGTTCAGGTTATAACTAGCCTTTAGGTCAAGATTACATTCAGCACTTATTCTTGGAGGGTGTTTGTAGCAAGTTATTATCATTATGTTTTCCTGAAGAAATATGCAACTTTTAATGGTAATGCAGTACTGTATACAGTACACTAAAATGTCTGCATGCATGCAAAGAACACCATTATTTTCAATTCAGCATGACTTGAATAATGGCAAGAACAAAATTGTCTTCCGTTAGTTAGTTAGTTATGTGCTTTCTTTAGTCCTCTTATTGCTTTGTGATGTACTGTATCTTCAGCTCTCGATCCTAAGCAGTAACTTTACTGCGTCAATAATTTATATACGTATTCTAATTTTTAACTATTGCATCCCCTTTTGAGTATTTTCCGCTTACAGAAATATTTTCCAATCATTTCAGTCTTCATCCATTTCTTGTCACAAACAGTCTTACCTTGAAACCATCACTCCAGCTTTACATGCACCTTTTATGGTTCTCAGATTTGAACTACTTTATTCTCAAATGAATTATTTTCATCTATTATTTACTGTAATTATATTAAAAGAAAGGTGGGTACAGGTACATCATTTATTAATTGTTTTTATGGTATACAGTATTTGGTTTTATTCAAGAATTCGTTTCTCTGACCCCCAACCAACCCACTTCCACTACAAAAGGGGAGACTGTTTGAGATAGCATTGTTTAGTCTACAATTGATGTCTGGATATTACAGTTACTAAGATTTTCTTTGGTAAAACCTTGCCAGATACACACACTTTAGTCTTTGGTCATCACTGTGTCTTTATCAGTACTAATGCCTTTAAATTCAACTTTGTGGCCTGTATATATTTAGCTGTTACCATTGCCTTTTGATTTTTTTCATTCCTTTGGTGAGGATCACACTCATGGTGAGGTTTTTAATAGTTCCTATATTATCATCACATCAGTTGCATCATGCCAGGAACAGGCTTTTCTCATAAAGAAAGGAAACCAGTGGTACAGTACAGTAGTAGTTGTTTAATATCAAATTGTAATAAAGGTGCCACTTTATTCATGCACCGCAGAATGGTACTTGGAAAATCCTCCCAAACTACTTAACATCTTTACATAAAAGATCTTGTTGTTCTTCTGTTTTTGTTAAAGAAATGTTTGTTTTTTTATCTGCATGAAGTAACATCAGGAAAAATGTAATTGCTCTTACATTCAAACTCGATATCTGTTTGTATTATACATCTTGGCTCCCACGTGTTTAGTCATTTTACACTGCATTATCAAATGGTTCAGTTTTATTATAAGTGTGAGCTAAAGATGCTTTTTTGTGAATTGGATGTAAGAATAAAGTGAGAGTAAACTACGTTTAGTAGAAAATTCACTTGATAAAAGCTTCCAAGTCTGAAGCTAGGCTGACAAGATCTTGTGTTCTTAAGTGACTGAATATAATAACTGTATGATCAGACCCATCTGGGAGATGTATTGTACTGAAGGTAAAAAAATTTTGTATAGGCCTGTATATCACTTGTTAACTGACAAATTATGCTAGAGAATAAGAATATTATTGTGTTAATTAATGGGTTACGTAAAATATCCTATAGTATAGTCAGTATAGGCCCTTCTATCTTGTGTTACACAGAATTGTGTGAATGATGGGATTTTTTTTTTTGTCTTTGTCAATGGTCTTTCTTGGATATCCAGTTTTAACATTATTACTAAACAAAAGGGAAGTTCCACAGTATGCCCTTGTATTTTCATTTGTACATTAACCATCAACCCACATCATCACCTGCTCCAGTGTATGCCGTACTACCTGTTTTTGACTTATGAGAATTGGAGAAGTTAATGCTTTTCTATGTATTAACATTCCTCCCATGCAGAAAAGTGGAGCTTATATTTTAGTGTTATATTTTTATACAACTCTTTCTTTGTCCTTTGTTGTTGTGTGCCATCATTATTCTCCAGCAGATTAAGCAATGTCATACATTAAGGATTTTAATGGATGGGCTTGACATGTTTAACTGAACATAACTTCTTGCATTATTTTGTATTTCTACACAATTTTAAATATAGGTACTGTAGTTGAAATCAAACTAAGAGGCTCTTCAGAGATGTGATTTATAGCTTATTACTTCTTACCTAGTCCATTGTGCAGGAGAGCTCAGCACAATGAAATTACCAGCCATAAAAGTAAGGCAAGATGTGTGCTGTATCTCTTGATTGTGAATTTTGCATGCAGCTAAGAGGCTATAAAGACTAGTTATTAATTCAGTTTAATTGTATTCTTTCTTATTACTCTGCTAAGAAAGTATAATCCAACTTGGCTCATCTTTGTACCAGACCCCCCCCAACACACACAGCTCCAGTCATATACAGGGTAGTCAGTTCCTTGTTTTTTTTTTCTTTGTCATTGAAATCTTTCTTATTCAGATGATTGCAGTGTTCTTTCCAAGTTTTTCAAATTGATCATATCTTTCAATTTATTCATCCTCTCTGCTCTGCCCATGAGCCCCTTTAGTTCAAGAGCTCATACCATACTTTTACTTATTTATCCTTTTTGGGATGGGAGGGAAGTACCAAAGTTTAAGAAAAAGTATATATATAAATTTGAGAGCAATAGTGGCAAAAAAAGGATATTTATGTATATTTAGGTGTTGTATGATAAATATTCATGCAGTAGCTAGTTTCAATCAAGCCTATTTTACCTTCATTTACATTAATAATCATTTTTTCATAAGTTGATCATTTGGATTGTACGAGATCTTAAGTTCTCTACCTTTCAGTTGACAATATGGCATCTGGTAAAATATATGAAAACTGCTACAAGTACTGTTGGGTGTCAGTTTCTGATGTTAAGCAAGTGGTGTCTGTGATAGACACCCGTGCGATATTGTTTGGTTGATATTTTAGCAATGTTTTGAATGTTTATGCTTGTTTGTTTCTTGGATCAGACAAGTTTCTCTTTCTCTACTCTATGCATAGCTATGTGTAGCAATAAATCATGAATTGGGAACACCATTTCAAACATGCTGTGCTGTGGGCATATATTGTATTTGTGTTCTGGCTTTATAAACTTTTTTTATTTTTTTATATTGAAGTAGGAGTGAACTTTAACATTTATGAACTTTTGAACTTTGGGTACATGTGTGTGTTGGAAGATACTGTAAACTGAATGCACACATTATGTAGCCCCGATTCAACTTTATTTTGCCCGTTAACCTATTTTGTGTGTGAGGAATACCATTTGTAGCCATATGACACACCAATGTTACTTATTGTAGTTTACATGTGTAAGATATTTTACTAACCTTATCAAAATGAAGTACTATGGAATGTTCCCATTTAGATTATGGTCTTGCCTTTTAACATAAAATAATGTACAGGATAATCTTATTTTTTACACTTTTAATTTTGCTCTAAATGTTTTAGTAATAATATTGCCCAATACATGAAACTTTTGTCCTGTGATAATTTCCATGGGTGTTATCAAAAAATTATTATCCAATGACTGTCATGATAAGTAGGAGTTGAGATCTCCATCATCCAATGGTTCATTAGGTGAGCACCAGCCATCAGTGCCTCATTTATCTGGCAACTACATACTTTAATTTTACATTAATTCAAACATAGGTTGTTTATGAAATTATAATGAGTTTATACCAGATATTTCAGGTACTGGTGAAAAGAAGACTATCCAGTACCATTGGGATGTGACAACCTTAACTATAACACAGCATTTTGCTGAAGATTTTGTTACAGCAACTGTTTTCTTTAATATGTCTAAAACCAGAAATATCTATGTAGTTGTAATTAAAAAAAAAAAAAGTGTTTCTTCGATTCCATTGGATATATGCTTGAATATAAAGCTTTGTTACTATTAATAAAAAAAAATTAAGGCAGTCTTTTAATTTTTTAATCCATGAATGATACAGTACAGTGAATTCCGCTATAACGCGAATTTGCTCTAACGCGATTTATGAATAGAGGAACGATATTTGTATAGGGCGAACGCTTGTTTGCTGTAACGTGATTTTTGCTTACTATTTCTCCAATTTTGTGGTATTAACTGTGAATATGGTAAAGAAGAATATCTCCAAGAAGCGTTCTGGTGATCGAATTCCCAGTGATGATCATAAAAGAAAGGATATAACACGAGAAGCTCGATGTTATCAACCTCAACATCAACCTTCTCCCCATCAAGTTATACTCATATTTTTTCAAGGTAAAGTGTTACATTTACTGTATGATTTCATTATTAGATATGAATGTAACATTTATTTAGACTGTGCTATCCTTTGTGTTAGGCTAACTACTAATTTTTTTTCGATTTCGAGTAGTAATCTGCACCTAACTGAAAAAAATAAAATCAGATAGTTCCTCAAACATGTAGAAAATCATCACTACCTAAATGTCCTTCATTACTGACTTGAGATACCCTACATCAAAAACAAACTGTTAAGAAAAGTATTCTAGGAATGTCGTAAGTAACAAATAACTCGACTTTTGAATGAAATTATACCTGCAATGAATATTTAGCTATACAGTACAGTATTGTGTTTAATCTGAGGAAGCCTCTTGACAGTTAAAACTTCTCTGTGGGATCTATATTAGATACTTAAGATTAAACTGGAATATAAAGGCAGCGATGCGCTGTATTTAAAGTCGTTCAATTATCCACATATATCGAAATGAAAACACAAACCTCTGCATTTAAATTACAGAAGCTAAACATTTGTATTGTGAAGTACTGTGATCAACTTACTACAGAAACTACAAAATAAAAAGCAATCCATACCTTATAAATCTTTAGTAAGGTCAAATATTCTAACAAGGTCATCATACTCTGACACATAACATCTTTTAAGATCAATTCAGTCTTCACCAGCAGGTATGGCATCTTCTAATCTCTTGACGAACTTGACCCGAATTTCTGTCACATTGTCACCTTTTAATTGGTCTGCAATGAACCACGCCATGACTTCCAGTTGTACCTGTTCATATATACAATACTGTATTAATAGGACTTTACTATCATAAATAATGACAAATTGATATTGCTTAACTCATTGAAGACCCATAAGAAATCAAGATAATGTACCCTGCTGGCTTACTATGGGGGCCAAACAACATTGTGTAACAGGTTTAGACAAACATGGGACTCATATACAGTGGAGTCGTGATAATTCACAAAATACAAACTCACAGGTACAGTACTCCCAGATAATTCGTGGATTTTTATTTTGCGGTCCTCTATTATTCGCAGATGACACCCTGGATGTACCCAAGAATGTCTGCAGGTAGTTTTAAAGTTGCTGGCATTTTCGCGGCCGGGACAGGTAGCATTCGTTCTAGAGACAGTAATTTCCTTTACCTGTATTGTATAAATGTGTGTGTGTGTAGACACACAAAACACATACCCGGTACAAATAAATAATAATGGGAAAATCCTCTCACAAATAATCAGAAGCAAATGTAGTATTAAACATGTTGAGTGTACCCTCAAGTCTACTCCATGCTTTGTTATTAATAAAGCACGGAGTAGCCTTGAGGGTGGACTCAACATTTTTAATCCTATAGTACATTTGTTTCTTATTATTTGTGAGAGGATTTTCCCATTATTATTTATTTGTATGTGTTTTGTGTGTCTACACACACACACACACATATACAATACAGGTAAAAGAAATAATTGTCCTAAGGGCAAACACATCAAGGGCATATACATTTCTTTGTACACAAGTAAAAATATAAACCCTCCCCCTCCCCCCGTTCAGCAAAGGTTATTCACGGATTCGCAGCCATTTTGAGAACCTAACCCCCATGAATCTGAAGGGCCTACTGTACTGTATCTCTATTACTACCACTCTTTGTATATTTTACCGCCAAATATTCATAATTCAAGTCGCGCACCAGCTGCCACAGTGTTTATTTACACAAAAACCATAAAGGTTATGAATTATAATTTCTAACCTTCAAATCCCTAAGGCTCGGCCATTTATGCGCTAATTCTAATAAAACAAAAATTAAGTAATTGAATAAAATATTGTACATAGCTGAACATTACTGTAGATGTTCTTTATATCTGGCTTAGTTTATTATTTGCTGATTTATCTTTATAAATATTTGGAGGAAAAAAATTCCTGCACCCAAAACAAAAGTGAGAATCAGAAATATCTATATTTCACACTCAAAAGGTGTAAATTACCTCTACTGTACTCCACACGAATTGCAACGTAATCTAGCGAGAAGTTATGGAGACGAAGGATTTTGAAAATTGAGAAGACTATAAGGGAAAAATCAGGGATTAGGCAGAATTGATTCAGGGATATAGCAACAATGTTTCTGGTGTCCTTAATTGATGACGGGAAACTCCCATTGATTGATCAACTATTAATGAATTTCGTGCTTCAGCCGGACACTCCCCTTAAGGTAGAATTTCTCCCAGTTCAAATACAGTATGGTGTATCTAGGAATGGCAACAGTCATAGTTAAGAAATGTGAGTCCATATATTCCTGCACTCTCACACAGGATAACTCCAGCCTTAACTACTTGTGTAAGGGGTCGCCTCTGAGCACAAGATAATCATCTGGAGTTAGCCAAATACAGTACACTATTAAAAGTGTAGGGGTTAATATTCTGTTCTATAGTTTATCCATTGCCAGGATGTTATTCACATTAACCCAAATGTTTGAGTTACCAGTAATGTACCACTTTCAATTTTTACCTATTCATGCTGACATTGCATTGAGGTTGTCCAAGCATCTTTATCAAACTTTAAAACTTCGATTTGTATTTACTATCAACATCCTCTCTTAATACTTCCCAAAAATTACTCAGCATTCTGCACAACTCATTTTTCAATTTAGAAGCAGCAGTAGGTAGTAGGCAGCTACCAAACAGGGAAGCACTACCGCCTTGTTGTCTAATGGTAGACCCTGCTACCATATAGCATCACAAAAATTGTGACCAAGTCCTTGGTGATATGACTTTCTGCCTCATTTACACACAATTGCAGGGTCTCAATTGTTTCTCTTACTATTGACAAAACAACTTACATAATGTATAACTTTTCTCACTTTGATCTTTTTTTTTTCTTATGGTCCTTTATTATGATTATATTTTTATTTAATATTTTTTATAATTATTATATTTTCGCCCCAGTGGGCTAATCCCATAAAAAAAAAATTATCTGTTTACAATCAGCAAAGTACAACTTCCATTTCTACACCAACATAACTTAACTTCACCACACACTTATCCATTATCATTATCAACTTATGAGCTCTCCCTTCCCCCAAAAATTATCCTTTACAGAAAAATGTACCAAAACATGACATACCATTTCACAAGCCCCACGAATAACTCCAGCCATGATGTTTGAGTATCGCAAACCAAGGCAGTGGTCGGGCAACTCCACGAACTCGGCCATTGGGTTGGTCTCCAGCACCACTGAAAACTCATCGCCACCAGGACTCCAGCTCCCTATACTTGGTGACACTCCCAGGTACAACTTGAAGGCTTGCTACAACAGTTAAAGAGGATTTCTGTGAGTAAAATATAAGATTAAAAGAATAAAGTCAAAGATGTTTTAGGTATTGCTGGAAGAAGGATTTATGGAGCAGGAAACATAACAGTGATGAAATAATAAAAAATAAAAAATATTAGAGATGTGAAAAAAGTACAAACTGCATAACCAATTTAACTAACTGGATCAAACACGGGAATGTAAAGAAAATGGGTTAGAGAAGAAAGTTGTTAGAGGAATTTAGGCTTACAAACAACTTAACAAAAAATTAAAAAAAGAACGCTGGCTGGAAAAAAAAAAGTGCAATGAGAAAGATATCGACAGGTTATGTAGAGAAAGACAAAAGGAATTAACAAGAGGATATAATTACCCAGTATGGTAGAGATCTGAACTGTGATGATGACAGAGTGAAAATATAAGACAAAATGGTATTAAAGATCAAGCTACCAGTAATGGAAGCTGAAGTTGAGGCAGCGGTGATCACAATGAGAAAATAATAACCAATGTGGGGCTTATCTGCTTGCTTCACTAATATGAACTCATATATACAGTAATTCTGTTTTTAGTGCAGTTATTGAAGAGTCCTCCAGGAAATACTGTAAATCAATAAATCCTAAATTGGAAATAATGAATATGGTTTGAGTCAAAGATTCAGCTAAAAGAATTGTACAGCTAATCCAAAAAGTATCAAGATCCCAGAGTCCGATGGAACAGAAAACGAGCGATAACCTCAGACGTGTTTACGTATCAATGTTTCATAATGTTTCCGATGCCCGAGGTCTTGATACTCTTTGGATCTGCTGTACCATATTGACCTTGCAAACCATGATAATGTATTGCGTATCTTCCTATATCCAAATTCTGATAATCAATTCGTCTATTGATAATTCTAATAAATTCTAGTGATGATCGATCATATTATCCCACACACAAACTGGATGACAGCAGTGAGATAGAAGAATAGAATGAAGGTTGGGTATCCGAGTGTTTGAAAGGTATAAGGTATAAATGATATATGGAGATCGACGTACTAGTGATGTCGAGTATTATGCATGTGACACAATATTCTGGGCTCTGTTGTAGAAGAACTCGTCCAGTACAGCATCGAGACTGAATGAATGACAACAAATAAAGGGAGAGTTTGTGTTTGCTCTTGGTGATGACCATCCTGAACAGTGTTACAGTAGTTAGGTATTTTGATTCACTCTCCAGATACATATATGCTTTATGATTAACATCTCCTTAACAACACTTATTTAATGGAGTGTAGTCTACTATATCAGGGTTTGTTAGATGTGAAACCTCTATATAAGAGACTGTATCATGACTTCTCATTCAACCATCATCACCTGAATTTTATCTGCTGTGTCTCTGAGGTCATAACATCTACCGGGATTGGCCCTGGCAAGGAAGTCTTCAATTAACCTCATCCCAATGTTGTAGCCCATTCTCTCCAATTGGCGATTCACATCATCCACGTTCTCGTAGTCCTTCAGCAGCTGAGCAACGAGCGACCCATAGGTGAGTGTAAACAGCTCCCCACTCTACAACAAAATTAAACATTTCATCACACACACACACACACATGGACGTACAGTACTAACACAAGGGTCAGCAACAGGGGTAGTCAGCAGATACAATCTCCACACTGTAATTTTCTACAATACTTCTCCCTAAACAAATGCTCCTACACATAACAACACAGTATTACAAAACTAAGGGTCTTCTATGTCGTTCTTTCTCTTAAACTTCACTAACTTTACACCATCTCCATTTATCTGCCTTAATAAACCAGTTGTGAACAGTAAGGCAGTGTTAAAATTACAATGTACTGTAATTTCTTTGGAAAATTCAGTACAGGCAGTGAATCAGTTACACCAACATCTCCATACTATAGTCTGAAACCCTAAAAAATAATGGTAATTTTAATCCATTCAAGACCACAATAGATTTCAAGGTTGTTCCATGAAAGGCTTCCATTCTCCAAGCAAAAATGAAAGTGCTATTTTTTCTACAGTATTGTACATGTGTAAGTATATAGTTTTCACTTCACCTGACTATGAAGTTCATACTGTATATCTCGCATAAAACTATACGGGGTGCCTCACGAATCACCGCTAAAATAGGAATTAAAAAGAAATCAATAAAGGAGCAGAGAAATTAACACTAGAGGAGAGTCAGTTTAGTACAGTATTCGTTGGCAAGAGCGCTACATACTACACATTTTGATCAATTGCAAGAGGCTTTAATCAACAACACATCTACCAAGATCATCCAAAAAACAAAGAATTAAAGTAGAACACTGTATGTAAAGTCAACAAGATGACCAAAGATATGTTAATGTTTTAAAGTCAACTTCGATTGAACTTAGCTTTTCACATAGATCAGTTGTTGTATGTATTACTACAGTACAATGTACAGTACTAAATACAATAGTCATGTCAGTGTACATATTGAGTTATGAGGGTGTGCTTGGTGGAAAACACTATAGTATAAGGTACGGTACTGTACAGTAATCCCCCGGGTTATGGAAGGAATGCATCCTTTAAAAGCTGACTGTATCACTGAAATTCTGTAACATGAACTCCATTATATAAATGGTGAAGCATTTCTATGGATTTTTTTTTAGCAAAACAGAAATAATACAAGCACTTTCATGAATGAAAATAAACATTTTTAAACACAGTGGGGTATGCTATAACGAATGGATCCTACTACGAATATTCCCATAACGAACGGTTTTACCTATAAAATTGAGAATGCTATAACAAACGCAACTCCTACAACAAACGCGGATGAATACGGGACTATTTCGTCTGGCGCATGAATATTGTTGTACAGCGGCTCACAACAAGAGCGTCAGGCGCCATCTTTGTCTCATTGTGTAGCCAGTGCACCACTGTTATTGTTGAAATTTCGTCTTTTGATGTGGAAATTCGTGTTATTTTGGTGTATTTCCATAAAAAATTTTGGGGTAATGTATGAACAGCACTACCACCAGAAGAAGTTGTTAAGTTTTGTTCATTTTTTTCACAGATGTTCTTATCATAATAGTAAGTACAGTAATATTTTAAAAGAGGCAACTTACGAGAACCTGACCTAATCAACCAAAGAAATCTACTTAATTTTGAAGTATTTTTTCTCTATTTACAATCATAAATCACCTGTAGTGGGCAGGGCCTGAAGGATGAGGGAAACTGTGGGGTAAAACACGGTGAAAAACTGGTTAAGTAACACTAAAATGATGTCTCTATATGCTTTATACATGTAGAAATGAATCATTTACTGTTATTTTTAGTATTTTACCCCAAATTTATCCTCAACATTAAAGCCCTGCCCACTTTAAACAAGTAATATTGTTGTTAATTTTATCTATTAAAATACTCTAAAAATATAAATTTCCAATGAAAACTCTATGGAATAAATGTTTATTCTTTCTCTCTATACAAGACTCAATATAGTGTACAGTATAAATAAGTATTAGCAACTTCTAAATATTTACTAATCAGAGCGCACTCATAGTAAAATAGTATTAGTAGGAACTTAGCTGGTCAAGGCAAAATATCCACTGCCAGAAATGAAAGAAATCCATAAATTTTTTCTGGTAGTGGCAGTGGTCCACACAATACAATACAGTATTTTAAAACAGGCGACATTTACTAAAACCTAATAGAACCTGACCTAACCAACCAAAGAAAACTACCTAACCTTACAAACTTCCTAGCATGGGGGGCAGACTCGTAGCCATATTAAAGTATAAGTACTTATTTTGATATTTGGTACCAATGAAAGCAACTTTGTTGAGCTGCCATGGTGTAATTATACATTATTTTTTTTTTTGATGTGAGAGTACACTGATTGAGCTGGTCGATTATAAAAAAAAATAAAAAAAACAGCAACCAACAACACTTGCTGACTCGGTAGATTTTTTTGGAGTATTTAGGATATATAATTAATTTTGTCACACACAGCATGTACAGTAGAGGCATCATTTTAGTCAATAATTTTTTTCACCGTGTTTTACCCAACAATTTCTCTCATCCTTCATTCTTTGTGATCATACATAGAGAACTAAAAAATAAAACAATAATTATAGTCAAAATAAAAAGTTATCGCCTCTTTTAAAATACTGTGTTATTATTCGGTTTAGCACATCTTCAAATGACATAGAAGCGCTTACTTTTGGCAATTTCCACCTCATACATACATTCCTCAACCCTTGAAGCCTCTTGGACGGTCCAACGAATTACCCAAAAGTACCCAAAAGTATATTAAATCAGGGTAAAATTTTAACGAATATGTTTTACATCAATAAAACCTGATTAATAATGTTTTCATTGAAATGTAGTCAAAATATTGAGATAATAAACAGCGGAAAAACGCTAAATTCCAAAGACTCGCCTATCCAAAATGGAGATATAATTACCAATGTTTCTGTTACTTTGGGGTATTTAACATAGCCGTAGGATTTACTTTACGTTAGGTTAGGTTAGGTTAGCGAAGTGCATCACGATGGATCTGAGTTATCTCCTTACAAATTACTTTTACAAAATTACACTAAAAATATTATTAGACATGTTTTGTGTATGTATAACAGATATTCATTAAGAAATGCCTAAGAAATTAGATCAATAAATCTATACCCTACTGGGGTTAGGTTAGGTTAGGTTAAGGTAAGTTAATTTAGTGAAAGTTAGGGGTCTAGATGTTTGGTTTCTGATGCATTTGGATGTATTTTATTCAAATCTCACCTTAGTTTTTTATAAGAAATAACAGTTTTTGATCAAGGATGAGTTACATCTTTCCTTCTGGTGGCAGTGCTGTTCATACATTAATTCACCCTTTTCTCTGGTATTAACCATCTCCTCCACCATTACCTTATTTTCTTTCTTGTTCTCCCAAAATACAAATCAATATAATTCCATGATCAACTTTTTCCAAACCTTTACCAAATTGTTTTACTGGTTACCTACACTGTCTCAGACCTTCAGAAACGCCCACTGTATACCTGCCTCAGTACTCAATTAATTAACCCCTTCTAACCTCCATATAACGATAAACCAACAGCACATATTCTTAAACAGACTAAACTAATCATGAAATTCTATTAATGTGTCTTAATTATCCACTAACCACTTTTTTAGGGTCGTTGGCTCTCATGCTCTGACGGGACATCTCGGTCAGCTGTTGGAAGGTCAACTAATGAAGCTTCACATGAGGACCGGAAATTATTATATATCCAGTTTTTGGTTGAGATAAGTCATTATATATTACATTAAATATTGATATCTATTAAATTATGTATATAAACATTTCACAATATAATTTTAATTTCTTATTTGATAGCGGTACAGCGGTTATCATGTACTTCTACACTGTGACTCGAGTTCGAATCCCATATTTCCTGTACAGTATTTAAAAATTGGAATGTCTCACCGTTCATTAAAGACAATTACAAACTAAAATACTCAGAACTATGAAAAATGTGCTATGTAATATACAGGTAACAGTAATGGAGTGACACAAATTGATAACTCAGACTGAGACTCTTGCTCGCGTGAGGCCGAGGGAGTATTGTAGTGGATACTTGTAGTGGATACTTGTAGTGGATTCCTCCCCTGCAAACGTTTTATCACTCAGTAGCCGACCCCGTGAATTCTCCAGCCGCACCTCGTGTCTAGGTCAACCAGCGCCGCCCTACATCAGTGAGGTCAACTATTAAGCCACGCCGACCTCCGCTATTTGAGACCTCGCCTTGTGGTGACCTACATCTTTCTACCTACAGCCAATCTTCAAGTAACACTGTAGGGTTTCGCTATATTATGTTGTCTAGCACTCAGGATGGATGGATAGAAACTCTAGGTGGTGGTTTTCTTATATAAAATATATTATATGAAAGACAGTCTGGTGCTGGAGATGCCGTGTGGGGAGGAGCTTATACACAGCAGCCGGAAGTAAACCAGAACTCATTTTAATTCGTCTTAGGTAGACGTAGCAGGTGACCCCCCTGGAGAGCAGCCGTTGGTTAAGGTATACTGTCCCATGGAATTACATAAGGATACGACTCCTTCCCTCCCAGTATCTGCACCCTAGAAAAAAAATAATTTAATATTTGATGATTTTGATATTCTTCATGAGCAAAGAGCGAGTCATCAGTCGAACATTAACTCACGTCTCACGGCCTAATAATAATAATAATAATATTTGTAATAATAATAAAGTAATAATAATAATAATAATAGTAATAATAATAAAAATAGTAATGGAAGTATTAGGCTTATGCTAACCGTGGAAGCCAACTGCTTGTTTGGTTGTGAACTACGTAGTTAAGTGATATAAGAGCGGATCGTTGACGAAGCTTCGAAACTCATGACTATCTTTCGTTAATAATTATCAGTTTTATTTTAGCTAATGGTGGATAGAAGTGATTTAAGAAAATTAATGAGATTATAGATGACGGACCAATCGTGTATGGTGTTCTTTCCGCCGTCCAGTCGATTATTTTCATATGAATCAGTAAAGAGAACCAATGAATTAATGAATCGAAGCACCTCGGGTTCGCCACTCGCCAGTGATCATTAGAGGTACGGCAGTGGTGGCGGCAACATGTGTGTGTGTGAGGTCATACAGTATTTGATCGCTATTTCCATGTTTTACGTTTGCTGTTTGTGGATTACCTCGTGTTTGTGGCGTCGTGAGGACTTCCAGGACTCTACGGTGTGGTTATTAGCAGTTGAGTGAAGGTAAGGTGATAACAAGTTGTGTTGTACTGTGGGGTCCAGGGAGGAGGAGGCGGCGGCAGTGTAGCTCTCCGCCGTGTGTACAGGAGTTGTGGATGCCGTGGCTCGGACAGATAATACTGCTATTAAGATGGCTATTAACCTAAGTTAGTATGTGGATAGATAGATAAACTGCTATTAAGATGGCTATTAACCTAAGTTAGTATGTGGATAGACATACTCAGTTTTTCTGTTAGTGAGCATTTACATGTAATATCCGGACCTTATCATTACAAGAGCGTCGGTTAGATAGAAGTTTCGATCGGGTGGTTCAGTGTCTGGGAGTCGAGCTCTCAGTTGTCACTTTGGAAGGTATCAGTACTTCCTTATGGTGTCAAATTAAGCAAAACAAATATGGCCACGGCAGCCATCCGATTAAGTGTTATTACTAAGGTTCGCAAGTGACGCTTTATATCATGTGCTTCAACACCACAAGAGCGTATGTTCGTACTGGAGATGGTTCAGTGTGTGGTGGAGATGTGGATGAACTTTAGACCAGGGACAGCCAGACGTGGAGGGAGGGAGCCGGCCAGTAGTGAGACGGTCGAGGCGATTAGTGGATGTGTGACGGAAGTTAACGTTTACAAAATGCTCCTAAATTAATACATCCAGTTGTCAAGGATTATAAAATACAGACGCCATCATGTGTGTGTTGGTGTTGAAAAATATAAGGTATGTCGCTGTGTATATTTCCCTTACAACTTATTTCTCTCTCCAATCTACGTCAATTCGATAGCCCATTAATTGTATAGAAATGTTGATGACTGGGACTTAATTATACTGAATGATCTTGACAGCTTCACTGGGGTAGAAATCCATTTCAACGTGATTTGGTTGTAGGAGTTTAAGGTTAGGTACCAGAACAAGGCGACCACCCTCGCTGATTAACCCGACCTTCTCCCCTAGACCATTATCCGGTTTAGCATTTATACGGAGTCCTTTAACACGGCTTTAGAGGATTATGAACATTAGATTAACACCTAATCGTGTCCATGATCAAACCTTATAAGTGGTTGTTCCCAGTCGGCGTAATAGAGATGTCTCAACTGTGTACATTATGCCTTCAGTCTTCATTGGTGTATTCATAAGTGTTTTAAGTGGTCTATGAATTTTATGCTGTGAAAGGAATAAAGGAGATATAGATAAAGTTCTTATAGTATTCCGGAGCAGGATAGGACTTGTAGCAACGGATTTAAGTTGGATAAGTTTAGGTTTAGAGGGAGATGGGAAGGAACTGGTTCAAAATAGGTGGTGGACGAGTGGAACAAGCTTAGCAACTTTGTAGTGGGGTGCTGAGATGCTGGAAAGTTTTAAAAGGAGGTTGGATAGTTTCATGGATGATAGAGAGTGGTAGTAACTCTCGACAGGAGCTGCCATGCGCCGGCCTATTGCAGATTCCTTGTTTTCTTATGTTCTTATCACTTTGTAATGCCTGTTGTGTATCACATTAATTGTTATAAATAAGTTCTGGAACTCTTAAGTGGCAGGGCTCAGGTAAACACTTCTTTTGGGGTTTTTTCTTTATTGTTGAAGTAATTATATACACAGTACTTAGTTTGGGAGAGAATGTATTGTGAATTATCTCCAGGGAAGTGTTTTGAGTACACTTATATAATGAACACTTAAGTTACATGTTCACCCCCTTAACTAGTGGTAAGACTCTGGCCCCTCTCCTCCGAGCGTGTGAGCGGAGAAGCGGGCGTCAAGTTGTGTTTTGATTAGTCAGGTGACCTCGCTCGACTTCTGAGAGAGTGAGTGAGCCGCGTATAACGTGAACAACTACCAAGTCATTGTTTAATAACTTAGCGAATTATTTGGTGTTAATCATTTGGGTGACTATTTATTTAATGCAAAAGGTGCTGTTACAACTTTCTCATCGACACCGCCACAATCATTTCACCACCACAATCACTTAACCACAATCACTCTACCACTATCATTTCACCACTATAACTTCACCACAACTGCGTCACCACCTCCACCGCGATCACTTCACCATCACCAGAAACACTCACCAATATCACCACAATCATTTCACCATCACCACAATCTTCGTCATCACCAAAATCACTACAGTCTACACTATCACCACAATCACAATCACTTCAATTGTGTCTTATAAAAACTGACCCACATTATAGAAATATTGCCCAGGCGTTTAGTATCTTAACCGCGGCTCATAGGCTAGTTACCGTGGGTGATGTAATTATATAAACATAATGTTTGTAGCCCACATTAATATAAGTATTACGGTCTGTCTGACGGGCTAATACAATTATAATGTACCATCCATTTCTATATTTATCATTTTTTTTAAGTTGTTCAGGTTTTAATCACCAGTAATTAGATATTTATAATAACGTAGATATGAGGAAAAATATTGAAAAATACGAGGGTGGAAATCACATTTACTTTTAATATTTACCAACACAGGTCATACAGAATATCAATAGCCTGTCCAATGGCCTCCCTTTTATATAGCCCCCTGGAGCCTTCTTGGGACTGAGACACAATGTTATATAGGTGGTTGGTTCCTCACAAATTGCTCACACTCGTCCTGGGTGTGTAGGAGGAGTCTGGACCAGTGTTTAGCTTGTCTTCAGGTTCCCACGCGTTCACTATCTGGGTCCAAATGGTCTCTATAGGGTTGAGGTCTGGGTAGCACTCACAAACAGTCATAGTAATCTCTTAGCACAAGCAATGGCCCTATACAATATTATATTTGTGATATTAAATGTTTCAATAAAAATACAACATTATTATTCTATTGGGTAAAGAAAAAGTTGTATTATTTAACTGAAAGAAACTTATTGAATATGGACCTGGAGATTTAGATGGCCAGTCCAAAAGGTCAATTTCATTCGACCTTTCCTCTGACCAGCGCTTCATCTCTCGTGCCGTGTGAACAGGGCAGTTATCAAAGAAGTGAACAATATTCATCAAACATAATTTGTTAACACTTATATCATGAATTGGCGCCTTCATATAGGTGAAAATGCGCGACTTGGAAAAATGAAATAGGCGAGTGTGGAGGCACGGATGGTGGGCAGCCTCCAGCAGCTCGAGGCAAACGTCAGAGATGATGATGGGTAATGTAAACTGTTGTACACTGAGGAGGAAAAATAAGAGATAACTGTATTATATACTGATGGAAAAAAGAACAAAATATTGGTATTGAGGGAAAGGCGTTTGTTGATCAAGTTGTAATGACCACGGTCTTACACTTCAGTTAGCGCCAAAATCAAATGATTCATATTACGCTCAATAGCCCACAAAACATGTAACTCGGCTTTCGTTTGAGTCCTCCATCTGAGGAGTCCGTTTTCTCATCACTTCAAGACACCTCAGTCCTCCGTTACCCCATTTTCTCTGACTTACTGAAACCAACCTCTCTATAAAATGAATTTGAGTGTGAGAGAACACCCTTGTTTTGAGTCAACTTAGATATGTCTGTTTACAGTTGGAACATTCAAGATCCATTGTGAGTGGGGTAGAATGCTTCAACTGTCCTTATCGTTAGTAGAACGTGTCAAGTAAGTGAGTGTCGAGTTTGCCAGCTAGAGTGGCGTATTTTATGTCGTCCGTGGGGGTATCCATGAGTTTCTGATCGCGCCTGAAGTTACATCATTTTGTCGCCCCGACATCAGAGAATCTGATGTTTATAGTTTAATTAGTGTCAGTTGTCTATTTGAGAAAGTCATTAATCTCCTGAACTATTCTGTCAACTGGTATAATCTCCAAGATCTAGCGCCTCCCCGTGAATAGCTCCTTGTTCGCCTCAGGCCTGAGCTTGCAGAATTAATGTTATCGACGTGTATATTCCACCTTTTCTAAAGATAGTCCATTTGTATATAGTTTCTGTACATATCAATGTCATCGTTATTATTCCAATCTTTCTGACAAAAATCAAAGAAAAGCAGTTGTACCTAAAATAGAAAAAATCAAGAAAGCTAAGAAAAAATTATGACTTTTAATGTTAAGTTGATTTTAAATATATGTGAGAGGCAGTAGCATGATGCTTCACTTTCACTAACACTGATGATACTCTGCTACCATCAAATGGAAGTTCCAGGCGCCCTCACCACTACACTGGCACAACACTTACAAATCTACTATACAAGACGAACAGCTGCGTTATTCTATCGTTGTATGTTGATCACAGTGTCATTTGCACAACTAACTTGTATATTTGCAGAAATGATTATACATTATTAAAATATTCAGTAAATTCTTAACAAAAAATAAATAGAACTCTCTACAAGATCAAGTGTTCGTAAAACATATCTTATATTAAGAGTATGCTACAGGGTGAGGACAAGGAGGTAGGAGTAACGTCTCAGTAAGTAGCTATAGGTCTGTAGAGCCCCATGTCCCCACACAGCCGCATCCTGAGGAGGGATGGCCTTCACCGCCTGGTGGATGCAGGTAAGAAAATTGGAGCAGTCACAGAGGAGGACGTAGTGAAGGGTGCCGTTCTGGGGTTTGGACTTGTGCAGTGTCAGCCTTCGGAGCCCGACCTCATTCGTCAAGCTCTTGTACATCGTTCTCGCTCCTGACATTAATAAACAATAATAATAAGAAATTCATAATAATAAAAATATTGGGTTTCATGTTTAGTGATGTGAATGGGACCATTGGTTATTTTAATCTATGTAATACAAATGTGTACCTAATATTACCAAAAGAAGGCCAATTGATGAGGAGTATTATCGTCGTTGGATTATGTCCTTTCAGAAATCTCATCTTGCGGGGAAAGGCCAACTCCCGAATACCTTGACCGCACCTTCATATTTACAGTATTTTTTTTCTGAAAGATTATTGTTGACTCACGTTTACATTATATTGTCAACATATCAAAAGGTCGCCATCAGACAAAATACTTATAAATAATGTTGAATAATATTGTATAAAAAATTAATACCAGACGTTAACTTGTGGAGATGCTGCCTTGTGTGAGTTACCTTAGAATGACTGTTTATGATGATAATAGGGGCTTTGAAGCTTGCTGAAAAGCCTATTTTTAATTGAGTCGAGCTTCAGCTAGTGCACTTGCTATATTAGACCTCAAGATTTCACCGTAGGAGGTGAAAAGGCCAATATTAACACATCTAGAATAGTTTTAGGCTGCTACTAGCTAGTAGAAAATTGAAAAACTTGAGAGAATGGGTAACCTGGGGTTGGTTTATCGGTGGTCATTACTTTCCAAAACCTACATAAAAAATAGCAAGGGGATGAAACCGAAGGAAGGGCGGGAAAGTGCGTGCACTAGCTTCGCTCACTCACCAAAAATAGGCTTTTCAGCAAGCTTCAAAGCCCCTATTTTAGTGAGTCGAGCTTCAGCTAGTGTACTTGCTATATTCCACAGGAAGGAGGGTACTATGATATAAGGGGAACAGTGAGCACACGGAGGTCCATTCGAATTTTATTCTTAGATTAAGCTACATTAACTTTTCTTTTTCTAGCGTACCTCTCTGTGGGTCGAGGGGTGCTACCCATTGCCACAAAGGGTGCGTCTGACATTATTGAGACAGGTATCTGCTATGAAGCAAGAGGCCGATTTCCACTGACCCCTTTCCCGGACCCGTGAGAGGGAGTGGGTCCTCAGGAAAGCCAGCAAGGCCACTACACCCCATACGTCATGGGGACGTGGCGCCTTCCCAGGGTCAGCCTCCTCTATAACCTGCCGCAACCTGCCTGCCAATCCTGTTACTGACAGCGGGCGGCCCGACAAGGATGAACGAAGAGATGATGCTGGCTATAGGTGTGCTCGCCCTCCACCTTCCATGCCGTAACCATTACTGGCTGGAGCTTGTGGTTCTCCCGCTCATTTTTCGCCAGGGAGGTGGGAGAAGGTGCCAGGGACACTGCAGAATCTCCTTGAGCGAAGGAAGTCCAGTGGTTGAACCTCGTGAGTGCCTTGAGCTGGGAGGAACCTAAAACCCGTGGCCAGCGCTACGAGGAATAGGACTTTCTGTAGTAGGCGGTCCTTTGGCGGTGAATGGATCCGAGCCCAGAAGAGCGAGGTCTTTCTCCAAGGACCAGAAGGTCCAGGGTGGTCTAGCAGGTGGTCGCTGGTGGAACAGGCTCTGCTGCAGCAGGGTAACCGATCTGTTAACCTTCACCCCGCATCCGTAATCCAGGGTTGTCGGTGAGGGGAGCCAGGTGACGGAGAGGGTCGGGATAGACCTGTCTCGTTCGTGCACTATAAATGACAGGAATTCTAGATTTACACTTTCACTGGGCGTGGGAGATCCTTGCTCATTGAGGTACTGCTGGGAAGCTTTCCAGCAGGACTCGTATTAGTCCTGACAAGATGTCCTCCGCCACTCTAGGTGAATGCAATCTACTCAGGGAGGCACGGAAAAAACTCCACACGCGTGTAAGTGAAGTGGTTTCTTTAGCCTGGCAACGAGGGGATCGAAAAGGCAGGAGTTCCCCCAACATCAGTGGATGCGGACACCAGTAGAGGAGCTTTGAGAACCATGGTTGAGCCGGCCAGTATAGGGCCAGGAGGAGGACCTTTCCCTAGCTGCGAAGCTTGTGGCAGACCTTGGAGCAAGGGGGTGGGAACAGGTAGATGTAGGTCCATCTGTTCTAGTGTTCTAATCCTCCGTGAAAGCGTCTGGGCTCCCGTGTGGTTTCGGCGTCAACCGATTCAAGTAAGCCGGGAGCTGAGCGGATGTCTAAGAGGCAAAGAGGTCCACCTCCGGCCGACCCCACCGATCTGTCAGTGACTGAAACACTCTGACGCTGTGTCCACTCTACTGACGTCCCCTTGAAGCGGGAGAAGGCGTCGGCCCAGACGTTCTCGATCCCGGGACATATCGAACGGACAGGTGGATACTCCAGTGGTGTGCCTCCTTGAAGATCTGCTCCGAGTGTGACAGCAGTTCGGCTGAACGTGAAGTGTCCTGCCTCTTGAGGCAGAAAACGGCTGCTATGCTGAAGCAAAGGGTGCCAATCCTAACAGGCCTTGCCGCACTTCCGCATCCCGGTCTGGCACCCGGTCATCCTGGGGGGATAAGACTACGGTGACCTTGACTGGAGGTCCAGGCCAACCTTTTCCCATGAAAAATTGGCCTGGCCGGCTGCCCAGGCAACACCTACCGTCCTGCAGCGTTGCCACTCGGGACGGAACTGCTGTGGACAACACAGAACAGGAGGCGTCCAGGGCCGCGACCGGTCCTGACAGGGCTGGGACCATCTCCCTTCTCGACAGGTGGAGCTGCCGGAACTCGAAGTACTACGTACCTAAGTCGTCCGCCCGTCGTCGGACCTCTAGTTCGGAACGGGGAGAGAGAACTAGGTCCTCCCCCCGCTTTACACTCTTAAGAAATGGCCAGTCTCCCATGGTGCCGGTGCACAAACCAGTCCCGTGGGACCCCGAGCCCACTTGTATGCCCCCTGGCTGATGATGTCATCAGGTGTCTTAATAGAGAGGGGAGCGTCGGTAAGTGCGGGGAAGTTCCCTTCTCCTGACGAAGGCCTGGGCCTTGTAAGGACTGGGGGAATTGCAGTTACCGACTCCTGGTCCGAGTCGGAGTAGTCAGGCAGCCCCTGTGAGGACCCGGCCCCTACGGCTCGGAACCGAACTCCGAGAACACTAATGGGTCCGGGGAGGGGGAGCGAGGGATGGATCTCCGTGCCACAGGATATTGAATGGAGGAGAGCCTGGGCTTTCTGCTGTTGCAGCTGCTGTGCCCAGAACCAGAAAGACAGAGCCTCCAGCATCTTCAGTGGTAGGGCTAGAGGTTGTGGGTGCACCCAAGGTGGCCGGCATCTCCGGCTACGGTTGGACGGCCAGGGACCGACCTAGACGGGACAATGGAGGGGGTAGAGGGGCCGTCCTACCCGGCGGCGCCGTGGAAGGTCGCCTGGCCCGGGGGGAGGGAGCCATAAGAGGTCGGTAGGGGAGATTGGTCCGTCCTAGCCGAAACACCTGGCAAGGGCTGGTAACGGTGGAGGTCCGGAGAGGATGAGGACCGCCTCTCCAAGGACACTCTGGGCTGCCCGGACAACCCAGTTGAGGCCCTGGTGGAGTCGCGGGGTTCGAGGATTGCCGCTTCCTCCTAGCTGTCCTAGGCGACCTGGGGTGGTGGTGCCTGTTGTAGAAGGAATCAGCGTGACTCCCCGAGCCGAGACAGTGGAGACAGGAGGAGGAGACGAAGGCAGCTCGGCTCGAGGGCAGCTCGGCTCGAGGGCAGCTCGGCTCGAGGGCAGCTCGGGTCGAGGCATCGGCTCGAGAGCAGCTCGGCACGAGGGCTGCTCGGCCTGGGATCCTGGGTAGAGTGGTCTCTACCCGAGGGGCCTAGGGCAGCAGAGATTCTGGTGCCTCCAGGAGGAGGGAGCCCCGGTGTCTGTTGCCAGAAAAAGTGTTAGGAATTCACATCTCCGTCAGCCTCGCTGAGAAACCCTGCCACCCATCAGAACACACCGTACAGCGACTCGAGTCGAACTTGTCTTCCAAGCACTGAGCGTGAGCTGCACAGGCGGAGTGGCCATCCTGTTAGAACCTGGTCGAACACCTCATGGTCGAGCAGGGCACCTTCTGAAGCTGGGGATGGAAAAACAAACATGAGAAATAAAACAATGGAGCAGGGCAGAAGAAAGGACTACAGACGTCTCTCTCTGCCACCAAAACCCGAACCAGACAGCGAAACCGAGTAACGACTCTGTGCGAGAGCCTGGACGAGAGAAATCACCAAAACAGGGTGGGCGTTGGTGGAACCCAGAGCGTCCACCGGCGCAGGGCGTCGCGAGACAGCCAGGGGCAAAAAAGGGCGGACAAGGAGAGTGCATGAGACGTGCGAGATCCCTGGGTTCGACTGCATTGACCTCCCTGGTCAGGCAGTGGAGAAGCAGACGACTCCGGGGAACCACCTCTGTCGTGTGGTTGAGGGAGCCTAGGAAGGTCTCCCACTGGAGGCGAGTGAAAATGGCCGACATTGAGACGACAAAGAGACGCTGGAGTACAAGTCGAGCGTTGTTGTCGTTGATGAGTAGGGTGCCTGGTTTGAACTGGCGACTGGCGGGGGTCAGCTTCCGTGAAGAAGGTCGGAAGGGCGGCCAAGCATTCCCGCAGGGCAACCTCTGGGATCAGGGAACCGGCATTCCTAAACAACCCGTCAACCAGCAACACAACGCTCCCTCTCCTAAATAACTAAGAAAAGAAAACATCATGGCAAACTGCTGACAAAAAAACTCACAGATGGTGCAAAGTAACAGACACAAACCAAATGCGAAGAAAAAACTGAAGCAGGAGCAGTCTCTAACGTCAAGCTACAGCAGTCAGGCCAGGAAGAATGATGACCGAAATGTAAACTCTTTGTACGTCGCAGGCAGTAATGAGCTCTTCTGCGCAGGTTACCCTTTATCTCAAGTTTTTCAGTTTTCTACTAGCTGGTAGCAGCCTAGACTATTCTAGATGTGTTAATATTGGCCTTTTCACTTCCTAGGGTGATATCTTGAGGTCTAATATAGCAAGTGCACTAGCTGAAGCTCGACTCACTAAAATAAAGTTAGAAATAACCAAGTTGTTCCCCGAAACCAACTGAGAGATCTATCCTAGTAAGTCCTTAATCTGTTCTACTCACCGCCCATCTGTCTATTCTGTCCCGCTTACTCATCTGTCCCAATCACTCACCTCTCCAGCCCAGCTTGGCTATGATCTATCCCACTCACTCACCTGTCCATTCTGTCCAATTCAATTGTATATCCGTTTGTCCAGCTCACTCACCTGTACATTCTATCCAGCTCAATTGTATATCCGTTGTGTCCAGTTCATTCACCTGTCTATTCTGTCCAGCTCATTCACCTGTCCATTTTGTCCAGCTCACTTGTACATCCGTTCTGTCCAGCTCACATACCTGTCCATCCCAGCCAGTTCCTTTCAAATTTCTCGCCGTCGTCACCCTCAAACACACGGAAGACTGTGATGATGTAACCCGTGGAGGAGGTAGTGGCCTTACGGGACACCTTCTCTGTAGGGGGACACGAGAGGGACATGAGAGTTACCAGGGGAACATGAGAGTTACCGAGTTACCAGGGGGACATGGGAGTTACCAGGACACTGTAACAGTGCCATGTTTTTAGAGTAAATTATATAATGTTTTTTTTTTAGAAAATATACAGACCTATGAGAATTTAGTTAAGACAATATTCCAGCCAAAAAGCCAGTGTGGTATTGACCAGTAGGGTTAAGACCGAGATAAGAAAATCAAAGAGGAATAATGAACTCAAGGAAACAAGGGAGGCGAAGTCAAATCTCAAGGGATTCATCCAAATGTATCAAACTAAAACACGAGACAAAATTGGACCAATACAGTCAGATACTGGCGAGCTAACGGATAACGACGTATAAATGAAAAAAAATCTGAACAGATATTTTTCAATAGCTTTCACGACCGTAAATTTAAACATGATACCAGAGGCACCGACGATATACAGAGATAGTGAAGAAAATAGATTAGGCGAGATAATAGCGACTAATAACGATGCTAGTAGGCAGGTAGTAGGTAGTAGACAGCTACCAAACAGGGAGGTACTAGCGCCTGGGAAGATATTGGAAGCATAATGTATTATCTAATGGTAGACCCTGCTGCCATATGGCATCAAAATTTTTTTGACCAAGTCTCAGGATGCTGAATCTGCCTGGACCGGACGGAATACCCCCTCGTGTTCTGAAGCCCTGGCCCCTGAGCTTGCTCGCCTCTTTCGCCTCTGCCTCAAAACCCAAACTTTTCCTTCTTCTTGGAAGCATGCCTCAGTTCAGTCCATCTCGAAAAAGGGTGACCATTCTAATCCCTCTAACTATCGCCCCATTGCCCTAACTTCATCCCACTCTAAGGTTTTCGAAACTATCTTGAACTCCCATTTTCTCCGTCACCTTGAACGCCTTTCTCTTTTGTCGGATCACCAGTATGGCTTTCGCCAGGCGAGATCTACTGGTGATCTGCTCTCCTATAGCACCCATCTTTGGTCATCCTCTCTTAGGGATTATGGGGAAACTTTTGTCGTGGCCCTCGACATCTCCAAAGCATTTGACAGGGTATGGCACAAGTCTTTGCTATCTAAACTTCCCTCTTTTGGTTTCTCTCCCCCACTTTGTTCTCTCATCTCTAGCTTCCTTGAGAACCGATCCATGGCAGTTGTTGTCGAGGGATCGATCTCTCGCTCTTTGTCTACCAGTAGTGGTGTCCCACAGGGTTCTGTTCTTTCACCCCCACTCTCTCTTCCTTCTTTTATCGATGATTTAATTCTACACTACAACTAATTCTATCCATTCTACACTGATGATTCTTCACTTCTTCACTTTCTTTCAGATTTTCCTCTCCTAACTCTCAAACTAGATCTGTTTCCTAGAACTGATATCATTACTTTATCAATGCATCTCAGCAGCATCTCTGAATGTGGGGAGGTACAAATCTTGGTGAAGTTCAACAGTATTAAACTCAATATTTACTAATTGCACTTTGTAAATTGGACACCCAATTACCACATTTCAGATCGCTACCATCCTGCCAAATTCTGAAATAACATAAGGCCCAGCCATTTCTCCAATATGTCCTGGAAATCACACATCCTTAATATAGCCAAAGCTGCCTCCTGAAAGTTGGGGAATGCTAAGATGCTGCAGTTACCACCGGAGCAGTTGCTTCCAAGTATATAGGATTCATTCGTTCTAACTTGAGTATCGTTCTATATCTAGAGTGGCCTCTTCTTCGTCCAACCTTTAGATAGGGTGGAATCAAAGGCATTTCGTCTTATTAACTCTCCTTTATAGCCAATATCTCTTCCTTTCTTCACCACAATGTTGTTTCACTTCTTTACAGGTACTTTAACGCTGTTCAGTGGATTTGGTATCTTAGGTACCGCTGGCAAGGCTGTGGGTCTGTAACATACGTCTTGCCCACAGCTCACTGCTTCTGTGGATGTCGGTCACATGAGATTAACCCGTTATGGTACCTCTCTCACACACAGCCAAACTGTGAATGCTCTATCTTCTGTGTTTGCATTTATACACTCTGTCTCACTTTAAAAGCTGGTTTTCCGGCACTCGTGGAGAGATTTTCTATCAATTCTTTCTGTTCTTGGTTTTTTCACCTCTTGGCCCAGTTGTAGGTCATGGACTCCAGCCTGCGGGGTTAATTCTCAAAAAAAACACACAATTGTGGGGTCTCAATTTTTTCTCTTACCATTGACAACACAACATACAAATATTGCTTCTCACTCTTGATCATTTTCTTTTCATTTTTGTATTTCTTTATGGTTCTTTATTCATGTTATTATTATTATTATCATTATTACATCTCCGCCTCCCAGGCCCTGATGTGGGTAAGTGACCTGTGCCCAGGTGAGCTAATCCCCTTAAAAAAAAATAGACAAGCTAAAGTCTAATAAGTCACCAGGCCCCAATGAAATATTTGATAGAATATTAAGGGAATGTAAGGAGGATCTTAGTAGCCCTTAGCAAATTTGTTTAACATTTCATTAAAAACGGGTGTAGTACCAGAATCCTGAAGAATAGCGAATATGATACCAATTTTCAAGAAGGGAGATATATCATTATCGTCTAACTACCGTCCAATCAGTTTAACATCAATTGTAGGCAAATTGCTGGAAGCAATAATTTCAAACTCTATTCGAAATCACCTGAAGAAGCACAAGTTGATCAGTGATTCCCAATATGGCTTCACAAGTGGGTGTTCATGTTGGACTATTCTATTAACATTTTTTTTCAGCTGTTTTCGAATCATTGGACGACGGGCACGATTATGATGAAGTATGCCTCGACTTTAGCAAAGCCTTCGACAGAGTCCGCCACGAAAGACTAATACGTAAAGTAGAGGCTCGTAGAATTGGAGGAGATATTCTAAAATGGATTAGGGCGTGGTTACGGGACAGGAAACAGCGAGTAGGCATTAACGGCACCAAATCCGATTGCGGAAACGTCACTAGTGGAGTACCCAAGGCTCAGCACGTGGACCATTACTATTTATTATATACATGAACGACTTATATATAAGTAAATTTTCTGGTGACACTAAAATAGGGCGTGTAAGTAAATCTGACGAGGACTCGAAAAAACTATAGGAAGATCTACAGAAATTTTTCGCATAGTCTTAAAAATGACAGATGAAATTTAATGTGTCAAATGTAAAGTTCTTAGCCTAGGAGAGATTAACAGAGAAACCAGATATCAGATGAACAACGATGTTATAGAGAAATCGGACTGAGAGAAAGATTTAGGAGTAATAATAAGTAGGAAACTTAAACCAAGTCAACAAGGCTAAAAAAGTTTTGAGTTCATACAAAGGAGTGTTAGTTACATAGTAAACGAGGTCATCCTAAAACTATATTTTGCGCTTGTGAGGCTTTACATGGATTACGTGGTTCAGTTTTGGTCAACGTAGGACAGAATTGATATAGAATCCCTAGAAAATATTCAGAGGAGAATGAGAAGAATAATCTCAGGCATTAGGAATCTTGAGCACGGAGACAGGTTAAAGCATCTTAATTTGCACACCCTCGGGAGACATAAAGTGAGGGGCGATATTATAGAGGTGTATAAATGAATGTCAGGGCTAAACAAAGGTGATATAACAATTACAAATGTACTCAAACTTTCCAACAAGAAGCGAACTCGTAGCAATGATGTTAAATTGGACAAATTTAGATTTAGGTGCGAGTTGGATAAACATTGGTTTGGAAATAGAGTAGTGAATGAGTGGAACAAGTTACCAATCATCGGCATTAACTCGAATGCGCTGAATAGCTTCAAACATAGATTGGATGGATATATGAGCGATAGGGGTCGGGTGTAAAATTTACTGCCCAGTATGGGCCAATAGGCCCGCTGCAGTTTCCTCAATTCTTATGTTCTTATGTTTTAATGAGAGTCACCAAGGGGCAAGAGAGTCACCAGGGGACAAGAGAGTCACCAGGAGGAAAAGAGAGTCACCAGAGGGGCAAAAGAGTCACCAGGGGACAAGAGAGTCACCAGGGGACAAGAGAGTTACCAGGGGTACAAGAGAGTCACCAGGGAACAACAGAGTCACCAGAGAACAAGAGAGTCACCAGGTGGACAAAAGATTCACCAAGGGGTACAAGGGATCACCAGGGGCTACAAGAGAGTTAACAGGATTGTACAAGGGAGTCACCAGGTTGACAAAAGAATCACCAGGAGGCACAAAGGAGTTACCAGAGGGTCAAGAGAGTCACCAGGTTGACAAAAGAATCACCAGGGGGTACAAAGGAGTTACCAGAGGGTCAAGAGTCACCAGGGGGGGCAAACGATTCTCCAGGGGGACATCAAAATATATTGAGCACATTGACTGTGGTAGTAAACATGAGAATGACTGTTAAATAACTCTACGTATTTCACTAACACAATAAAATAACTGTACATTTGGAAGATATTGATTCATAAAAGAGTCAAGTAAGAGGCAGGTATCAAGTTAACTTGCTCACTGTGACCATCATGAGCCTGCCGAGTGTCCAGAGAATAATACTAATGGTTGGTGTGAGCCATGAAAGCTCTCTGGGTGTTGATATAAGGATGGAAATGGGGTGTAAGGGACTCAACATACCGAGGGGCGGGCGGGCCAGCATGGCGACCTCCTCAAAGGTGTCGAAGTAGTGGGGGCAGGTGAAGCCGGTCTTGGCGGGGTCGAGGGCTTCGAGGCTAAGGTTTCGCACCTTGTTAATCACCTGGTGGGTATCACAATGCCGTCCGTCCACCACCCACAACATCATGAACGGGAACTCCACTGCAAACACACACACAGCTATTGAGGAACATCAGTGCTTGTGGAGGTTTAGGTAAGGTAGTGATAGTCATAAGATGAAAGCAATATATCAATGTCCCAGAAACATATTAACCCCGTCATTATTAATGTTTACGGGATTAAAATGTTTCTTAATTATTTTGAAAACAAAGGTACAAAGGACAGGTGTGTGAGACAGGTACAGAGACCAATTGTGTGAGACATGTAGAGAGGCTTGGTGTGTGAGACAGGCAAAGGGGCCAGGTGTGTGTCGGATACACTGGGCAAGTGTGTGAGACAGGTAGAGTGGTACTGACCTGCGCCCATCTCACCTCCCCGCTCCAGGTTGACCAGCACCATTCCCTGGAGGACGCCACTGCTCACTCCCACACCAGACACTGCCGCCTTGAACGCCTGAGGGAGAGAGAGAAGCGGCGCTCAACCCTCACCAAAGATATACACATACAGTACATCCCTACATCATGTGTCTTATTCCTCTCATATAACTGACTTTAGTCATTGATGTGATCATATCAGGCCTTCAAACAATATGAAACAACGAACCAAGAATTCTGACTTGTCAAGAACCATCTTACTGTATGTTCGTGCATGCTATTACCAGTTGAGACACTGGTTCAGCCTTTTATAACTTTGGTAAACAGAAAGCATTGGCAATTTTTGATCGTGGTAAGGAGGATTGGAGAGTGGTGAATACATTTTCTCAACCGGACTCTACTCTTGATGAAGTTGTGCGAGTAGGGGAACTATTTCTACTAAAGTTGTATGGAGCACTTCGGTCTACCTCTCTAGACAGTTATCGTTACCTAGTGTACGGTACATGAGGGGTTCCAACTGGAAAGCTTACCCCCAACTTCAGTTGCTGCCAAGTACCACTCATACAGAACTTATCTAACGGTGCAACAGTGGCTGGGTAGTGAGTTGTCTCCTCCCGAGTAGGGATGGCAATTCAGAGATGGGAGGCTATTTCCGATCAGTACTGACCGACCAGTGGCAACAATAAGGTGCAAGGCAGGCTGTGGGAAGAGATGTAGTTGCCTGTGTGTTCCTCAACACAAGAACAGCAACCTGTGTGTTCCTGAAGACAAGAACAGCAGCCTGTGTGTTCCTGATCTCAAGAACAGCAGTGTATGTGTTCCTGAATACTAAAACAGCAGTGTATATGTTCCTGAACACAAAAACATCAGTGTGTGTACTCCTAGCCACAAAAGGAGCAGCCTGTGTGTTCCTTACCACAAGAACAGCAGTGTATGAACTCCTAACCACAAGAACAACAGTGTATGTGTTCCTGAATACAGGAACATCAGTGTATGTACTCCTAACCCCAAGAACAGCAGCCTGTGTGTCCCTGAACACAAGAACAGAATCCTGTGTGTTCCTGAACACAAGAACATCAGTGTATGTGTTCCTGAACACTAGAACAGCAGCCTGTGCTTTCCTGAACACAATAACTACAGCCTGTGTTCCTGAACACATGAACAGCAACCTGCTGTTGCCTGACCACAAGAACAGCAGCCTATGTGTTTTTGAACACAAGATCAGCAGTGTATGTGTTCCTGACACAAGAACAGCAGGCTGTGTGTTCCTGACACAAGAACAGCAGGCTGTGTGTTCCTGGCCACAAGAACAGCAGCGTTTATGTTCCTGGCCACAAGAACATCACCGTGTGTGTGAGTGTTCCTTCCAAGAGCCACTGTATAATTTTTTGTGATAATACTAAAAACATTATTTCGTAATCCTTTTTTATTTGAAAGCACCGAGTGTTGATAATCTTCACTTAGGTTTAGCCGCTGTGACTATAGGGCCTCTATTAGTATCCGTAAGGAATACAAGATGTGCTGTCAGAAAGATCCAACCATGTGGTACAGACTAAAGCATAATTGTGTGAGCAGATCAGAAGAGTATCTAGCGAGAGAGCCAACGTCAATCATAAATTAAATGGATGGCGTTAAAGAACAAATACAAAATAATGAAAACGAGGAAAATCTAGGTGAAGTAAAGTGGGACCCGTTAGTGACAGCGTGGATACAGCACATTGTATACTAATTCTTCATTACACAAGGAGGCAGCATGGCCTGTACTGCTCTCTATTGCATTCACTTCCCTAACAACCCCTGAAACAGAGGGTGAGGCGAATTCTGTATCCACTCAACCGCAAGACTCCATTTAGTCATGGCAAAGACTGTCAAACTTTTACATGTTGTTCATAGCTATTATGGAGGAGGTGATGGTGACTATGTGTGGGGGAGAATGTCACCTTGACCACGTGTTCACGGTGGTGGGTGTAGAGGTCGTAGAGGGGGGAGCAGAGGGCCGGGGTTACGTGGACGGCGTGACCCATCATGTGAAACACCACGTGCAGCTGCTGCTCGGGGGCCTCCAGCAACCTGAGGCGGCCAGTGCTCGACGTGGTGGGGATCTGGCGGAGGAACACTCGTGAGAAACCTTTCTTATTTACCTCTATAATGTAACAATAAAAGATTCCCAAATCATGGCAGGACACTGATATAAAATTAATTATAATCAATACCTTTCTTGTAAAATTAAATTTCACTTCCATAATCCATAGTTTAAAGATTAATATCAAACAAATTAAATAATGATGATGAATTTGTAAAATATTTTGAAAACTAATTGATCTTCTATTTTTGTTTTGTTCTCTGTCGTTATAATTACATTTGTTTCCAAAACAAACAAGACAAATGATGTAGAAAGATAAAAAAAACAATAATTAACCTACTTGTCCACTACCGCCGTGGGAGTGTTATTATTATTGTTATTGTTATTATTAGTAGTACTGTAGTAGTAGTAGTAGGCAACAGTCACTGAATGCCGCATACATCTGCGGCTCAACTAACTCAACACAGCTTGGGTAGCTACTGGGGGAGGCTGGAGGCCACGTTGTTTAACAAACAAAAAAATAAAAAAGGTAGCAGTAGGAGTAAAATTATTATTATCAATATTGTTGTTCATAGACGCCTTTAAATAAGAATTGGAAATGAGCTATCTTTGGGTTTAAAACTCGGATCCATTGTTAAAATGCTCCATCAAGAAAGCAGTTGTCTCTCAGACACATTTACACACAAATACCAAGCGGTGCTATTTCTGCTGTTCGTTAACCCTCATTTTATGGTAAATTAAATACTAATGAATGTTTACTAACAAACTGGGGTGACAAAGCATAAAAAATAATAAATGTCAGTAGTTTGAGGCTCCACCTCACATTTTTCGTTCGGGGTTTACTCCCGTAGCCTTATAATTATAATTATTATTATTATTATTATTATTATCATTAATAATATTATTATTATAAATACTATTATTGCTATTATTATTATTATTAGTAGTAGTAGTAGTAGCAGTATTATTATTATTAATAATAATATTATTATTATTATTATTATTATTATTATTATTATTATTATTATTATTATTATTATTATTATTATTATTATTATTATTAGTAGTAGTAGTAGTAGTAGTAGTAGTAGCTTAGTAGTATTAAGGTAAATAAATGGTGGCGAAGGTGTGGCTATTGGGGGAGGCTGGAGGCCACGTTTTAAAAAAAAAGTAGCTATAAGCGCGGAAATTTGGGCGCCTCCGAACTGGTTAACTACGTTACCGATAAGGGCAAATGGTTTCAGCCTTAACAAACAAGAATTTACAGATGCCATTGCTCTAAGGTACAGTTGGCCAGTAGATGGTTTGCCCTCCCAATGCGTGTGTGGCTATTCCTATGATGGCGATCACGCCATGGTTTGCAAGAAGGGGGGCTTCATATGCATGAGGCATGACGAGGTAAGGGATCTCACAGCAAATATGTTGAAGGAAATCTGCCAGGACGTCATGGTAGAACCGACCCTCCTTCCACTGGATGGTGAGATCTTCCAACACAGGACTTCAAACACATCTAATGAAGCCCGTGTGGACGTCAGTGCTCGAGGATTCTGGACGCGGGAACAGCGAGCTTTCTTCGACATCAGGATTTTTGATCCCATGGCCACTTGTCACCGTAACCTAGCTCTCGATGCTGCACATAGAACCAGAGAACGACAAAGAGAAGGGCATATGGGGAGAGAATTCAAAACGTTGATCAAGGCAGCTTCCTCCTCTAGTGTTCACAACCTCTGGTGGATACGTTAAGTGAATCATTTCTGCGCCAGACTCGCAGGTTGATCTCGAACAGAAACTGTAGCCAAGTTATGTTACAGCCGGATGAGATGTGACTGTCCTTCTCTCTCCTTCGGTCGGCTTTGCTCTGCCTCAGGGGAACGAGAGCTTCTGCCCCTACTCCGACAACTGCTGCAGATATTGACTATGAGGCAACAGTCACTGAATGCCGCATAGATCTGCGGCTCAACTAATTTAATACAGATAGGATAGCTTCTTATGTATTAGGATATTTAATATTAAGGTAAATAAATGGTGGCGAAGGTGTGGCTATTGGGGGAGGCTGGAGGCCACCTAATAAAAAACAAAAACAAAAAAGTAGTAGTAGTAGTATAATTAATATTATTATTATAATTATTATTATTATTAGTAGTAGTAGTAGTAGTAGTAGTGAAGCAAGAGAGACTAAAAATTACGGGTGACGGAAAGCAAAACACCGATGACGTGGCAAGAAAATTTGGAAACAAAATGCGTGTGGGAAAAGTGTCTCTGGCGGTAAGATCTCTATTGACTAGGGAAGTACATTATTGCCTACAGCCACTTTAAGCCTTCTAATCATCACACCGTCACTGAACTATGCCTCATCTTAGCAGGAACAAACCACTGTAGTTGTCAGAAAATTAATTGATGATAAAATTAGATATAACTGTCTAGTGATGGGTTGTTTTAACTCACCGTAGGGTGGGAAGCGACCAACCATGGTCAATGTTGCACAAACATTCCTTAATAGTTAAATCGTGGATATTGCTACTCTTCTTCTTATAATTATCATTATAAGAGAGAAGGTAACATTGGAGGGGGCGTGGCACTGACCGGGTGTCCGGCAGGGAAGAAGTGTGACATCTTGGCCACGGGGATCATGAGTGAGTCCTGCTTGAGCGTACCCAAGGTCACAGGGTCTTGGGAGGCTGCTGCCATCTCTTCGGCCTCAAGCTCTGCCTGCTGCTGCGCCTGCCAACACAACAAACTGGTGGTACCTTCCTTCGTAAAGAGTGTTTGTTTGTACCTTTACTGTGGATATCATCATTATTCACATGTGCATTAAAACATTTAAATAGTGTATGACAATTTTATATTTATTTTTTTACACTGAACAGTTAGAAGATTTTGAAATGTTATCTAGAAAAGGTAAGTTTATTTGGGTATTAAGATTCAGTAATATGTTTCAGAGGGTTGGACGCACTACAACACAACACCCTGTTTAAATTTGTGAAATCCAGGAGACAGTTCGATGATCTTGACGATAACTGATAGGTAGCAGTGGTTTTAAATTGGTGTGGATGAAGGAGTTGGTTTCAAGAAGTGAATTAATGAACTCGTATATTTCCCATAAGCCTGCGTCACTACCTGCAGGTTGGTCTATTCTGTGTTACTTTGTTATGACCATTGTTGTCCAGTTTTAGTATTGGGTGAAGTACCCGGAGAAAACCTGCCATGTTAGGTAGGGTCACATCCGTCTTGGGCTCGTGAGAGTTTCCGCTTTACAGTGCCACCTTTGGCGAAGGTAAAGGATAAAGGCAAATGATATTACATAGAGGGGTCTCACAGCCCAATAGTATAGTATAATTATTACAAGACAATATTAAACGCAGCCACCATCGGTTAAGAACCAATGATAAAAGCCAGGAAATGAGTACGACATAACGTCATGGCGCCCGTCAGCTTGCCAGGCCGAATAAAAACATTACTAGAAACGATAAAGCCAACATCAAAATCTGATCCAGTCGCTTCGTTAACAGTGATCATTAATTGTTTAAGTAAAAACTGTTTAAGTTAAGATAAAACAAGGACAAATACTATAACACTCGGAGTACCGCCCTCATATCTGAGGGTTGGTGACCACAGTCCTGCATTCCTAACGTTCTTTGGCTAAAGTGGCGGGAACACACACCTAGTATTTCTTGATAACAAACTCCTCACTGTTAAGTAGTCACGGCACACCAGAGTTAAGTATGAATTGATGAAGTGTTGGTTCTCTCTTAACGCGCCAGAAAAAAAAGTACTCTACTGTTTTGTCTTTCCAAGTCAGGCAATATTTATATTGGTTTGCCTATAATAAGTCACATTGGTGGTTTCTCAATAAGGCTCCGGGTAAATCAAGTACCGTTAGATTTTCAACACAGAATAAACACGACAGTATTGTACTGATGGCGAGGAAGTCGTTAGTCATCCAGACACATCGCGGTCCTCTGAGTTAATGATAATTATTTAAAGGCGGTAAAATAAAACAAGAATATTATTGGTTGGTTCATTCCTGGCAATATCGTTCTTCGTTGGAGTAATACGTGAGACGCCCATCATTCCTTAAAGTCTTCAGTACGGTACATAAAACTACCACTACAATAGCTACTGGTACAGAGACAGAGTTAAGGAGAGTAACAACAATACATTGTTATCGCCGCTGGCTTCAACTACAGTGCTGGCGTTGCCTTACTCGAACAAACATTCAATCTGAGCCTGAGACCACGTGCGCCGCCCCCCCCCCCTCCCACGCGACCTGCACAACAAGATGCCCTGATTCTGCTGAGTGTATGGTTTAAAGCAGTGGTTCTTAACCTTTTTACTACCACGCCCCCTCTAGGAATTGGTCCTTCCCTCCACGCCCCCCTTGCATCTATGCATAAAATTCCCTCCCAGATTTTAAAGAAAAATGAAAAATATTGTGTTTTTAGTATTTTTATTGAGTATAAATTAGTGAGATACTTGACACTGCTTCTTAGCTACTAGATCTTGAATGCGTGGTTGAATGCCAGAGAGTGCACAACGTAAATCCCCTTCAACGTTCAGCCTGTTTCTGTACTTGGTCTTGACAGCAACGAGCGTGGAAAATGCAGCTTCACAAAGATACGTGGATCCGAACATTGTTGTTGCCTGTTGGGATCGGGGTAGACTTTTAACTATATTCTAATTCCCCAACTCGTAACAATATGTTCGAAAATGTTAGAGGACATTATCTTAGGAGAGGACTTATAAGTGATCATGGTCGAAACCGAGTTATGTCACACAGAGACGCCAAGAGAATTTCTCCCACAATTCACCGATGGATCAGCATATCTTGTTTTATGTAAACAACTGCTCTCGCAAATAGTAGGGGGTGTTGATAGCCCCAAAGAAAAAGAGGATTCAAGTGTAAATAACCAGTATGAGAGGCAAATACCTCCTACCAGCCGTCCTAAACATAACGAAGATCCGTTCGAGCAGGAACTCAAACGAAGTGGAAAGCTGTCATTAAAACACAACAATTCATTCTCGTCGTGTCCGTCTTATTTACATGAACTCGTTTCACTGTAACAGTTGACAAATACAATGCCGACTACTCAATGAACTATCTATGACCGACACCAAGGAGTTTGTGTCTTCCTCATGGCGAAATCACACACATGTTTACCTTTGGGTTGGCTGCTGTTGGGTTCTCATTATATCACAGGTCAGCTGAACTACAGCTGAGACAAGTGTGCTTTACCGTAGGCGAGGGAGAGAGGAGCCAGGAGGGTTGCCAAGTCAAGCTAAGTTTAGGGCGTTACGTGAATTAATTTGGCAAACTCCTTACAACAGAGCCACGTCACCACCATTACATTCACTCGCACCCTCGTCACCACCAGTACACTCACTCGCACCCTCGTCACCACCAGTACACTCCCTAGCACCATCATTACCACCAGTACACTTACTAGCACCCTCACCATCACCAGTGCACTCCCTAGCACCATCATTACCACCAGTACACTCCCTACCGCCTCAACACCAGGACTCAGCCTGGCAGTCTCCTCAACACGTGTACTCACCCTGACAAGCTCCGCAACACCAGTACTCACCCTGGCAGCCTTCTCAAAAACAGTACTCACCCTGGCACCCTCCTGACTACCATTACTCCCCCTGACAGCCACTTGACTACCAGTGCTCACTCTGGCAGCCTCTTGACTACCAGTACTCACCCTGGCAGCCTCCTCAAAACCAATACTCACCCTCGCAGACTCCTCAACACCAGTACTCACCCTGGCAGCCTCCTCAACACCAGTACTCACCCTGGCAGCCTCCTCAACACCTCCTCAGACTCCTCAACACCAGTACTACTCAACCCTCCTAGCCTGACACTCCTCAGCAGCCTGTCTCACCCTGGCCTCAACACCAGTACTCACCCTGGCAGCCTCCTAGTACTCACCCTGACAGTACTCACCCTGGCAGCCTCAACACCAGTACTCTCCCTGGCAGCCACCTCAACACCAGTGCCTACCCTTGAAGTTTCCTCAACACCAGTACTCTCCCTGGCAGCCTCCTCAACACCAGTACTCTCCCTGGCAGCCACCTCAACACCAGTGCCTACCCTTGAAGTTTCCTCAACAACAGTACTCTCCCTGGCAGCCTATATTAGCCCCTGTCTAACAGACCGTAATACTTATATAAATGTGGGTTAAATACCTTAGGTTTATATAATTACTTCGCTCACGGTAACTCTCCTATGAGTTGTGAGTAGTAATGAATTGGACATGTGAGTGTATTTCCAATGTTCCCTCACACCTTGATTGCAGAGTCATCAATTAAGTAGCCAGCTGTCGCCATTTCTATTCCCGTCTCTGAGCCACCCAGACGTGTGCTCTAAGATGCTAGACATACCCTAAGCTTCGTCCTTTATTAACGCTCACAGCTCATGGCATTAATTACGGTGATATCCCAGGTATTGTGCAATAGTTTATTTTCTTGATAAATGGAGAAAAGACCATTTGGGTTTCAAAACTTAATCCATAAACATTTGTGAATGTTGCTTCCAGTTCACCTCTAATTAGCGGTTCCACAGGTAACCGGAAACTGTAACATAAAGGTGGCAGCGGATCTACGAATCCATACAAAAATAAGCTGATTTTTTTTTTAAAGTTTGACATACTCCAATGATGCACTTGGATATATGATTTAGTGAGAGACATTACACATCGAGTGGAACACTTGTTTGACGTCCCAGTTTAACGTATAAATTTTTATCTATTATTATTATTATAAGTGATTTAATACAATTGATCACTTCATAATATTTTGTATTATTATTTTTTTTTACGGGGATTATCCCACCCAGGCACAGGTCACAGGCCTAGAGGGCGAAAATGTAATAATAATAATAATAATAATAATAATAAAGAACCATAAATACAAAAATGAAAAAAAAATCAAAAGTGAGAAACAATATATGACTGTTGTGTTGTCAATATGTTGCAACACTGTCCAATGCAGCACCGCCACACCCTGACCTCTGTTTTCAAGATGTGCTCATAATTGTTTACGACTATTAAGCACAACAAGTTAGCAAGCCTTCATTCCCAGCGATAGGAAACACCCCAGCACCGAGACACATACCCCACCCCCAGGCACCCCCCAGGGTGAGCCTACCCCAATCTTCAGCTCAAGGTTGTTTTGATTGGTCGACGTCTGGCTCAGCGCTCTTGGTCAACACTCCCAGTGGATGCGCCTTGTGACCCAGCGTGTTGCCCACCGTATCTAGATCGTTTATGTAGATTATGAACAAGAGTGGGCCTAGTACTGACCCCTGGGGAACCCCACTGGTTACACGGCACCACTCAGATTTAACACCATCTACGCTGACCCTCTGCGTTCTATAGGTGAGCCAAGATTTTATCCAATTTAAAACTTTCCCCTCGATACCATGAGCCTTAATTTTTCTCAGAAGCCTCTGATGCGGTATTCTGTCAAATGCTTTGCTAAAGTTTAAGTAAATAACATCGTAATTTTCGTCATTATCTACTACCTCGAAGACTTTCCTAAAAAAACGTTAGCAGATTTATTAGACAAGATTTTCCCTTTGTAAACCCATGTTGAGAGTCGTAGATTAATTTGCTTTTCTCTAGATGCGATCGGATGCTATCTGCAATAATTGATTCAAGAAATTTCCCCACTACTGACGTCAAACTGATCGGCCGGTAATTTGACGCTGATGCTCTGTCTCTCTTTTTAAATATGGGTACTACATTTGCCTGTTTCCACAAGTCTGGCACAGCTGTGGTGTCTAATGATTTTGTAAATAAGTTTACGAGAGGTCCGCTAATCTGTTCCCTACACTCTTTCAAGACTCGAGGGAAAATATCATCCGGCCCTGGGGATTTGTTTTCTTTAGTTTATTTATCTTCTTAAGAACATCCTCTTTTCTGATAGTGATATTCTTTAATTCAATAGTGATATTCTTTACATCTCCTAAACTAAGTACTTTACATTTGTCTACATTGAATTTCATCTGCCATTTTTCAGATCATTCGAAAAATTTGTTTAGATCTTCCTGTAGTTTTGAGGAGTCCTCGTCAGATTTAATTACACGTCCTATTTTAGTGTCATCAGCAAATTTACTTATGCTGGTTATGATCGCCCGGTAAGGAGATTAACCTGCCTCGTCAACTCGATACAGTTTATTTCGGTCAAACCTGTCAAATACAAATAATCAATTTACATAAGGGGAACTGAAGGTTAGGCATGTAAGGCATTTAAGGCCAGGAATTCAGACTCTTAACCCCAGGTTATAGATTCCTCAGTTTAGCTACAGCACATTTAATCTTGTATAATATGGATAGGTACCCATAGGTGTTATATTATATTACGTGGTAAATTTACTCCACGTAGAACTCAGAGGGTGGTGGCTGAGCAATGTATTAGCCCCTGTCTAACAGACAGTAATACTTATATAAATGTCTGTTACATACATTAGGTTTATAAAATTACATCACCCACGGTAACTTTCCTATGAGTTGTGAGTAGTCATCTAGTGGACATGTGACAGTGCATTTCAACAGTTCCCTCACACCTTGATTGCAGAGTCATCAATTAAGTAGCCAGCTGTCGCCAGTTCTACTCCCGACTCTGAGCCACCCAGACGTGTGCTCTAAGAAGCTAAATATACCCAAAGCTTTGTCCATTATTAACGCTCACAGCTCATAGCGTTAATTACGGTGATCTACCAGTTATTGTGCAATAGTTTATTTTCTTAATAAATTGAGAAAAGACCATTTGGGTTTCAAAACTTAACCGATAAACATTTATGAATGTTGCTTCCAGTTCTCCTCTGATTAGTGATTCCACGGGTAACTGGAAACTGTAACAAGCCTCTTGACTACCAGTACTCACTCTGGCAGCTTCTTCAACACCAGTACTCACCTTGACAGCCTCCTCAACACCAGTACTCACCCTAGCAGCCGCCTCAACACCAGTGCTCACCCTGGCAGCCTCCTCAACACCTGTACTCACCCTGGCAGCCTCCTCAACACCAGTACTCACCCTGACAGCCTCCTCAACACCAGTACTCATCCTGGCAGCCTCCTTAACACCAGTACTCATCCTGGCAGCCTCCTTAACACCAGTACTCATCCTGGCAGCCTCCTCAACACCAGTACTCATCCTGGCAGCCTCCTCAACACCAGCACTCACCCTAGCAGCACTGATGCGTCGTTGTTCCTTCAACAGAGCAAGAGTGGCGGCCGTGTGGTCAGCCGTCGAGCAGGAAGACGTTTTTTTGCGGGAGAAAAAGCTGAACCTTGAGCCGGTGCTGGTCTTGGGCGTCGCCTGGCCCTGGTTCAGCCTCGAATAGGACATGTCGATGAGGAGGTGGGTGCGTAGGGGAAACTCGGTGGAGCACACCTCGCACTCGCACCCCAGGGGGTGGCCTGCCGGGGAGACATACAGTATTCATCTTAACACTCGTCATCACAACAATGTCTAACATAAATAAATATTATCAGAGTTACTGAGTCTCTGTACAAGTCGTCAAACTCGTCAAACTTCTCCATCCGTGTTTCTACCTTACATTATAAGGATAAATTTAACCTACGTGACATTACGGTTGTGAAACATGTTGATGAGAAGCCTTCCCGTGTGCTTGGTAGGTAAAATAAGACAGTCACCAGCCGCGGAAAGAGCCACACACCCACACCAAACACCAGTTCTACACTGCACCAGACAACTACGTGGTGCTACGGCCCTGCGCCTATTCCTTCACAAGCTTAGTGCTGAGATTAGTTGCGGCATGTGGTGCTCAACTGGCCTCATGTAGCCTGCCTAAAACAAAACGAAACCTGGGGAAACAGGACAATGTCTTGGAAACATACTTGATATGTGGTGTGGCTGTTTATGATATGTTAATAATGGCATCTGAGTAGTGCCGTGCATCCGTGGTCATCTAACCAGAGTTAAGTGTTCGTAAACGTAGGTTGGATTGTCCAAGCTCTTGTGGACAATTCTTTTTTATATTTACTGTGACTATTTACAACGTTGCAGCTGCCAAATTTTGAGTGTCCGACTAGCTGGCAAACACACACACACACACACACACACACACACACACACACACTGTTTGTTGTTTGGTACCAGGGAGACTGAAGCGTTAGTTGTGATATATGCAAAATATTACCAGAATATGTGTGGGTTTGTGCAAGTTTATTATATGCACGTTAGCTTGTCTTTCTAGTTATTGCTGTGTACGTCTGTGTGTACATGTTAGTGAGTGCATTGTATGTGTACACGGAGGAATACGTTTGACACACTGGCCTCAAAACCTCTGTGTTAGATAGAAAATAATTACATTGGTTTCGAGAGAATTTTGACCAAACAAAAAGAAATGAACAAGAGGTATTTACCATTATAGGACATTGAATCTTAGAGCATTACCTCCTGTAGATACTGCCTGCTTAACCCTCGGGTACCTGGAGAGGTGGCCGGTAATAAAGTCACAGGAAAAAAAGTCACAGAAAAAAAGTCACAATTAATTTATGGTGGCCGGTAATAAAGGCTAGGTTAGGTTAGGTTAGGTTGACATATTAACCAGCACCCACACACACCTCGCTTAATATTCTTGTCACTTCTCACCGCCAAGTTTACATCCGTCTTGTTAACAAGTGTCCCCACTGTGCCTACTACTGCTCCCTGCAGCGCCTACCCACACGGTCTCAACACAGGCTATAGAACAGCTAACATATACTAGCACAGCTCAACACAAACTTACACAGAATCAACACAAGCTAGCACGCCTCTACAAAACCCAGCATTCATATAGCCTAGCACAGCTGATACCCAGCATTAGCACAGCTCAACACAACCCAGCACGGTCTCAACACAGGCTATCACAGCTCTACACCACCCAGAACATTCTCAACACGTTAGCATGACTATGTGAGAGTTTCATAACCACATTTATTCCTTTTAGTTAAATTATGTTTTGTCACACACACACAGGTTATAACCCATATATGCATCGTGGGAGGAGGGTTAATTTACCCCTTGAGCACCTCTTGATAGTCTGATGTGGTCGTATAGAACAAAATCCCATAGAAAGTTGACCTAGACAACCACGGGGCCGTCAAACTTACGGTATAGTTTATCAGTATATTGTACACCGGACCGAGACAGATGTAGCTACGTGTAAAGTTAACCCTAGTCGAGCAAATTAAGATTTAGATTTATTGTACTGTACTGGCCTTCACCTAGATTATACCTAAGTCAGCCATCCATCAATAACTATAGACGTACAGGACAAATCAAGATCGATGGTAAATGTAAAAAATGTTTGACCGAATATTTTTTCTTATTGTATTTTGAAGTACAGTAATTCCGAGGCAAACCCTTTATCATATGAAGGATGAAAATTATTAGTTGACATACTGTATGGCAGCTGAGCATCACCTACAAACCTGAGAGTATATAATGCGTGACGAAGACCACAGTACAGTACAATACAGTACAGTACAGTATTGCTCACCTGCATCGCCCGTAACATGTTGTAGCCCGGGGTCAGCCTCTCTGTGCGCTTGTTACTACAGAGGGTTGACATAAGAAAATATAAGGATTATTTTCCATTACCCACAGTATAATATATAGCTGTTAAAGACTTTGAGTCAATATCTAAATGTGTGTAGGCGAAGAGGTAGTATGAGGGTCAGTATTAGTGGACAGGGGCAGTATGAGGGTGAGTATGAGGAGTACACAGAGGCAGTATGAGGGTCAATATTAAGAGTACAGAGAGGCAGTATGAGGGTAATTATTAGAAGTACACAGAGGCAGTATGAGGGTCAGTATTAGTGGACGGGCAGTATGAGGGTAATTACGAGGAGTACACCGAGGCAGTAAGAGGGTCAGTATTAGGAGTGCACAGAGGCAGTAAGAGGGTCAGTATTAGGAGTGCACAGAGGCAGTATAAGGGTCAGTATTAGGAGTGCACAGAGGCAGTATAAGGGACAGTATTAGTACAGAGGCAGTATGAAGGTGAGTGTGAGGAGTCACTTACCTGAGAACACGGGCGAGGAAGGGGAGAACGACTGTTGCCTCCTCAGGAGGGGGTGAGGGTAGGTACCTGGCGAGGCAAAGGTCACGCTCAGTCCTTATGGCATGGAGGGTCACACGTGGGAGATTGGCACCATTGTCACATGTGGAAGGTTGGCAACATTGTCACATGTGGAAGGTTGGCAACATTGTCACATGTGGAAGGTTGGCAACATTGTCACATGTGGGATATTGGCAACATTGTCACATGTGGAAGGTTGGCAACATTGTTACACATGGGATGTTGGCAACATTGTCAAATGTTGGAGGTTGGTAACATTGTCACATGTGGGAGGTTGACAACATTGTTACATATGGGAGATTGCCAACAATATTATATAGGGAGTTTGGCAATAATAACACGTGAGGAAGGCTGGCAAAACTTACATGTAAGAAAACTGGCAACACTGTTACATGGGAAAGTCTGACAACAATCACATAAATTTGATTGGCAACACATGTTACTAGGAGACTACAAACACAGTTAAATGTAGGAAATTACAACACTCGTGTGTGAGGTTGGCAACATTGTCATTTGTGCGAAGCTAACCTGTCATACACTGGGTGTGGTGGGTATATAATCATACACTGGGTGTGGTGGGTATATAATCATAGACTGGGTGTGGTGGGTATATAATCATACACTGGGTGTGGTGGGTATATAATCATACATTATCTTCCTCCCAGCACTAACTTCTTCCTCGTCCTTCACACTGTTAACTACTATGACATCTCGTAAACGTATTGTATAATATTTTTTCTGACATTTCTCTTCAACAGTCAATATCATGATCATTTACACTCTGGTTTCTTCCCGATCTGTGTCTACTTACTCAGGACTTCTAGCATTCAAATCAACCAACACCTACATGTACTTAAGATATTTTACTAAAAATTATATTTCATAGAGCTGCCGATTTTATTTGTTTATAATACTGAGTTTTCGCCATTTTTGCCGTACACCCTCCGTTTGTCTATATCTTCATACGTTTAGTCAACATTTAACTATGATAAGACGCTGTCCTAATTTTTGCTCCTACTTATGTTTCAGATTCATGTACGGCCTTCGTGGTGTACCTGTCATAACACTGATGATACTATCTAAACTTCCTCTTATTTAAAGTTCTGTATACTTTTAATTGTATTTTATTTTAACCCATCACCTTTACTGAAGCGTAGAGAATAAATAGTTTATTTACCGTTTTCACTCTTGACTCAAAGTCGTTTATTTAAGCTTGTACATCATGAAGGATTTAAGGTTGTTAGTTTGGTCCCTTAACCTGGTGTTATAGGACTGGACTCTTGTGTCTCATCATCACACACTTACCTTCTGGTCCATGTTGAAAGGCGTTATTTTTCTTCCTAGGATCCTTCTTCTTCTTGTAGCCGACGTGTGAAGTAGTAGTCTTGTCGTCGGTGAAGCCTTTATAGTACATAAAATTCATCTTATAACGGTGGCTGGTCTAGCGTGACGCGCTCACTGGTTCTGTATCACCTCGTTTGCATGTATTTATATATATTTTTAATTGTTTCCTGTAGTTGTGTTTTCTTTCAAGTTAATCAGACAGAGTAGTGTAGTAGCTCACTTGCGCCCACAGGCGACCACTGGGGTACTAGTCACTCGTGTGTCGCTATAAACTTGTCTTCCCTCTCTTTATCGCCTCAACAAATAGCTCACGTATTTAAAATCACACCATATTTTATTTCAATTCTTATTTCAGTATATACGCAAACAAACTTCTTAATTTATTTCACATTTTTTGTCTGGTATTCCAAGTGTTGAGTTCTTGAGAGAAGGTTCGCTACTGTGAATGAGGTGCCCATGCAGGGCGTTGGCCTGTACTGAGGTTTACTGGACACCGCACCTTGCTAGTGGCGGCACCTCTTGTGAATACCAACTTTTTCGGGCCAAAGTGATGCCAATTGTTTCTCTGGGCGATATCACAGTGCTTGGCACTGATCGTGGTTATAGCGTCAACAGTAGTGTGGTATTACAGTGGCGGCGGCAGGTTAGCCGCAGTGGGAGGTGCCCTCAGCCTCAGCCTCACCAGCTGTGCTCACACCCATCTTATATCTTTGAATTGTAAATAGTAGGCTACAGATGACATCAGTTACCCAGCAAAAATATACCTTAATAAATGGGTTCGACCTGTCTCCATTTGTCACATGATGTCTCCAAGGCTGGGACTAAAGCTGTGTGCGAACTCACGCTGTCTCACGCTGCCTGCTGTATCACGCCCCCTTCACAAAATTCCCGCATGAAGATATCCATTACTACAAGTTAATAAAATAATAAAATTGGCTAAAGCGCGTCGTATCTTATACGGGTGGCAGCGACACATTATTATAAATTGTTTTTTAACAGTAATTTTTTCCCATAACACATTTGTTTAACAATCACAGGCGAGTGGAGCAGTAAATACAGTGACCATTACATGTGTTACTGGCGGCCAGGTGTGGGCGCCGCACGGTGAGCGGCGCTGACCAAGAGGTGGCGGTAGTGGCCACTACAGCTGGGCCACTGTGAGACACAGCCTCAGTAGGAAGTTGGCTACACCATGGATGGGATGTGGTAGGTGAAGACAAAGTGGAGGTGGCGGCGTCCTCCTGGTGGACAACAGTAAACAAGACTTGTGCAACATAGCTGATGCCCAAAGCGTGCCCCAGTGTGTACTGTGGAGGCACCCGCGCCTTGCCAACACATGCCACACTGCGCCAACTTGTCCTCGATGTAAATATAGCCAGCATAAGTTTTCTTTACCAGTTCGGGCTAATATGATGCTATGCCACATGACTCAAGGTTGCTTCTTTAAAAGTTGTTGACTCATCCACCATGGCATGACAAGTGCAGTCATACGTGCTAACTGTCCAAATGTTCATAATTCTGTAATCGTTTACAACTACACAAGCAACATCAAACCTGAGTCTTTATAAGTAAAACTTGTAGCAGCACGACCACACATACTGAGTCAAAGCAAAACAATAAAGGAAAATAAGAGCAGGACACAGTCAATCACTCCCTCACACCATTGACTCTGCCCTAGGTATTGAAAATGCTTCAGCGCCGCCAGACTTGAACAACCTCTAGAGTTTGTTTATCAGTCAATTTAATATATATTACACAGCTTTGTATTTCTTGAATCGTCTTTTTTTTTACTGTTGCGATTTTCAGACAACACTTAAGCCAAAAGAAAGTGAAACAGTCTCGCCATCCTACCTGATCCGTGTTTCTAAATCAAGATTATGAACTTGCCAACCTCGCAGCTTAAGTCGATGTCACTTAACCATCACTGTAACCGAACAAATTCAACAATATTGAGAAACAACACAATTCAGAGTAAAAATGGAGCGTTGTCAATGCTAATTTAGTTTAAATTAGACAAATGTAGATTTAAATTAGACAAATTTAAGTGCAAGATGTGTTTGGCTGCCGAAAGATTTTTTTGGGCCAAGAGACGTGTAATTAGATTTGATGGAGAACTAGTACCTAAGCCGCAGCTAATTGCGCTAATCAAAGGTTCAGCGCCAGAAAAGGTGTTTGGGGTATAAACGGGTTGCTGTCTCCAACGATTCTCCAGTAATATGCTGTACGGTAAGTGTTGCAAGTGGGGGCACATGGCGTGGAAATGCCATAATGATTTTCGATGTAGATTCTGTGGAGAAATGCATGATTCTAAGGTATGTGGAGATAAAATTAAAGCGAAGGAGAAAATTTCACCAAAATGCTGTAATTGTGGGGGGGCTCACAATGCCAGCTCGTGGGTGTGTCCTAAAAAACCAAAAGTTCATAAATTGCAATCACGAGTTCAGTCCACTAATCAAGAGGATAAAGGTGACGCTGTGAGGAGCGATGTTGCAGGGACACCAAGTGCTGTAAATGTGTGGGAAAAGCGTATGGAAATATGTAATGCAGCATCAGAGAAGGACATAGGTAATGGGGGCAATAACCTTATAGCCCCTAACATACTAGTAGAACTCCGTAAGGAAATTGATGAGCTCAAACATTATTATTATTATTATTATTATTATTATTATTATTATTATTATTATTATTATTATTATTATTATTATTATTATTATTATTATTATTATTACATTTTCGCCCCCCAGGCCCCGATGTGGGTCAGTGACCTGTGTCCGGGTGGGCTAATACCCGTAAAAAAAAGAGCAGTATTGGATATCAAGAAATGCTTGGTGAATCTTGTGCCATATAGTGATGTTGCTGTTGTTAATAAAGATAGTTCAAAAGAAAGTGAAACATTAGTAGAGATGGATTCGAATATTGTGGATAGCAATCTAGAGCAAAATGGTAATCATAGTCAGTTAGGAAATAGAGTTGGTTCGGTTTTTAAAGAGAATATAGTAAACAAGGAAATGCTTGGTGATCGGACGAGCATTTTTTACTCTGTCTTGGAATATATGGAAAATCCAAGGGACGATGTCAAGAAGAATGTTCTTATTTCGGTGCCTGTGTGTTGATGTACACACGGGGGTGGTTGGCGGCAGTCATAGTCGGGCGCCGGTAACTAGTAGGTGGTCGGGAGTGGCGGGTGCGGTACGATCACCATGGTGTGTCGCAGGAATAATCGTCGGACAGTTAAAGCGAAGAGCATAGCGTTGTGTACTATAATAATTGCTGCTATGTGCAAAAAGAAGAACCAAATGCAGAAAAGGGAATGGTGCAAAGAGTGGTTAGGTCGAAGAAAAGTATTGGGAAGTCATGCCACGATTTTACGTGAACTGCAAGATGGACATGAGCAAGACTTCACCAATTACATGAGAATGGACCCCAACACCTTTTACAAACTTCTAGCGAAAGTGGAACCATATATAAAAAATCAGGATACCAATATGAGGGAGCGTATATCTGCAGAGGCTCGTCTAGAGGCAACTCGCATATACTGTATCTTTCAACTGGGTGCACCTATACGTCACTTCAGTATAGAACGAGGATATCAAAACAAAGTTTGTCTTGCATAATACCTGCGACTTGTCAAGCCATGTATGAAGTACTCAAGGAAGATTACTTGCAGGGTCCCAGGGTCAACTTCGTTTGTCTGGCAGAGTCGTCGCTCCATATCCGGCAGCAAACGTATTACTGATATTACAGAGACGGTTTGTTATTTTAGAAACAAAAATATGGTCAAGAATATTATGAAAAAATTCTGTAAGTTTAACATAAGATTGTAGATTTTATGCATATCTATTTGTTGTATACATATCTGATTTATGATGAGTAGAATGTTAAAGAGGCCTTGTTAAGACTAGTTTTGGGCGGGCTAGTTAGCATGCTAACCAGCTCCTTTTGATCTATTTGTCAATAAATGTTTTGAATTTGAATTTGACTCCAATACGGTGGATAGCTTCAAACATAGGTTGGATGGATATATGAACGATAGGGGTTGGGTGTAAATGGGACTGCCCAGTATGGGCCAATAGGCCCGCTGCAGTTTCCTCCATTCTTATGTTCTTGCGTAATATGAGAGATAAATACTGACAACCGTTGACCAACTGTTGATAGCGTTGAGAACGACGAACGGAGATGGTTTCATGAAGAACATAGGCCCATTTCATCGCATTGTTTTGACATTACCAATACACGGAGTAAATCAACCGTATAGATTTAAACCCAGCCTCTTCAGTGCAACATGAGGAACTGTCGTAAGTGAAGGTGAATAAGGCTGTGGTAAAAGTTCAAGAATGAATACTGACAGAGATATTGTTGGCAGCTGTGACAAATAGGAAAGATGACATAGCGTAAATCGGACAAAATATAACCATGTTATTATCAATTTTGTAAATGCGGTGTCTGTCTTTTCAGTGGAGGTAACATCTTGCTTGAGACTCTCTTCAACTAAATGCTTTTTTTCTGTGTTTCCAAGCAAATTATTGGTTATTTTGAAATTTATTTTACATATTGACAATATATAGTGCAGTGCAGTGTTTTTTAAAGAAAATAATCTTGAATTACACCAAGTTTAAACTTAAAATATCACGTGTTGAGCTTTTTTAATCCAGCATGGGGCCTAAGAGATCAAGAAAAGCGATTTAAATCCAAACCAAGCACGAAATTATAAACAAACATGAAGAAGGCATTAGAACAAATGCACTATGCAAAGAATATGGCATGTCGACATCAACTGTGTCGACAATTCTTGCACAGAAAGACAAATTTAATGAAGTGAAAGTGAGAGAAATCTACCAGAGTGTTTAAAAATAGATCCCTAATTGTAGAAACTGAGAGGTTACATCTCATCTGGATTAGGGAAAAACAGATGAAAGGTGATTCAGTTTCTACTGAATTTATTTGTGAAAAAGCCAGGGAGATTTACGAACATTTAAAGACAGATCAACCTGGTTCTTCAGGCACAGAATTTAAAGATTTTCGGGCCAGCAAAGGCTGGTTCGAAAAATTTAAGAAAAGAAGTGACATTTTCAGTGTTGTTAGGCATGGTGAAGCTGCTAGTGCTGATAAGGAAGGGGCAGCAAAGTTTTTAGTGGAATTTAAAGAACTGATGGAAGAAGAAAATTATCTTCCACATCAAGTGTTCAATGTGGATGAAACTGGGCTGTTTTTGAAAAAGATGCCCAAAAGAACATTCATCACCAGAGATGAAGTAACGTTTTACCAAATCCGGCTTGGAAACGTTACTCTGACCACCTACGGTATACGGGTAGTCCCCATTAGAGGTTCACGGCGCCATAAGCTCATTGAACAGGCTTTGTGGTCCAGTTGTTAGCGTTCCCCGGTCACAGTCATGGGCTAGTGGGCCGTGGGTTGGGATCCTGGCGGGTTGGTCTTGGCGGGAAGTTCATGACGACGTAAACAAACCAAATTGTCATAAGTGTCAGTTGGCATGTCACTGAAATGGCATCAGGGAGTGAAAACGTTGATTCAGCAAGACTGGGAAACAGCCTTGAAGAACTGATAACCAGAATACAAGAACAACTGGAGAACTTAAAGGAGGAAGTTGGAGAAAGTTGTACCAAGGCACCAGTAGGTAATGAGACGGACCTGAGGAAGATCAAGATGGAACACGAGAGTGAAATAGAAGCCACTATGAAGACAGGATTAATAGAGCTGCCAGCTGATAACCAGTTGTTGATGAGGATAGTCAAGGAGGATTCAGAGATAATGGCCATTACTAATGCTAGGACTTTGTCTGCTTACAGGAAAAAGGTTCGAGTTATTGCATGTTTTTATGGTTTAAATTTCACTTGTTGCTACTATATGAAATTGAAGTAGAAATTATGTTTGGTAAATGTTTATGAAACCGTTATCAGTAGAAATTGTTTTTCTTATTGTTTTGATGATTTTAAGTATATTAAAAGAAACGACAACTTTCTATTATAATTTTAAGTATTTTTATTTAAGGTTTAGACATGGGCTACCACCAGATGGAATTGTCCAAATTGGTTGAAAATTTTTCTTCACACGAATATCATGATAATTAAACACAAAAATGGAAACGACAATCCATAGAACCTAATAGAACCTGACCTAACATACCCATAGGTTGGGTATGTTAGGTCAGGTTTTGTTAGGTTCTATGCATTATTAAACACATAATACACACTTATATCATGATATTAAATACAAAATTGGAAATAACAATGTATAGAACCTGACCTAACATAGCCAGGGTTTGTTAACCTTATTGAACCTAACCAAACATACCCAGGTTTTGTTAGGTCAGGTTCTATTAGGTTCTATGCAAAAGTTTTAAATGTATGATTTTAGTTTAATGCTAATAACATGATATTAAACACAAAAATGGAAATCTTGAACAATTTACCATAATATTGAGATTTATATACACCAGGCATCTGTGGACATAATCGTAGGATCGCGTATTACATTAAAAGTTGTTGTTTGTAATATGCAAGTCTTCCGCATTTCGAACATTTGCAAGTATTCTTAATTAACCCACGGTCACAAATGAAAAATATCAAGCGAGATTCATCAAGAACTAGGTTTGATAAATCACGATATGAATAATCACAACTTTCGTACTTCGCCATGATGTTCAAGAGACAGTTTTCCACGTGATGTACAACCCCCCCCCACCCCGAGGATACATATAAATGTGAGGAGAGACAGTTATTAGAGAATTGTGACGACTGTTAACGGTATTCAAAACAATTAAAAGAGATTGGAATCAGTCTAAAAGATCCTGTAAAAGTAAAAATATGACACACATCACTTATAGGTACTATTTAGATGATATGAAAAGAAGGCTGAATGCATTTAATAACTAAACAAAAGAACAATAGACCGGTATTAACGTAATGTAAATTAAATAAAGATGCGTATTTATTTTATTTAAAGGATCGGGATTAATAATACAGAATTTATGCAACAACGAACAATGGCGGAGGCAGGGAAATTGTGCTGCCGGACTCTTTAAAAGGTATGAAAATGATTTTTGGCATCACAAATGCACCTAGAGACTTAATTTTAATGCCATAATATCAGTGTTCACCGTGTTCACCCTGCCCACTAACAAGGAATTTATGATTGTAGGATAGAGTACTTAAAAAAATTCCTAAAAAAAATAATTAAAATCATAATAGAAAGTTGTCGTTTCTTTTAATATACTTAAAAACATCAAAACAATAAGTAAAGCAAAAATAAAGAAATTCAACAGACTCCTGGTGGTAGTTAATGTCTACACCTTTCCTTTTTTTCTTTTTTATTTAGTCTATCCAATTCACAATTCTCCCAGCCCCAATTTTTTTGGTTTACCTCGCTGAATAGACTTTTCCTATAAATGATAGTGAACGCTTCCACAAATTCCTCCTCGCCATTGCTGATGTATATCAACCTAAATATTAAGGTAAGTTGTTAATCTACATAAATTAACACGATATACATAAAACATAAAGGAACCTGACCTAACATACCCAGCCTATGGGCATGTTAGGTCAGGTTCTATGTATTGTCATTTCCATTTCTGTGTTTAATATCATGCTAATAGTGTGTACAAAAAATTGAAACCAAATCGCTCATTTCCTTCTGGTGATAACGGTTTCGTAAATTTTTACCCTATGTTTTTCCGATGTTTTTTGTTGTGTTATGAACGAATTTGACCTTCATTTCTGGCGCAAATCAATAGTTTCTGAGATAAGCCCCCCCCCCCTCCCATCGCAGAATCTGGAGATTTGCTATAAAAATCAAGGTAAAAAGTGTTCAAAACACATCAAAAACCATTGGGGTAATTGGTACGGTAATTATTGATGACTGACCCACGGCCGATATTTCATAGAAAACGGTAATAAAAATGCCACAATTTCACTGTGTTTTATAGTGGACATTGTCATAGTTTGTGCAAATGTGTTAAAAAGTAGTTATTTATAACTGAAATCTAACCTAACCTTATTTAATATGAAAAACAAGCAGCAGAAGCATTGTTAGAAGACCTCACCAACCTAACCAAACAAACCTACCTAACCTTATCTAACTACCTAGCCAAGCCTCCTGGACCCCCAGTATATTAAACAGAAAGAACCTATTATGATATGGTGTAATTTTAAGTTTTTTGTGGATGTGAGAACAGCCGTTTTTAAGCATACACTAAGCACCAGCGTTGATCAAGACCGGGTGGCGGAGTTTTTTTAAATACTTCAATATAATTGGCTGTTTACATCATGGGATGAGAGGTCATCACCTCATTACCACTGAGAAGACAAAGTAGTACTGTATGTGCCTAATTACCCACCAAACGAAACATTTGTACAAGAATTGATTATCAATCCAAACTCACTGATGAAAATAAAGTAAAAAAAATAAACAGTAAAACAAATAACTCATCCGCAAGTCAGTCGTCAATATTCACCAAGTTATGTTAGGTTAAGGTTAGGTTAGGTTAACTTGAACTTTTAAATAACTACTTTTTAACACATATGGTAGTAAATTTTTACAAGTTGGCTATAATGGTTTTGGGCATGAAACTTACATTTTTCCGATGGTTTTTGGTGAGTTTTGAACGATTTTGACCTTTTCTTTCTATCGCAAATGACTCGTTTTTTCGTTTAACAGTCTTTGGGAACCTGTGGGAAATCCTGGGTTTTTGGGTGGGGGGGAGAGCAAAAACAAGTGATATGCTGTACAAATGACCAAAGTTAGTTTGGATTTTCCATTTTTAACAAGTAAAGAAAAGACAACATTTTAAAATCCGTGCCAAGTTTTGGCTAAAGTTGGCTCGGATTTTCAATTTTTAAGAATTAAATATATGTAGTATTATTGTATTTTATGATATGTGCAGTATTATGTATCAATTTAATTATTTACCATAGCAATTTATTTATTTTATTTTTTTACATACAATTTGAAGTTTGTTCAAATTAGGCTAACCTTGTGTTCACTAAATTGTTTATCTCTTAACCACGTTGTTTATATAGTGTGGAATAAATAAGTTTGATTTGAGCAGTGTGGTAATTTGATGCCGTTAATTTAACACCGTCAATGGACGGCGGCAACTTTTTGTTAACGCTGACGCCATAAATTTTTTGGGCATGTGACGCAGTCAACTTTTCACCCGAGCGGAGCGTCAAGCGTCAATTTGTTCGTCAACTTCTAAAAAATTTTATTTTTCCAAGTTCGATATTGAATTATCTTGTTATAAAGACGAACTGGAAAGATTTTGCTGAGCACGCCGCCATCGCACCTGCGCAGCTTTCTACAGATTTGAATTTTCAAGTCAGGAAAAAGGTTGGTGGAGAAGTCCGTGCACGAGACTGAGAGCAGCAGCAGCAGTGAGGGAGACGACAAAGACCATGACGTGGAGGCCGAATTGTTCCAGGCCCTGAAGCTCAAGACAATTGGGTTCAGTAAAATAAGAATTACAGTCACATGTAGTTACTGTTTCTTCTCATTGGTGTCATGTTCCTGCTGTGTTCACACCCTAGTTGAGTAATACAGACCTTGTGAAGACTTGTTGTTAATATAAATAGTATTAATTTTCAGGTACTGTAATTTCTTGTTCTTCAGGTGAAGGAATTACAAAAGGAAAAGAAGCAGTGTCAGGAGAGGCTAAGGATGGCAACTGTTGTTAATGAAAACCTGACCCAAATCCTCAAAAACAAATCAGAGAAGGACCAATTGGAGACATTAAAAAGAAGGTATTTCTTTTCCTCGTTTTTCTTAATCAGAAATCAGCAGTTACCTATTTTTGGCTTGTGGAGAGTAAGTTTACTAGTTAATTCAAACAGAAATTTATTCTAATCCAATCTATAAGTGTGTTATTTAATTATATCAACACATCTGTATTATTTTAACTGACAGAGATTCTCCTATTATTCTCTTTATTTCATTTTCTCTAGCTGCTGTCTGTATTTATTTTTTTTTTTGGCTGGTGTTCTCCTTCTAAAATATGACCCTAAGATTTACATTTAGATTACGTGTCACTTTATACAACTCAGACTCACCCATCAGCAGCAAGTCTATTTCCATAAACCACATGCCACCATACCCAATGATCCTGCCTACACTTGACTGCTTCCTGGATGTCTGTCCCCCTGTTATCCAATACTTCCCTCACCCTATTATTACACCACCTCATTTTTTCAGTCTTATTCCATGCCAACTGCAATATTAAAAGCTCTGTAGTTTATCCACCATTTCATAAGTTACTTGTAAGATCTACCAGCCAAAAAATTCTTGAATGAAATTGTCTTGTTCAGAGGGGGCTTCTGCAACTGGGGCTGGTACTGAACATTGTCATGGCTGATACAGTTTAAAGACTTCATAAATAGCAACTCACCCAGTTAAACTAGGGTTTTTGAAACAAGCCCAAACGATGGATTAGTGGTTATGCAAATACAAGAGCTAGCAAGTCAGTTTGTGTGCTAGGAAAATATGTGAATTAACTCACTTGCCTTGAACCTCTTGGTCATAAACTTGTATTGCCTGCTCCGTCAGTATGTGTTGCCTACACTTTAGTCATCTTGGTAAAATAACTATAGTGTTCTCTGCAACTTTACTGTAATAAGTCACTTAACCAGATAAATTATTGCTTTGGATGAGAATGCTTAAGGGCGAGGATCCTTCAGGGTGGGGATCTTTCATGGTGAGGATCCTTCAGGGCGAGGATCCTTCAGGGCGAGGATCCTTCAGGGCAAGGATCCTTCGGGGCGAGGATCCTTCAGGGTGAGGATCCTTCGGGGTGAGGATCCTTCGGGGCGAGGATCCTTCAGGGTGAGGATCCGCCGTGGTGAGGATCATTCAGGGTGACGATCCTTCAGGGCGAGAATCCTTCAGGATAAGCATCCTTCAGGACGAGGTTCCTTCAGGATAATCATCCTTCAGGACGAGGATCCTTCAGGGCGAGGATCTTTCAGGGTGAGGATCCTTCAGGGCAAAGATCCTTCAGGATGAGGATCATTCAGGGCGAGGATCATTCAGGGTGACGATCATTCAGGGTGACGATCCTTCAGGGCGAGGATCCTTCAGGATAAGCATCCTTCAGGACGAGGTTCCTTCAGGATAAGCATCCTTCAGGACGAGGATCCTTCAGGGCGAGGATCTTTCAGGGTAAGGATCCTTCAGGGTGAGGATCCTTCAGGATAAGCTTCCTTCAGGATGAGGATCCTTCAGGATAAGCATCCTTCAGGAAAAGTCAGGGCTTAGGGATTAGGCAGAACCGATTCAGGGGTATAGCAACAATGTATCTGGTGTGCTTAATTGCTGACAGGAAATTGATATTGATTGATCAATTAATTGTTAATGAATTTCATGCTCCAGCCGAACACTCCCCTAAAGAGGGATTCTGACTAATGGCGATGTTACTAGTGTCAGATCTCAGTATGCGATGCTGCTCCTCGATAAGATGTCTTCCATCTTCCGTTGCACTCTTGGCAGAAACAGTCGTGAAATCCTCGTAGCAGGAAGTTTTACTGCTAAATATTTAGATATCTTGAAGTGTCTCCTCCTAAAGTGATCAGCAGTCTTGACTTGGTTCCATGTAGCTGTGTCTCTCCAATGTGATGTTTCTGGCTGATGTGAATAACACACGAGACAATGTCCTCGTGGCCATCTGGAATATTAATAATGATCGGTCTACTGATAAGCAAAGATTAAGGTGTATCAGTTGAACAATATCGCACAGCTAAACCAATCAATCAAATTCTGGATGTAGTTAAGATTTGTTAAAGAAGCCAGGAAATAAAAAACTGGGATAGAAACATTTTTAGTGCTGATTTCAGTATGTACGAGTATAGCAAGTCAAGTAAACCGTGATTAAACAAAGAATACTTTTCCAAGATGATTGTTTGCACAAATGATGAAAAGTGGCCTTTAAAGGCCCAGGATGATAGATATGATGCTCATTGTTTCTGCCAAGGAGCAAAAATCAGATGATGCAGTTAGGTCAGATTATGGCAATTTTCCAAGAAAACGTCCAAGTGGATATTTGTAAGAAATGGATTTTCAGATTCCTGAGATGTTTTACCCTAGAAACAACCTTCCAACCTTTTGGCGGCCCAACATAAATAAATCAACCCAGTTCTGATTCAAATGGAAAGATTCACTACAGTATTTTAGAATGCAGTAATCCCCATGGACAAGGGTTGTTCTGGCAGGGAGATCACTGAGGTCACTTTCTTCTGGCCCATGATCATAATAAACATACCTACTTGTATTCCTTCAGGATAGTAGAGAATGTTAAGTTAAGCTATATATATCTTTTGTGATTTCCCCGTAAAGTTGGAAACAGTTTAAGAGACAGTACAGTGTGTAGAAGGACTGTAGCCCCCTATTCATCTTCAACTGACGTGTGTACAGAATGGTCAGCTAATGTTGATAAAATAAACAGATTGAATGAGTTTTCTCGGCTATTAGATGTTCATATAATGATATTTACTTTTCTTATTCTTGCAGGTTTAAGCGGTCAGCAGTGGTTTTCAAGACACTACGAAGTGATCTGCACACATTACTTTCTGAGTTCTATCCGGAGGAAGTAAGTTTAGAGAACTTGTCAACATTGCTGTACGTTAAAGCCTTGAGTTAGAAACACCTGACTCACACACACTTTTATTCTTCTTTTTCTCCTCCTCCTTCAAGATAGCGCTGTATCACTTTTTCTTTATAGTTTGGAAGTACAGTACTTTAGGTAAGAAAGTTCCTACTTGTGGCACTAGGTACAGTCAATGGCTAAAGTTAATCTCAAGCCACAAGCCAACCTGCATGGTATGAGGCAGGTAATCTGGTAACACTGGGGATATGCTATGAATGGCTAGTTATTTAACCCCTTTACACAGCTCCATTCTTGCCTGTATCATATGGATCTTATGTTGTTTAAATATACCTGCAGTAGGTAGTAGGCAGCTATCAAACAGGAAGGTACTACCGCCTGGGAAGATATTGGAAGCATAATGTGTTGTCTAATGGTAGACCCTGCTGCCATATGGCATCACGAAAATTGTGACCAAGTCCCAGGTTGCTGATCTGACTTTCTGTCTCATTTACACACAATTGCAGGGTCTCAATTGTTTCTCTTTCTTTGACAACACAACATACATATTTTGTTTCTCACTACAGTCGGCCCTTAACATACGTGGGGGTTAGGTAACAGAGATACCTGTGAATGTTAAAAATCCGTGTACTTTTGCTGCCCCCCCCCCCCTTAAAAATCCCCTGGCCCCCCATTTCCTTATTTACAGTATATACCTGTGTGTAGTTCGAGTTTTTAAGACCAAATTATTTGGCAAAAAATTGGGGGTCGACCTCTAAACGGGTAATAGTTTCGTTAGGTTGAAAAATATTTACCAGTAACTACCAGTAAACAATGGAAACTACGCACCAACGCACCACCAGCTGTGAGTGTCGGTACAGTTGCCAGGGCAGATCTCTTGCATCATCATAGCAAGCCCAAAGTACCGCGGTAGCCAAATTCATGGTATGGTATGCACAGGACGATGTAAAACAAAGTTTTCTTTTTTTAAAGTTTGTTTATAGATACTGTACATAAATTTTTGTTCATTACATTTGAAACATCAATCTTTGTTAATTAAATTTGAAAAAAAAAAAATAAGATACCGTATTCTCATTAAAATATTATATCACAAGTATATTTTACCTTAACTGTGACTGAATGAATATATTCTCAGAAATAAATATGGAAATGTAATATTTTGGCTGAAATGACGTACATATTACAGTGGAAAGTGGGATAAAATCATGACGAAAACAATGACTTTCGCTTTCTTTCATTGTTCAAAAGATTTTACCGTAATCACTTTTCGAATGGTTTTCAGTTAAAAAACTGTTGTACCGTACTGTATTACAATAATATTCTATCCTATCATTAGCCACATAATCCCACAACTGAAAACCATTCGAAAAGCAATTACGGTAACATCTTTTGAACGAAAGAAAGCGAAAGTCATTGCTTTCGTCACAATTTTATCCCACTTTCCACTGTAATACGTACGTCATTTCAGCAAAAATATTACAGTTCCATATTCTCAGAAATAAATTGTAGCTTTGTTGAAACGTAATGTACAGTATTTAATATTAAAATGCAAAAAGAGCTATAAAAACAATTAATACTGTACACCCGTAATGTACTGGCTGGCATCTCCACTCGTCGCTGCTCCCGCCAGTCACTACTCCTCCCCGCTCTATCCCTCCACCTCCTCCACATCGTCACTGCTGTTGTATTACAATAATATTCTATCCTAATTCACTTGAATAAATACTACGATACCATATTTCTGAATATTTTCATTAAAATCCACCAAAATCATTTTCCTTGTCATCGTCTTAAGCACCAAACAGCTCCTCCCAGTCTTCTCAATGAACAGGGCTAGAGGGTACGTGTTTTTCGAATCGTTTTCAGTTAAAAAAATGTTACATCACATGTATATTTTACCTAAACTGCGCCTGAATGAATATATTCTCAGAAATAAATAGTAATTTTGCTGAAACGTGATGTACAATGACCCCTCGTTTAACGAACGCCTCGGTTAACGAAATTTCGGTTAACGAACTGCCTTCCACAAGGATCTTCAATTCGGTTAACGAACAAAAATTCGGTTAACGAATTTCTTACGAACCGACCTCAACATGTTTTCGCTTGCACTGACCGGGCAACCAGCTTTAGTATCAGTCCGCCAATACATTAATCGGTTCTAGGGTTTAAATTCCTTACTATTTTAGTAAATATCAAGAAGTTTATACTATTCAATAATTTTAAAAGTTTAATATTCAATTTTTTAGTCATTTTAACAATTATTGAACATAATTGAAGGTAAAGTGACTAGTTTAATGCGCGGCATCCAGCCTCTTAACACAGCAAACAGGCGTTAGTCTCTCTCTGTTTTCACTGGAGGTAACATCTTGCTTGAGACTCTCTTCAACTAAACGCTTTTTTTCTGTTTCCAAGCAAATTATTGGTCATTTTGAAATATATTTTGCATATTGACAATATATAATGCAGTGCAGTGTTGATTTAAAGAAAATAATCATGAAATACACCAAGAGAACTAACATTTTATGGGTGAAATGGTGCCATGGGGTGACTTCTCTTCCACCCCAATGCCTTCTCTTCTTCCTTCTCCTCTTTACTTATATTGGATTGATGTACAGTATTTAGTACATTATAATAATGACTAATTTTATATTTTGTGTTTCAGGATGAAAGTAATTCAATGGAGAGTCTCCTGGAGCGCCTTGTTACACAGATGTTAGTGAATCAGAATGACCCATATATTGACATTGATGACACCACTAAAAAGGAACATGTAGCATTGCTTCTTCGTGCTAACTTGATCATGAGACAGCAGCAAAACTTCTTGCGAATCAGATTTATCGATCCTAGAAACTAAAAATAGACTTGGTATGTTTGTGGCTTAGAATGTTATATGGTGTTATAGAACCTTGAGGATTAACAGCTATCTCATATACTTTCCTCTATTTATGGAGAAGAAATTTGTTTTTGTAGTTATTTTTTTAACTCTTTCAAGGCTTTTCCCACTTAATGCAGGGAGGCCAAATAAAAGTAAATACCGTACTCGCACATGTTATTTCTTCATATGTTGTCTTTCATTCCTTCTGGTGTAAAAGTACAGTGAACCCTCGAAGATCAGGACTAAAGGGGGGAACCACCTGTCTGGAAAAGTCAATCGTCTGAATCTTCCGGTGAATGTACTAAATGTATAAAAACGATAAATAATGATATAAAAAACAACAAAAATACAGTACATATTATCCTCACTACTGGGGTTAGTTTTGCAGACTTTTTCCTGTGAAAAAGTCATAATTTGGAGCAACATATTACTGTACTCATTTGTACTTGATGTACTACAACTACACTAAAGGACTAAAATTTTATCATTCTTGGCACAGTATGTAATGTCTATACTCAAATTATTCACTATCTTGCAAGGATTCCAGCAATGCAAGTTATATTCTGCTAAGTTTAGTCTGAATTTTTATAAGGTAAAAACTTTAAGCTGAAAACTACCTTCATCCCTGGGAAGGGGGAGGTGAGGTTGACAGCCAGGTATGGAGGTGGAGAGGGGGTGAGGTATTGACCAGCCAGCGGGGGGATTACCCAGTGTGCAGTTCTTTAAGGATTCTTATCAGTCATATAGAGAAAGTTTAACTTTTTCACTTATAAAAGTCACTGAATTGACTTGGGAGAATATAACTTACATTGTTGTAATTCTTGTAAAATGTGGATTAATTTCAATACAATTATGCTATAGTTTGCACTTGACAAAATTTTAGGAATTATTTAGTGCATTTCAGTACAATACGGGTTTGCCCTTAGGGCAGTTATTTCTTTTACTTTTTTCACACTATGTATTTAGGATGGTGTGTGCATGCAAATGAATAAAAATAAACGAAGAAAGTTACGTATATCTACCCAAAAATACACTACTCAACGCTTGTAACCATGCTGCCTTCCCAGCACCAAGCTGCATTGTACATCCAATACAATATGTATACAGAGAACACATTGTGAGTTTCCTTTCTCCATCCCATCCTGAGTGTGAACCAAACATCACGTACCCCACAACCTATCGCGCTAGCGGCTAACGAGCCGATCAGTGGTGAAGAGGATAAAAGTAAAAGTAAAAGCTAAGGAATAAAATGAAAACAGACACCATTAATGCATTACTTTACATTCACTTTGGCCTTAAAAGGATGTCAGAAACTTGCGTAACATATGACTTTTCAAATTATGGTCATAAGTATGAGTAGTCAAACAAAAATGCACCAGACAAGCTTCGACATTGTCCACTGAAGAAAATGAAGACGATGATGACGTGCTATACATTATCTTACAAGATATGTGAGTTTGTTGACCAAACTGGAGTGGTCCATGGAAGAATTGGCGAGGGCCACGGAAGAAATTGAGAGGGCCACGTTGGAGAACCTGAAATTAAAGGAAGAGCTGGCGAAATTAAAAGGGGAGCCAGTGTCTGACGAAAACTCAAGCGAGTGGAAGGTGGTGAGTAGTGGGAAGATGAAGCTGGTGGTAAAGAAGTACACCAAGGATACGACAACAACAGCTAAGTGTACCAACCCGTTCAGTCCCTTGATAGACGAATTGGACGTTAGTACAGTCAGGGACAGGGCTGACAAGGAAGGTATAAAAACTTTAATTGTTGGTGACTCACAGGTAAGGTACATGGACAGGGCCTTTTGTGGTAAAAACGAAAATAGGATGAGGGTGTGTTTGCCAGGAGCTGGGGTGGGGGATATAATTGACAGGATGGACAATATCTTGTCTGGTAATGGGAACAAACCCATTATCTGCCTCAGTGCAGGAGGCAATGATATTGGCCGGTGTAGGAGCGAGGAGCTTCTTGATAAGTTCAAAGCAGCTATAGATCGTATTAGGACTAAGGGAGGGATCCCTATCATATGCGGTGTCCTGCCTAGAAGGAGAGTTGGCGGTGAATGGTTGTCAATGGCGGTTGGTGTCAACGACCGTCTTGGCAGATATTGCAAGTCAATATCAGTCCCATTCATTGACAACTGGGACAACTTCTATGGCAGAAGGGACCTTTATGCTAGGGATGGAGTAGCAACCCTGGCTGGGGCTCTAGAGGGGGCAGTTCAAAAGATATCGAAGTCTTTAAACTGCTAGGAGAACATATGAGCACGGGGGTGGAGGAGACTGCAGTGGGAGTGGGTAAACAAAGTGAAAAATTACAGGGAAATAGTGTTAGGAATGGTGACAAAACTAAATTAGACAGGGAGTTTAAAACTAAACGCGGTAAAGGGAGGACTCAGAACACGACTAACTTAAATGTATACTACGCGAACAGTAGAAGTATGAGAAACAAAATGGATGATATTAGGGCCTTGGTATGTACCGAAAAAATCGATATAATAGCATTCACTGAAACATGGATCAACCTAGACACACGTGAGTTACCTGTCGAATACTAAATTGCGGGTTACAAATTGTTCCATACCGATAGGCAGACCAGGAAAGGAGGCGGAGTAGCAATCTATGTTAGGGATAATCTGAAGTGTGAAATAAATAAGGAAATAAAAACTGAGCGGAATACAGAAACAATTTGGATAGAATTAATCGACGGTAGGGAAAAATTAATCACAGGAGTAATATATAGACCTCCTAATCTTGATAAGAGTCAATGAGCGACTTATCTGGGATGAAATGCACAGGGCTTCCATACACAACAAAGTCTGTATAGTAGGCGACTTAAACCTTGGCCAAATAGACTGGACTGACCTTACGGGTAACTCAGAATCAGAGGATTTTCTCGGAACGATCCAGGACTGTTTTCTAAGTCAACATATAACCGAACCCACACGGGGGAATAATATACTCGATTTAGTTCTGTCAAACAGAGAAAACCTCATTAGCAGTGTCGAGGTAGGGAACGAACTTGCAAACAGCGATCACAAAGAAATTAGATTCCAGTTAGATTTTCAGGGCAGACATAAGGAAAATTCCACTAAAGTACCAGATTTCAGAAGGGCGAACTTTGACAGTTTAAAGAGGCAGCTGAGAGAGGGGGCGTCGCGCTTGGCCGTGAACCTGACAGATGACACCGACCTGATAACGAGATCTGAGATTGCTGAGTTCCACGACAATTTAAATAGTGAGTTACTTAATGCACAAAGGCAGAACATACCATACAAAAAACTCAGATCAGACAACAATGACCCTAAATGGATAAATAATTATTTAAAGAACATCACTACGTCAAAGGAAGTTGCTATAGGTAGAAGGATAAATCAGTACAAACTCACTGAATAATGAGGAAGGGTTAATAGTAGGGTTAAAACCTAGACATAGAAAGCAAAGAGGAATAATGAGGTAAGGATAGCAAGGAAGCAAATGAACCCCAAAGGATTCTACCAAATGTATCAAACTAAAACACGAGAAAAGATTGGACCAATACGGTCAGACACCGCCGAGCTCACTGATAACGACAGAGAAATGAGCAATAATATGAATAAATATTTTTCAACAGTTTTCACCACCGAAAATTTAAACATGATACCCGGGGCACAGACTTTATTCAGAGATAGTGAAGAAAACAAATTAAGCGAGATAGTAGTGACTAGTAACGATGTTAGTAAGCAAATAGACAAACTAAGGCCTAATAAGTCACCTGGTCCTGATGAGATATTTGCCAGAGTATTAAAGGAATGTAAGGAAGAGCTTAGTATGCCCTTAGCAAAGTTGTTTAACATGTCCTTAAAAACAGGTGTAGTACCAGAATCCTGGAGGATAGCGAATGTAATACCGATTTTCAAGAAGGGGGATAGATCACTATCCTCTAACTACCGCCCAATCAGTCTAACATCAATAGTAGGCAAATTACTGGAAGCAATCATTTCAAACTCTATTCGAAATCACCTGGAGAAGCACCGATTGATCAATGATTCCCAGCATGGCTTCACAAGTGGACGTTCTTGTCTAACTAATCTATTAACATTCTTTTCATCAGTTTTCGAATCGGTGGACGAGGGGCACAATTATGATGTGGTATATCTCGACTTTAGCAAAGCCTTCGACAGAGTCCCCCACGAAAGACTAATTAGAAAGGTAGAAGCTCATGGCATCAAAGGTAACATCCTTAAATGGATTAGGGCGTGGTTACAGGACAGGAAACAGCGAAGTGAGCATTAACGGCACTAAGTCCCATTGGAGCAACGTCACAAGTGGAGTTCCCCAAGGCTCAGTACTTGGACCATTATTATTTATTATATACATAAACGACATAGATATCGGCATAGACAGCAACATAAGTAAATTTGCTGATGACACTAAAATAGGACGTGTTATTAAATCTGACGAGGACTCAGCAAAACTACAGGAAGATCTAAACAAATTTTTCGAATGGTCTGAAAAATGGCAGATGAAATTCAACATGGACAAATGTAAAGTACTCAGTATAGGAGATGTAAACAGGGAAACCAGATACCAGATGAACAACGATGCCATAGAGAAATCCGACTGCGAGAAAGATTTAGGAGTAATGATAAGTAGGAACCTTAAGCCAAGTAAACAATGTGTTTTTGCTCGTAACAAGGCTAATAAAGTACTTGGGTTCATACAAAGGAGTGTTAGTTACAAGACTAGCGAGGTCATCCTAAAACTGTGTCTTGCTCTTGTGAGACCACACCTGGATTACGCAGTTCAGCTCTGGTCATCGTATTACAGGATGGATATAGAATCTCTAGAAAGAATTTAGAGGAGAATGACAAGACTAATCCCGGGCATTAGGAACCTTGAGTATAGAGACATGTTAAAGCATCTTAATTTGCACTCCCTCGAGAGACGTAGAGCGAGGAGCGACCTGATAGAGGTGTATAAGTGGAAGGCAGGGCTAAACAAAGAGGATATTACAAAGGTACTGAAACTATCCAACCAGGAGCGAACTAGTAACAATGGTTTTAAATTAGACAAATTTAGATTTAGGCGTGAAATAGGTAAACACTGGTTTGGAAACATAGTGGATGAATGGAACAAGTTACCAAATATCATTATTAACTGGAACACGCTGGATGAGCAATAGGGGTTGGGTGTAAACGGGACTGCCCAGTATGGACTAATAGGCCCACTGTAGTTTCCTCCATTCTTATATTCTTATATGTTACTAAAAGGTAAGAAAAAAGCGATTTGTGTGGAAAACATTAAAATACGTAGTTGTTTCAATTTATGTTTAGATATGTATGCTGTGAAGAGTTGTCAGTGTAGCCAATGTCTCTCCTCTTACTCCTGGTACAGTCATCTGGCAACACTGTCTCGTCGTTAATGTTTACTTTTACAAATAGTTGGCGGGCAAGACTCAACCTTATTACCTCTATTGTGGTTAGTATTAATAGTTTTATACCGTTTGTCATTGTCTGTACCTTAAGTCAAGTGGTGAAGGTTTAGTGTATGTAATCTAACTGTGTGTAATGAGTTGAGGTTAATGTATAGGACTAACCCACCAGGGATGAGGCCTTATCTCACGTCCATTAAATACCTCAGATTTCACCATATAGTAAGTCATTTCTTTTTAATATACCGGGGAAGTTAGATAAGGTTAGGTAGGTTTGGTTGGTTAGGTCTGTTCATCATACCCACAAATGTTAAGTAGCGTTTATTTTAAATATATCCTCATTTTAACATTTCCCTCGAGGGTTAGTCCTATATAATTACCTGATTTAAATTATAGTTTGTTATGATAGAAATGTTGAGCTGTTTTTGATATTAAAAACTGTAGATATTCCAGTTAGTCATCATATACGATCTTATTTGCCCAACATGTAGTTAGATAATGCTGGTATACAAAGTGTATGTACAGTAGACACTGCAGGTATATATACGTTAGGTTAGGTTAGGTTAGGTTAGGTTAGGTTAGGTTAGGTTAGGTTAGGTTAGGTTAGGTTAGTTAATTACTAAAATGATTATGTATGGTGCAAATGAATCAATATCTTACAAGAATTCCAGCAATGCAAGTTATATTCTCGTAAGTCAAGTCAGTGACATTTTATAAGCATTAATTTATGCTCCGTTTGTTGTGAATTAGGAAGAGGTTGAAGGGTCCATTGGCGGGGTAAAAGTGACCGCGCCATCCCCTCCCACAAAGGGTCGCCTCACTGTTTGTTAAAATACTGCCTCATTCATGATACAATAATGTTTATTTGTTTTTCATTAATTCGTACAGATACGTTACTGTAATAATCTATGCTTATTAATACGTGTACCCTTCATAAGCAATACAGTACACCCGCCTCTCATTTTACGCGGGGGTTACGTTCTTGAAAATCACCGCATAATTCAGAAACTCATAAATTAAACATATTTTTCCCATAAGAATGCATGTAAATGGTACAGGTTAGGGGAACCATCATATACCGTACAGGGTAACTCACAATAAATATTCTTTTACTTTACTTATTAATAAAGGAAAAACTATAGTAAATACATCTTAAATAACACTCACATTGACGACTGGCGACTTCTGCAAGACAAAGGCCCTCTGCCTCGGAACCAGCCTCCATTCCCGTACGCCGACCCATCTCTTCTACTAACGTAAGTGTTAAACCTAACCTTGATTTTTTCTAACCTACCCTACAGTATATTATTCTCTTATTGATTGTTCTCTTCTATATTATGTGTGTGTGCATACCATCATAAAGTTAAGAAGTTATTTTTACTACAACATAGGTATTGTGTCTGAAAAAGTGGAGTTTGGGGGTCAGCCCGGTCTCTATTTCAATTAATCCCATATGTTATGTTGTTCACTTTACGCGTTTCTCACTTTACGCGGGCCGCCGTGGGTTGAATTGACCGCTTAAAGTGAGGGTTCACTGTATTCTTTTTATGGGTTAACAAAACCTTTGACTTACTATCATTGTCAGAAAATATTTTTGTATTTCAGATGGATCAACAGTTGCAGAGATCTACAAGAAACCCTAGAGATGACATCTTTAGTTTTTACAATACAAAGTCCATCACCCCAAGAAGTAAGTCATTCATTATTACTCTATGAAACCAATCTTGTCAGTGGTAGATTATGCTTTTCACTGATCACTTCCATTACTGGAAAGGATGTCAGCCCACTATTGTTTTCCATTATCGATAATCTTGAAAGGTAAGCTCATAAATTGAAAGGCTTCTTTTGTTGTCAGATTTTATAGCTGTGTACAGGTTATCGTAAAGCATGCACTCCTAAAGTCATTTTTAATTTTTACATATATTTAATTAACCAGACTTTTAGATGAATTATTCTGGATTATTATAGTAAAGAAATGGAGTTTCTTACTTAATTAAAACTGCATTTATGGAACCCAGTAGTTTAGACTCAAGGAAAACATCCCCAGCACCCAGAAATGTTCTGGGGAAGTAACCAGAAAAGATTCCTTGGATAAGAAATTTTTCTGGGTTTGAGAAAGTCGTCTGGTTACATGGAAATCTCTCATCCTTTGAAGTGCTCTGCACCAATTGTTCCTGCTACCTGGGATATCACTGTATAATGAAAAGATGAATTCCTTACTTAGTGGTGAAAGCACTTATTGTGAGCTTAGAAAAGATCCCCTGGAAAAATGTTAATAAGTCATCTAAAAGGAAGGAGTTATTGAAAAAGAGCCCAAATCTCATTAAACAGTTCTCACAGATCAATCCCACTTTACCTTATGTGTGTGGATTGATCAAAACACATAAACTTATAATCCATTATGTCCTATCATGAGTTCTGTGGGTTTTGTTACTTACAAATTATCCAAGTGGTTGGTTAGGATGCTATCCTCTCTTACAGGTAAGATATCTAATTTACATATACAGGTTGTACCTCTCTAGTCCGGCATTCTGTGGTCCGGAAACTCCCGTGGTCCGGAACGATTTTAGTTTGTCCAATAGGTAGATAGGCAGCTTCTTTTTTTTTTTTTTTTACTTATCTGAATTATTATTATTATTACAGGAGTATTTAATTTTTGCCCCTCAGGCCCCAATGTGGGTCAGTGACTTGTGCCCGGATGGGCTAATACAAAAAAAAATAATAATAATAATAATAATACAATAATAATAATAATAATAATAATCTGAAAACCGAAAAATTCCGAAATGCCTCTGGTCCCAAGGATTTCGAATAAGGGATTGTCAACCTGTAGCAAACACCAAGAAATCCACACCAAACAAATTATAATTTTTAACAAAAATTTTAATTTTATATGGTGATTTTTTTTTTATTTTTTTTTTATTTTTCCCCCAATTTCCGTAAGGGCGGAGTTACAGGCCATATCACGAAATTATTGGTCATAATTTACAAATTTCGTAAGAGCAAAATTCCGCAACCCGGGGTTCGGTAACACGGGGGATGCTTGTACTTTAGTAATGACAAATAATACTAACGAAGTAATTCTTAGTTACTTACAGTACCATTCCCAAAATATTCACAATTATTTACATCTATACATAAGTATCGCCTCCTCTTTCATAATTGGTTCAATGGATTCAGTTTGTTTCACTATTATCGAACCTTATAGATCCGTTTTCTTTTAGTGACGACAGGTAATACTTCTGTGGGATTTTATATTTCCCACAGTCAGTACAAAACTGATATGTTCAGTAAATTTATTTGTCAGTGGCCCATGGTTAAAAATGCTTTAAAAGAATGTGAGTTAGATGTCGGGCAGATGATTAGTGGGTCTCATTTATTTTTTACCTGACTTGACCTGACTTGACCTGACTTGTTACGTCGCCCATTTTTATAATTTCTTTTTTCGTGTGCGGTGTAGGTGGTGTGTGGATTAGTGAATCCCATGTTATTGACCTGAACCCATTGTATGTAACTTAAGCCTCTCTCAGTCACTGTAAATTCAGTTTCCTCTGAAGATGTCTTCAATAAAGACGAAAGCTAGAGAGAGAGAGAGTGTTCCGACTTACGTACAAATCCGGCTTACGAACTTCCTCGGGAACGGAATCTGTTCGTATCCTAGGGATCCCCTGTATACTACTACAAGTACTGTGCAGGCTTGTATGGGGCCCTTAATAGATTACTTGCTGGCCACTAAGGTCTGTAGACATAGTGAGCAACAGTACTTACAGCACAGGTCACAGTTATTGGTTCTGTTGTAAAATTGGATTTAAGGATCCATCATTATTTAAAAGTTTTGAGTGACTGTGATCATCTTTCATTGTAATATGAAAATATTTCATACTTATGAGGATTTTATGTTTTACAGGAAAGAAGGAAAACATGGAGAAATTCCGACACATTATGGAAGAGATACACGGGCAACAGCGGAACTCGCTACAGAAGTCTAACTCCAAGCTGTCTGCTAAGAAAGAGATAGGCAGTCACGCCAAGCCGACCTCCTTGAGAGTCTCTCCGAGGTTTTCTCAGAAGAAAGGTAGTTTTTTCTTCATTATGTTTATATATTAAATGATGCCTCCAATTTGTGTTATAGTGTATGTGAGAATGAAGGATTGAACTTGAAGTCCCATCGTATGGCTGAGCCTGGAACCAAGTGACTTAATTAATAGTTCACTAAGTTATTGGCTTAGATGCAGGTCATGTTGGTTCCAATATTATGATTGCTGTGTTCTGTACTGCAGCCATCTCCTGAACACTGAGAGTAGAAGCAAATGTTCCCCATCGCATATTTGCCAAAAGCTGGGATTTAATTTTTCATTCCTCTATATTCTAATGACTTTTATTATATTAAGATTGTAAGAAAATTAGAGTTAAATTTCTTAAATGTTTCTTTATACAGTGTGAGTTTTGCCATTCATATACATAAAATAAAACTATGAATTATGTTTCTGATTTTTAGGTCCTATTTTATCAAGAAATCCCCAGGAGGCCCGGAGACATTTGGGCATCGTACAGTCATCACAGGTAACCCATTACATGTTCTTTCTGGTTAAGTAATTATATTGGCAGACTGGTAGCACTTAATTAGGTGAAAGGTAAGAACTCCTAAGACTGTCTGTGGTAAGTATTGCTTACATACACACACACACACACACACACTTATTAATAAATTTGTTAAAAGTAAAATGGAGGCTTACCACCTTCTCCACCCACCCTATCCCACAATTCACTCTTTTCCTAACAGTAATGGCAGAATATAATTTACATTGCTGGAATTCTTACAATATGATGATCATTTTCAATATAAACATCATGGATTTTGCATTAGACATACAAATTTTAGATCTAATGTAAGAATTTTGTTAACCAGAGCAAATATGTTATCTTTTGTGCAAGATATATGACATGTATATTCAAAATATTCCTGGTCTTGCAAGGAATCCAGCAATGTCAATTAGATTATCCTAACTTTAGTCTGAGGTATTATTTATTACGAAAAATGTAAATATACTGTACTGTTTTCACCCAAACATTTCTCAGAGGGAGGAGCCAGCGAGCATGGGAAGAGGGGGGGTGGGGGTTGAGTCCATTATTTGAATGGACATTAACCTGGCAACTGTATTTCTCTTAAATATTAATTGTGTGTGCATACTATCATAAAATTAAGATGTTATTTTTACTACAACATAGGTATTGTGTCTGAAAAAGTGGAGTTTGGGGGTCGGCCCGGTCTCTATTTCAATTAATCCCATATGTTATGTTGTTCACTTTACGCGTTTCTCACTTTACGCGGGCCGCCGTGGGTTGAATTAACCGCTTAAAGTGAGGGTTCACTGTATTCTTTTTATGGGTTAACAAAACCTTTGACTTACTATCATTGTCAGAAAATATTTTTGTATTTCAGATGGATCAACAGTTGCAGAGATCTACAAGAAACCCTAGAGATGACATCTTTAGTTTTTACAATACAAAGCCTATCAGCCCAAGAAGTAAGTCATTCATTATTACTCTATGAAACCAATCTTGTCAGTGGTAGATTATGCTTTTCACTGATCACTCCCATTACTGGAAAGGATGTCAGCCCACTATTGTTGTCCATAATCGATAATCTTGAAAGGTAAGCTCATAAATTGAAAGGCTTCTTTTGTTGTCAGATTTTATAGCTGTGTACAGGTTATCGTAAAGCATGCACTCCTAAAAGTCATTGTGAATAACGAATTTGCAAATATCAGGGCAATTGTCCCCATAAGAATCAGTGTAATTAGGGGGGATGTTTTTCCAGACAGCAACTTTCACCACTTATTTTTCGATATACACTCCTCATTATCCAAGGCTATTAGGGGCCAGGGTCGTGTGTATATTGTAGTACTGTACCAGTAAATGTGAGGACACGGGAGACTGGAAGGGCTGAGATGTTCAATGCTGTTCCCTCCTCCTCCCACGATCTGCTCGATAACTCCCATGCACGTAAGAAATGTTTAAGAAATACTTATGAGGATTTTATGTTTTACAGGAAAGAAGGAAAACATGGAGAAATTCCGACACATTATGGAAGAGATACACGGGCAACAGCGGAACTCGCTACAGAAGTCTAACTCCAAGCTGTCTGCTAAGAAAGAGATAGGCAGTCACGCCAAGCCGACCTCCTTGAGAGTCTCTCCGAGGTTTTCTCAGAAGAAAGGTAGTTTTTTCTTCATTATGTTTATATATTAAATGATGCCTCCAATTTGTGTTATAGTGTATGTGAGAATGAAGGATTGAACTTGAAGTCCCATCGTATGGCTGAGCCTGGAACCAAGTGACTTAATTAATAGTTCACTAAGTTATTGGCTTAGATGCAGGTCATGTTGGTTCCAATATTATGATTGCTGTGTTCTGTACTGCAGCCATCTCCTGAACACTGAGAGTAGAAGCAAATGTTCCCCTTATATTAAACTAGAGGGAGGAGGCACAATGAACACCTGACCTCACTTAGCCAATGACCACCATGCTTTTCTTTTTGTGTCGGCCATGATGGTTTTCAGGATTTGACTCCAATTCATTCCCAGTAAATTTCCACACTGACTCTGGGGGAAGCAAAGTTTTCAAGCTGGCTGGATCCAGACTTGGCCTTAAAATTTATGGCTAGTCAGTAAATTCTCAATAAAAACACGGTAATAATTTTCTTGAAAATACTGTGCCGAGTAATTTGCTGAACACTGAGAAATGGGATGTGCTCCTTTCTCACTAAAGGTCACCAAAGTCTATCCACAATAAAAGCTAACATTTTATAAATATTTTGCATCAGAGCCAAACAATGTGGACACCTTTATATCATTGTACAGTATATTTATAATGTATGTATAGTATTTAATTTTCTAGTTTAATTCTGAACATGTGTGAGTAATGAAGTATTGTAGCAGGAATAAGAGATGGTCACATGGTGATTTGTTGCTGCTGGAAGACCAGGAGTGGTAATGGGCTCGCTGCTGTGCTTTGTGTCTCATGCTTTTATTATCCTCTATACCTGTACTATACTTCTTAGGCACTACACATACTGTACAGGCATCCCTCGCTAGCTGAATAGGTTAGGTTCTTTGAAAGCCCTTCTGTTGTTGAATAGTAAATAATACAATAAATGGAAAAAATAGGGTTTGGTGATTGGCCAGCAAAATATATATTTTTGGGGGCCAAGTGTAATGTGTTTTGTTTTATTTTTGTGCTTTACAAAATTAACAAAACATTATAATGTATATGGTACAGTATTATACCTAGTACAGTAAGGATGACTTCCATCACCACACAAATAATACTGAGTAAAGGATTTGCAGCTCCACTATCAGAATATCACAACTTACTTTACCATATACTGCAAAGTGTAAAAAAAAAAATACTATGGGTCTTTTGACATTAGATAAAATCACATTAATTTTTGTAAAACAAGGCTTACCAACCTACAACCCCACTTATGCATAATCAACCTTTCTCTACAGAACTGCCAGATAATTAGTTGAATTTTCATATGAAGTGGTGATGAGTCCTTTATAAAGTTCTGTTGGGGCTTTGCCTGTATTGAGTCATAGCTATGTTATTCTGGTGAGGCTTTAATAAGAATATGATTATGAGAGAATATGCCGCCCTGTATAGTTCTGAACATCCAGGTGACTGGCAAGTTGACATACTTGTGTGAAACTACGCCTGGGTTGGATTAAATTCATTATCTTGGTTTAAATGAGTGAATGTCAATGTCCAACAATGCATGGATCAGAATGATTATGGTGCTGTACGTGACTCAATAATAATAAAGATAAAGTTCTTAATAAAGTAGGGACCATCAGGTGATGTCACAGCCCATGACTTTTATTATATTAAGATTGTAAGAAAATTAGAGTTAAATTTCTTAAATGTTTGTTTATACAGTGTGAGTTTTGCCATTCATATACATAAAATAAAACTATGAATTATGTTTCTGATTTCTAGGTCCTTTTTTATCAAGAAATCCCCAGGAGGCCCGGAGACATTTGGGCATCGTACAGTCATCACAGGTAACCCATTACATGTTCTTTCTGGTTAAGTACTTATATTGGCAGACTGGTAGCACTTAATTAGGTGAAAGGTAAGAACTCCTAAGACTGTCTGTGGTAAGTATTGCTTACACACACACACACACACACACACTTATTAATAAATTTGTTAAAAGTAAAATGGAGGCTTACCACCTTCTCCACCCACCCTATCCCATGTCGAAGTAAGATGTTTAACCTTGTTGTCAATCCTTAAGGTGTAGTGATTGTCATTAAGTTTACGGATGAAACTTTTGCGTGAACTGTCTTGCTCCGAGTCTTGCAAAAAACACAATTACAATGTGGGTAAATGATGAAATTGTCAAAGTACAGTACAGTAGTTTGTACACTACTGTACATACCATTCACCATTTAACCACAGAATTTTAATTCATACAGGAATGTTGCCGTACACTGCAGTTTGAAAGTGGAGATGAAGGAGATGGTCCAGAAGATCACACTGAACCTCTGAACATGATGGATATGACAACTGTAATTGTGAGTGTTTATGAAGATTTTGGCTCATATTTATTAATGATGTATATGAAATATTGGTTAAATAAATCTTCCATTAATTCATTACCTTCAGTATTTTAATAACTCTTAGTCTGATTATTCTAGTAAACAGTACCTTGATTTTATTTTCCTCTTGCAGCAGTTCACTCATATACTTTATACATTTGATTCTTAAATTGTTGGTACAGCATATTTGTTTTTCAGTCAGAAGCATCCATTCTCCAAGCCCCGTATCATCAACAACAGCCAAAGAAAATCCCAGAACCAGTTATAAAAAAGAGTCTCCTAAACTTAGCTGACACAAGTTCTGGAATGAGGAAAACTGGTTATAATCTTCGAAATAAAAAACTTCCTAACTACATCTGCCAGTCCCGTGTACACAGTGAAGAAGAGAGGAAAGTGATATTTAAGACTGGTATAATAGATGATGAGGCTAAGACTTCTCACTCCAGTATTGAGACAGTAGAGTCTAAAGAGGCTGTTAATGAGAGTAGCAATGAGCACACATCAACAATAAGTCCAAAGAAACTGAATAAAGAAGACAAAACTAATAATGCTTCCTGGAATGTTAATGAAAAGTTCTCAAAAAAAGTGAGCTTTTCTGAACAAAAGAGATCTGCAAGAAAAATTCCCAGGAGGAGAAGTGCCATTGCATTGAGAGTTAGAACACCAACCTATAAAAATAATAAAAATCCAAGACGTCGTAGCGCCTCAAAGCTACCCAAACCAAGTGATGTTCAACCAATTATTGGCAAACCAGTACAAAGACCTTCAGATAGATATAAAAGAAATGTAACTCATGTTGATACTGAAACTCCACTGCAGGAACCAGGAAAGGAAAATATGACTAGTACATGTATTCAGAAAGTTGATACATGTGATGCTGCAACCAACACACAAATTAAATTTATCATTGGCCAGAGTTCTGCTCCTCAACTTACAACTGAAATAGAAAATTTACTTAAGGAACAAGATGAAATTAATAAAAAGGCAAATTTGTTGATGAAGCAAAGTCATACAAGACGCCAACAGATGAAGGAGTCTGGTGTGGTAAGTGCAGTGACATTAAATATTTATGTTAATGCCATCAGTTGAAGGACTACTCCTGCATTCCTAATTAAATGCATTTGTCACTAAATGATTCCATATATATTAAACCCATGTTATTACAGAACTTGATATGATGTGCATTGTTTTTACCACAGTCTCTCTGTAAAGAACAAAAATAAGAAAAGAACTTCCCTCCTCTGATGAGGGAACTAACATCTCCTGTCATTAATAACAACCTAAGCTGCACTCTAGTTCTGTACAATAAACTGCAGGTGTTACTGCATTACAATTAATGAATGAATGAAATGAGAGAATAAGTTTTCATTAAGTGGAGAGAGAATCTTTTAGGGGAGGTAATAAGATGGCTGGGCTCTTGCATAATGTTTCAACACTTCTTTTTTTTACTATAAATTGTCAAATAAATTACAGTAAACCCTCAAGTAAACCCTCTCACACTACACATCCACTTCATCTCACACTGCACAACCTGAGAATCCACCCATGCCATATACATTTCTATGTTGGGACTTGGGAAGCTTTTAGAACCTTGAGGGAGGTTTGCAGATGTCCGGGGTGGATGGAGGCCGACCCCCTGTCATGGGTATCCATGATAAAAGGGTGAGGGTTTACTGTACAGTACAGTAAACCTTGACTTAGAGCAGTGCTGGTGCTGCACTCTGGGAAAACACTGCATTATATGAAATTGTGTTCTCAGAAGTATTGTGTCACAGGAAAACAGGGTTTTAGGACCACATGGTCACAGATTTCTCATAGACTTTATTGAATTAATAATAATTAAGCAAGCATAGACAAACATCAAGTTATGCTTGAAATCTCCTGATTCATCTGAAGACAGTGTTAGTGTAGGAAGATATTCCTCAGCCTTGGAAGCCAGGTGTTGCTCACATTGTACTGTATGTTGAGTAGCTATGTCTAAAATAAACATTTTTGTGGCTAAAGGTACAGTAATTGGCGAGGGCAATTTTTGTTTTCTTCTCACTTATAACATCACTAATGACCGTATTTGCTTAGGTGCTATTTTCAGTGATAAAATTTGCAACAATTTATCTTTGAATATCTCGATATGGTATATTTGTATAGGAAATAATAATGTTTCAATTTATTATACATAAATTCAGATTTTACAGTATATCTTAATCATCCAGTCTTAAGAATTATATGCATTTTGTAACTGAACAAGATTTGTTTATTTTATAACTTTTTTTTTTACAGATGGAAAGTTTTATGGCTTCTTTATCGCCTTTGAAAAGAATACGAATGATGTTGCAGAACAAGGAAGATTATGCTACAGAAAGCAATGATTCTCTCACCCCTAAAGGTTTGGTATGTATAATAACTTATTTTTGTTTACCATATATCTCGGCCTATAAGACGGAATTTGAACCATAAAAAAATCAGCCCAAAGTTAGGGGGTCGTCTTAAGCACCAAATATAAAATTCTTACCTCTTAAATATTGCGGTTTAGCGTGTCAAGAGTGGTGATGGAAACATGGTAAACCACTCACAAGGTCCTACCACTAATTATTTTATACTGAAACTTACGTTTGGGAAGCTGGATTAAAATTAAGATTACCGGTATATTAAAATAATAAAAATGTATTATAAACCAGTCTAACATACCGTAAAAGAACAATATACCCCGGTAATAAACACAGCTGCTATCATCTCACTCACACACACACACACACACACACACACACACACACACACACACACACACACACACACACACACACACACACACACACACACACACCCATTTGCCAGTGACAAGAAAGGGAAAGTGACCTTGACTGTGGTAGCCTCCCTTTTTTGCGAAACAAGTATATAAATTAAAGAAAATACTTGCAGTGTGTTTAATATAATATTATAAATAAATAAATAAACAAATAAATCGGTAAATCTATTTCAAGTACAGTAAATGGAAAAATTTTACTCACACCGACAATAGTTCCAGTTAAATAACAGATGCTTAAGTGAGTCACTAGTGTTTACACTACTGTACACCAGCCGGTAAAATTTGATGCCAATACTTGAAGTGAATTGGCCTTATTTTAAATAACCAACCATAAATAAATGAAAAAATGAAAAAAGATCAAAGGTGAGAAACATTATATTGTATGTATGTTGTGTTGTCAAAGGAAGAGAAGCAATTGAAACTCTGCAATTGTGTGTAATTACCCGGCCAGAATATAATTTACATTGCTGGAATTCTTACAATTTGATGATCATTTTGAATATAAACATCATAGATTTTGCATTAGACATACAAATTTTAGATATAATGTTTACTCTGACTAAATATGTCATCTTTTGTGCAAAATATATGACATTTATATTCAAAATATTCCTGGTCTTACAAGGAATCCAGCAATGTCAATTATATTATCCTAACTTTAATCTGAGGTATTATTTAATACTAAATGTTAAAATCTAGTTTTTCACCCAACATTTCTCTTGTAAGGAGGGTTGGAACGGACCGACCATCTGGCGCGGTTGGAAGAGGGGCGGAGGCAAGGTGGGGTACTTTGATTGACAGATAGTGTCGTGAAGAATATTTTTTTTATTATTAACTGAAGATATTTGTTTTAGCTCATAAAATTCATACAAATTACCCGGCCAGAATATAATTTACATTGCTGGAATTCTTACAATTTGATGATCATTTTGAATATAAACATCATAGATTTTGCATTTGACATACAAATTTTAGATATAATATTTACTCTGAGTAAATATGTTATCTTTTGTGCAAAATATATGACATTTATATTCAAAATATTCCTGGTCTTACAAGGAATCCAGCAATGTCAATTACATTATCTTAACTTTAGTTTGAGGTATTATTTATTAAAATCTAGTGGTTTTCCCCCAAAAATTTCTCAGAGAGTGAAGAGCCAGCAGTGTAGTGTGAGAAGAGGGAGGGAGTTGAGTCCATTATTTGAATGGACATTAACTTGGCGACTGTATTTCTCTATTTCTCTTAAGTATTAATTGTGTGCATGTACCATCATAAAATTAAGATGTTATTTTTACTAGAACATAGGTATTGTGTCGGAAAAAGTAGAGTTTGGGGGTCGGGCCAGTCTCTATTGGAATTAATCCCATATGTTCTGTTGTTCACTTAACGCGGTTTTCACTTAACGTGGTACCCTGTGGGTTCAATTGACCGCGTAAAGCGGGGTACTACTGTATATACATATATATATATATATATATATATATATATATATATATATATATATATATATATATATATATATATATATATATATATATATATATATATATATATATATATATATATATATATATATATATATATATATATATATATATATATATATATATATATATATATATATATATATATATATATATAGTAGGACTTAAGTAACGCGATTGATGAACAGGGGAACGCTGTTTGTAAACTGCGAACTTTTACATACGAATGTTGGCTATAGCGCGATTCCATCCTCAATGTTTTGATTCCATCCTCAACATCTTAAGCTCGGGGCGGGGTTATGCAATGTTTGCGGTTCACGTTCGACATCACATGTTCAATTGATTCGTGTCTTTTGTTTGTGAAGTGTCTTTTGAGATACGTACTCTGTAATTTTTTTTTTTTTTTTTTTTCTTTTTCTTCTTCAAATTTAGCTGTTACCCATAATTAATGTTTGAAACGAATAAGTAAAATGAATGTTTCGCAGTGAGGACTAATTACGGTTTACACCAGCGCTCTCTGTTTACATCACGTGATCAATTGAATCGCCGAGTTTTTGTCAATTGCTCCGTGATTTTCGCTATTTTCTCCAATTTTTTTGTGTTAGCGATAAATATGGAAAGACAAGATGAGAAGAATGTTTCCAAGAAGCGTTCTGGTGATTGAATTGCCTGTGGTGAACGTAAAAGAGGTTTACAAGAACGCAACTATCGCGTTGTAGCCCGCGCCATCCTAGAGACCGCCAGGAGTGTTATTGTGTGCTACCACCTGTCGAGTCAAGATAATGGCCTCTGCCTCTACTGGGGGTCCTACTGGTGCTGGTGGGGGTGGGACAAACCCACCTAAGCAGCCAAATAAGGAAAAGGAGAAGCGGGACCATCATAAGGGAGTTAAGCTTGCCAAGTAGTCGATGCAGGATAAGCAGCGTGTGATTAAGTTACTTGAGGAAGGTCTAAAAACTAGTTTCCGGAAAGCACAATCAAGTCAATAAAGGCAGAATTTGTATCATTTGGAGGTTGTAAATGGGAAAATCAGAGGTTGATGTAGAGTGTCCAGTCTATATTGTTATTTTTCCCTTTAGTTTATGTATTTGCATTTAGCGAATTTGAATTTGGCGCAGTTTTTCCAGTCTATATTACTCGCGAAGTACATGACCTTACTGTATTAATATTTCTTATTTTTTTCATAGGAAAATGATTTTGCTATGGATGAGACTATAATCTCTCATGGAACATCAGTATTCAGTGCGGCTTGCTGTGATGACACAAACACAAAGGCAGGTGGTTCTGTCACTCAAGACTCGAGTGTCCTTGAGTCTAGCATCTTAAACACAACAAACTATTTGAATGCAAGTCAGTCATATTGGAACCTTATGAAACATGATAACAGGTATGTTAGCAGTTTTAAATTTGTTTATGTTTAACAAAATATTGTCTTATGGGCAGAAAATGGTATTATATTATACTGTGTTAAAATAATATGGGATCATTCACATGTTTGTATATTGCAGTAATTTGGTTCGATTTCTTGTTTACAGTTTAAGGGGAGCATCTGGCTGAAGCACGAAAATCGTTATTAATTTATAAACAATATCAATTTCCTGTCAGCAATTAAAGACACCAGATACATTGTTGCTATAATACCCCTGAATCGATTCTGCCTAATCCCTAATCCCTGATTTTTCCCCTTTATTCATATCATTTTTCAAAATCCTACTTCTCCATAACTTCTTGCTAAATTATATTGAAATTAATGTGGAATATTGGTAATTTACTCTTCTTGAACATAACATGTATATATGTATATATTTCTGATTATTGCTTTCTTTTTGGGTGCATGAATTTTTTCCCTAACTTACCATTTTTATCTCCAAATATTTGTAAAGTTAAATCAGTAAATAATGAACCAGGCCAAATATAAAGAAGACCTATATGTTATGCCATGCACAATATGTTATTCTGCTACATAGTTTTTGTTTTATTAGAATCAGCCCATAAATGGCTGAGCCTTAGGAATTTGAAGGTTAGAAAACCTTGTTCTGAGAAGCTGGCCAATAAATGTGGCGTGAGAGCAACTCACGATTGCACCTAACTTTCATATGTTTGATGGGTCACTGACTCTCGTGATGACGGTCTCCCTGGCTAGCTAGCTGAGAAAGGTGCCAGATAATGATTTTTACCAAGTGATTGGTATTACTTTACACCAAAATATTATTATAAATACTTTTCTACAGCATTTGCTATGTAAGCAGAAGGGCCTCTAAATGAAGGGGGGTAGAACAATCATGCATAGCTACATAGATAATATGAATTATGCAATAAACACGTCAGTATATAGCCATAGGCAACAGCTTTCCTGAGGATTTTTTCTGTATACAGTGAACCCTCGAAGATCTGGACTCGGTAAATCCAGATTTTGGAAGACTCGGACAAAAAATTTGGGGGTTCTGAGCTAAGAAGCCTCCCTAAGAAGCATTCTCAAAACAAAGCAAAGAACATTTTAGGGTCATGGGTGCTGTTTGACCCCCCCCCCCACAACAACAACAACCATGAGTATGATGTGTGATTATCGCAGGGGGACGTCGGATATGGAGGATACAGGCCTGACTAATGCAACGTTTAGGAAGATGCTAACTGCCGTAAAGCATGAAGGCTGTTGCTGGTATTGCCCTGACTGCATACTCAAGGTGAAAGAGGCGATTGCAAGCCATAAGGGAACGAGTTCCCTAGGGACGAAAATAGATGAAGCTTGAGCCTTGCTGGTTGCCAAACTAGAGCAAGTTGGGAAAGAGATCCTTGCTAAGACTGAGGAAGTAGCCAATAGAATGGAGGTGGTTGCTAAGAGGAGTTATGCTGAGGCATTCTCAGCTGACTGCAATACATAACTGTAATCACGTCTTAACATTTGCGATGGAGGTTGGGTGGGAGATTAGTAGGTCATGTTACTGATCTGACCTAATGCAATATCAGGTCACTCATTGTTGGGGTGAGGGATTTGTGTGTCTTATGACGTGAAGATGTCTTGAATAAAGATGAAAGATATGGTGCTCCAGTGTTTTCCACTTATTGAATGTACAGTATAGTGCACGTAACTGTAATCACTTTATACGTTCTTAACACTGCTTTTAACACTCTATTCTTAGCTGAATTTGTTCTGATACAGTTATGTACAGCACTGCACAGCACAAACTGTACACAAAACAGCAGCTATCAAGGGAACAAGCTTCTACAATGGCAGCAGAATATGAACTAAGCGATCCAAGCAGATGGGCCACCCATGCACCTGGCATGTAGGAATTGGTTGGAGCATGATGCAATCTTTTGGAATGTCCTGAAAATTTATTCCCACAGATTTTTTCTTGAAATTTTCTGAAAATGCACCTGATTTTCAACCTTAGAATTTGTTCCCAAACCCAGAATTCAGAGATTTTCTGGAAAAATTCAATGCAAATTTCAGTTCTGTCAATAGGAGAGTTCCAGGTTTGAGGGATTCTGGCTAAGGAAGATATTTAGTATGTGTTTTTACCCAGGTTGTGTGTATTATATTACATGAATCAATTTTGTATTACTGTACTGTATTTGCATTGTTTTTCTCAGATTTTTACGAACACCATCCAGTGTTCCAGCAAAGAAATTTATCAACCAGACACCTGTTCAAATAGAAGAAGAAGATGAACAATTTGAAAATGAAAAACCATGGGATAAGTCAACATTCACAGAGCTAGCTGGTAACTGCGAGCGTCCTTCTCTGGCACCCATGACACCCCACTCTCGTCAGCAAGTCTCTCAACTAAAGTTATGCCTTAGGAAACAACTAGAAGACTTGTATGATTAATCTAAGGTGGCCAGACGGTAAACTGGTACTCTCCTTTGGATAAATCTGTAAGGGTTCTCATTAATCTTTTGTATAAATAATCTTTTCATCCCATTTAAAGTATATTAGTTAATGAGATTGTGTATGTATATGGTAGTTTTCTCAAAAGACATCAAAATAGATATATAAATATCCTCCTGTATTTTCAATCAAATAATTTTTTTTACCATGTGAAAAACAGATGGCCTACTATTGTTTCTTATATGAGTCTCTTTTATTTAAAGGATGTTTCATTACTGTACATTAAATATGAATTAAGTAGCTGTGTAGGCTGTAAATATGCACAGGTTGAAAACCCAGATCTCTGAACCTTGACTTAGACTGACATTGAAAAATCTAATAAGTTAAATGCTTACTCTATCCTTCACCTTCATAGAAGGATTTCAGAGGATATCATCTTGGCAAAGAGTACCTGAAAAGGGAGAAGGCGTAAAGGTTTTGCTGTCAAATGTAGACATACTGTAGGTGGTCTAATATGTATACTTGTTTGTTGGTGTCTGCTGAAAAGTTTTCCCTTTTGTCTATGGTAAGTTGGTTATGAGGCTAACACTACTCCCCCCCCATACACTGAGAATATTAAGCCCAGTACATGTATCAGGTTATTTTTCATAAGCATATTGTATATTAGATGTGGGATATGGTCTTTGGGTTCTAAGGAGATATATGTATCTGAGAGGGACTTATGGCATGGAATTTTAGGGAAGTTCCACTTCAGACATTAACACCAAAAATCTTTACTAAAGGAATATAAAATATGCATGCACTGTTCTCTTTAAGGTTTTATGTGATCCTTTATTTTTTATGTTTTTTTTTTTTTTTAACGGGAATCCTTAAAAGGGTTTTGATAGTCGGCTGGTCAGATCCGGGTCATTCAGTTGGAGCAAACTAGGTTGTTGCTATAAGTGAATTGTCCTCCTTCCCAGAAGTCTGATCTACCCATTCTGCAGCACAGTGGTGTCTTCCATATTGGACTTTGGTCCGATGCCTAATTCTAGGTAATGTAAAGGGATCTTAAATATAGGCTCCTTTACAAATAATGCTCCCATTGAGCTACTGCAATTTGCTGACTAACATAACCTTGTAACATAAAGTGTATTATGAGGTTTTTCATTGGTAATTGTCTAGTTATGTGAATTGGCTTCATCATATTGCTAATTATGATCTGCATTAAGGAATTAGTATCCATTTTACAAGTATAGGTAGTGTTGGACAAGGGTGCATTTGCATTAGGTTAGGAGGTTGGGGGTCCATCCACACCACTGTTGTTCATGAATGACAGTAGACAGACAGTACATCACCTTGTTACTAATGGTGGGGGGCAACTTGCCAGTACGATTAACTTTTGGCCTGGGGTTTTCCTAATGGTTGTGCTGTGAATTAATCTGCACTGAGAAGTTAAGTTGTATGACCGAGTCTGGATTCAACAACTAGTATCCTTTCCTGTTCCCTTTGGAATGCTGACAGGAGCTGACTCTGAAGAGTTCTTTGGGACCTAAAGTTTTTACAGTTTATGTTAATGAATCATTTATGTTAGAGATCCTTTATTTACCAAAAAATTCTTCAACCTTCTCCCTTTTCTTACCAGGTGGATAATCCTTCAGGGTCATAGTACAGTATGTAGGAGAAGGTTAATATAATTTGTAATTCAATGGATTTTTTAGTTCCCAGAACTTTCTATTCTGAGAGGCATCAGATATTCAGTAACCTAACAAAAATAATATATGTTTTTCATTTTAATTAATAAAATCAGCTTTTAGTATATTTGGACTTTTTTTTTTGTATTTACTTTTAATCTAATACATACAAGTATTTATGTACGATTTTATAACCCCCAAAAATATATACAGGTAATTAATGTTACAAGTTAATGGAGATAATTACAGTAAAACTAAAGTTCTTATACTGTAACTAATTATCAAGCCAGAATATTTATAAACCCAATCTTTTAGCTAAGTTATAATGGGGTGAAAACTTTGGCAGTGTTAACCAAGTACAGGAGGTCCCCGATTTATGAACGCCCGCCAATTCCGAACAGGGTTAAACTTAAAATTTACAGTACGTACAGTATTTTATTTACCTGATGACTTATTTTTTACTTTCATTCCTCTAATTTGTCATTCTATTTCTTCTTTGGTCCTAAATTAAGTGATTTTAGATGTATTTAAGGACTTAGGTTATGATATAGTGGGATTTTAAACATTGCTCTGTAAGTACGTTATGAACATAGTATGTGTTCCGACTTAAGAACGTCCTCTGGAACAGAACCTGTTCGTAACCCGGGGACCCCCTGTACCAGTAAACTAGTGAGGAATACTAGTGTTACAAGTGTGAGAGCAGCTGTAAGAAATATACCAAAGACTATAAAATACTGTACAGAAGATAGGAAAGTGGGTCCTCTAAGCACAGCATAAAATGCGCTGTCGATCAGGGACGACATCTTTTTAATTTCCAGTACAGTTCTACTACTATTACAGATGCCAGACAATTCCAGATGCACATTGTTACTAGATACTTCAAGATATTTAATCAAATGTACCCTGTACCTCAATACAGTATATATTTTGGGTTACATACTTATTGATATGTTTATCCAAAGGCAGATCCAGGGGGGAAGGTCTTGGGAGTTTGAACTCCCCCCCCCCCCCCTTTTTCATCAGAAAATTCCAATCCTTTTTCTTTAATGCAGTTATGTACTCCTGCAATTTTGTATCACAATATTTTATATATTTTTCTAAATGTGTATTTATTGCAGTTAATATGCAAACCCAAACATCACGTACCCCACAACCTTACACAAGGATGTAGGAGGGGGGGGGGTGCCCAATAAAAAAAAAATCGATCTAAGTGTCGGACATAATTTTTTTGTCTTAATCAATATTTTTCAACAAATGAACTTAAAAATGACATGTACATAACATAACATAATGTTTGTTTATGTGTCATCCTACTCATTACTGCTTGCGGTAACACCTACAAAATTAATTCGTCGGGTGTAGAATCCTGCCATTTCACAAAAGACATACCATTGTCATGGAATAATATCATGGACATAGCATGGAATTGAGATATAAAAGGTAATGGTTATAGAATTCTGTCAGTGATATGTGTTCTTATGGAAAATATGAATTCTAAACCTGAAGAACATTGGTGATAAGCTTGTTCAGGGTAATGCAAGCTTAATTATATGTATTTTGTTTTTCTTTTCAGAAGAACCATCCAGACATCTATGCAAAGCTCGATGATCCAGTAGCTGATCCAAAACAACACCCCATGAATAAGTTCACAAGAAACAGTACCGGTACCAAGTGGAAATCCACCGACTTACGACAGATGGAACTTACTAATTGTATCTTGGCATTTATTGTCCATGATCTCCTTCCCCTATCTCTGCATGGAAGTGAGCGATTCCGCATACTCATGGCAACTGCAGAGCTGATGTTCACAATGCCCAGTCGTAAGCATCTGAGTAGTGTGATTCAACCACTGTTCAGACAAGGTTGAAGACCCAGTTATAAGTCCAGAATCTATATCTCACCATCGACCTGTGGTCCAGTAGGGATATGAGGTCATTTATAGGTGTGACTGGTCACTTCATCCTTGACCACGCCATGAATAGCGTATGTTGGCATGTCATCGCTTTAAAGGCTCCCATACTTCAGACAATATCTAAGACATATATCAGGAAACGGTGGCCTCCTATGATGTTGGAAGTAAAGTAACTACCATAGTTACTGATAATGCAGCAAATATGGTGAAGGCATTCACCCTATTCCCAGTGGAACAACTTGATGATGATGAGTTTGATGATAATGACTGTGATATCCAACCACATGATGACACTACAAAGTTTGAATGTCTACCCCCAAACTGTAGTCCATGCTTCGCTCATACTTTGCAGCTAGTGATGAAAGATGGCATGGAGCAAGATGGCCAAATCGAGCAAATTCTTGCAAAAGCATCAAAGCTCATCAGCTTCTGCAGGAAATCAACAGTGGCTGCAGAAGTGCTCTCAAATGAATTCAAGCTCCAGAAAGCAACATGTACATGCAGTGTTAAAACTATTCAGCCTCAGCTCAGTGGAGGTCTGGGTGAAAAATTGCCTTGGATTATTCGGCTTGTCACGTAATTTTTATCTCAAATTATTAATTTTTTTATAGTGTTTAATATTTCATATTATCAATGATAAAACACTCCAGCCAGCCAGCCTCCCTCCTCAGTGTCTCACACATAAAAAGACTTAAAACTCTTAGATGTGGTATTAACAAATAACTGGCCTTGGGTTAAAAATGCTATGAAAGCATTTGAGGTGGATGTAGGTAAATGATTAGTGGATCTCCTGTTTTTGACCTGACCTGTTATGTCACCCAATTTTTTATGTTATTATTTCGTTTGCGGTGAAGGTTGTGTTTGGATTAGTGGATATCATGTTACTAACCTGACCTGAAGTTATGTATGTAAGCCTCTGTCCTTGTAAATTCAGCTGCCTCTGAAGATGTCTTGACTAAAGACAAAAGCTAAGGTGCTCCAGTGTTTACCCTTTTGTGTGGTTTTACATGTTACTGGTAAGTTTCCTAAATACTCCCTACTAAAATGTGGTGAACCTTATATGGTGTTTTGTATAGAATTATTTATTGTTTTTATACATTTAGTGCATTTGCCATAGGCTGAAGTAGGCTTTACTGTATAATGTGTCTGAGGTGTCTCTGTAGGTGTGAGCGTACCAACGGAATTATTCTTGATTTAGCGAACTAATTCACCAAATCAAAAAAAAATTCCTTCAGCTAAATCAAGAGTTCGTTATATCGGATTCCATTAAATCGAGAGAACGTAAACTGTTCATTTGGGCTGTACTGTAGAGTACAAGATTCAGCAATAACATTAACAGTAGTAATTGCAATTTAACTTTATTTCATGGTTTCCTAAAGACAAATACGAAGTCTTACTGTTTAGTTTTATTTTAATTTTATACAATTGTATCTTACTATGTACATGACACATTCAGAAATGTATAAATACAGTTTAGGATAAAAATAACCTAAGTTTTTTATTCCAGACAAACATGTACTAAAATCTTGCCACTGTTAAATTTTAACTTGTTTCCTGCTACTGTGCAGAAGTTACATGGATAAGATATCATATATCTTATGTCGAAAGCATTCTGCACGGCAGCTTACCAAATTATAGAGCAAGATATTACCTACTCAATAATTTCAATAGTCGAGATGAAATGTTTGGAATCGGGCCATGAAAAAGCCTTGATTAGGATTAGACTTCCATAAACCTAATATTTTTTTTTTCAAGTCTAAGTATAATGTTCAATTCACATTAGGTCTGAGATTTTTAAAATGTGGGAGTCAAATATGGAATGCTGAAGGAACACCTCATGCTTGCTTTGCCTCGAGCTTCAATCTGAGTGATTCTGGCATTGATGGTGGTGGTGGACGAGGCAGTCCTAAGGTTACTTTGACGGCATCATAAATGAACCACTGAAGAGCAGTCAAGGTACCAATCATGATGATACGTGGGAAGAGACCCTTCCACAGACCTGTGGGCAAAATAATGATTACTAATACAGTACTGTACAGCATTTGGAATATTTACCAAAAATAAGGACTTTTACTTTGCATATAAAAGTTGACATGCAGTCTATCACTTTGTACCACCAAAATTAATTATATTCCTCCCAAGATTTAAAATGTAATAAAAAATTAGACTCTTACAAAAAGCCAATTCAATTATAAATTCATGCATTAATATTTACTTCTATAAATTTTCAATAATAAATTACAATGGCCCTTACCCCTCATGCCAAGTTGCTTTGCAACAGTAACTGCCGTTGAACCACTATCTTGGTTGAGCTTTGAAACAATGGTGTCTGCTGGGTGAGAGACAATAGCACAGAACACTCCAGCAATATAACCAGCAGCAAAGGTGACCACCAACTGCTCAGATTTGCTGCACTGGTCACGAGGCTTAGGTACCACATATTGATACAGTGCTTCCACTGTACGTTCAAAGCAAGCAAACTTCATCATAGTGTATGGAATCTGTCGCATCCACAGAGGGACTACACCCTTATAGAAGCCCCACAAGCCTTCCTGGCCATATATAATAGGAGCTGCACTACGCAGAGTTGACGCAAAGCCAGGCTGGGTCTGGATACGCACCTGAAGAAAAAATAAAATAATAATAATGATGATTAATGTCTAAAACGACAGCAGGTAATGATATACCTTACAGGGAACCCATGCTTGATGTAATCATTTCACCAATAAAATTTTAAGTTCACTAGGTGTAATTCAAGATTATTTTATTTAAATCAACACTGCACTGTGCTATATATTATCAATATGTTAACTAAATTTCAGAACGACCAATAATTTCAATGTAAAAATGCAAAAATATTCAAGACACCAACAAAATAGATGTTCACTCCACTCTCAACAAAGCCAAACTGACGCCTGGTGACTGAGTCAAGCGGCTGATGGGCGCACAAAAAACCAGTTCCCTGTACTGCATATATTATCAATATGATAACTAAATTTTAAAATGACTAATAATTTTAATATAAAAAATGCAAAAAATATTAAAGAGCACAACTATCTTGATATTTACTCAACTGGAAATGAATGTAAACATAGAACAGATTACTGAATTGGCAGACGCCCATCAGCTGATGCTTACAACAAAACGTGTTGTTCGTAAGGATTTCGTTAATTGAAGTTTTGTTCGATAACCGAATTGAAGATCCTTATGGGAGGTAATTCGTTAAACAAATTTTTTTTAATCAAACCGTTTGTTAACCGAGGGACCACTGTATATATTTCTTTGGGTTGCCAAATGGCAATTTTTTCCTAGTAAAAATTACTGTCTCTGTAACGAATGGCTCCCTGTCCCGGCCACAAAAAATGCCGGCAACTTTAAAACAAACCGCTGACTTTCTTGGGTACATTCAGGGTGCCATCCGCGAATTGTCAGGGCATGCTGTAGTTTCAATAATGTATGAGATATACTTCTAACATATTACAGTGTATTGTATTCATTATTCTTGATATGGCTTAATAGTGTCTCCCCAGTTAATCAGTATTGTATGAAGGTTGATAAAATATTATAACATTTACCTTGATTGCTTCCATTGGAGAAAGTGCAATATCAGCAAAGAACTCTGCAGAAGCTGAAGCAGCCAGGTAGAGAGAAGTACGGTAGAGGTATGAATTCTCTTCACCAATAAAGTTGCCATACAATATCTTGAATACTTCATAGAAACCAAACTTGCAGATGCCTTGCATGGAATAGCCAATACATGTGGGAGCCCAACCTTTGGCTAGACCACGTACACCTTCCTCTCTAATGGATACCTGAAGAATGACAAAAAGTTATCACCACAATCAAAACTTAACATAAGAGTTAATCTTAAAACACTATAACCCAGGTCAAACTTGTGTACATTGTATCTTATATTTACTTTTACAAATTCAAAATGCACACACTGCCATTATACAGAAATACCATAGTTTTTAATACCAATGGCCTTCACTGCAGGGACCAATTATAAAGATTTATTTAGTTTTCTCACATTTTCCTCAATGAAACAACACATCTCAGTAATTTGTACCAAATCTTTCTAAAAAAAAACTGAAAATTCCATCACCAAAGGTACACTTGTAAAGAAATTTAATTTCCTTTATTAGCCATAAAAATGTCATTAGTTAAAAATATATTTATCTTCACTTACAGAATACAATCTTAAATACCCCAAATTTCAGAATAAATATGAACAAATTTACCTCTTTATGAACTGATATGTTCCTGTAAAATCTTAAAATCGTGTACAGTACTGTATAAAGAGAAACATTCAACCAAACAACCTTACTGTAACTCGAGATGATTCCTACATCGGGTAATCTTTGATTCCCTCAGAGTTGCAACCCTGCCTTGCCAACTGTGGTGCTCCAAAATCCTAGTTATAATGCCCAGTACCCACTGTAAAAATGGGTTGGTGATAAGAAGGGCTTCCATCCAGGGCTGTGGAGTCGGAGGAAATTTCGGCTTGTGGAGTCGGAGTCGGTAAAATTGTCCAGACTCCGACTGAAGCTATTCTGTTCCTAAGAACAAATACATGAACTCAGGCATATTCATTGCAGTGATTCCACTGATCCCACTAATTTTCTTAAATTATTAAAAGAATTTATTTCCATTTTATAAGCATTATTATGAATTTATTGTAGCAGGCACAGTATAGCACTATAATTTTGGACGATAGTCTTCTTTACCATTTGAAATTTTGAATTATATCAAATTTTGTTTCGTTGAAAACTGCAGAGGCTCTCAGCTACAAAACAATTAGCTACAACCTGTTTTTGGTGAGATTAAGGCAAATTTAATTTAATAACTTAATCATGTAAGGTTTATCCATTTTCCTTAATAAGGTATTCATTTCTTTAATGTACATAAATATATAACTTTACTTTAAAAGGAATTGTAGGATCATCATTTAGATCCACATCAGATTATGAGCTTAAACAAAATTCATATGCTGAGATCGAACTTTTAGATATACATGTAAATGGTGTTTTCTAGTTAATATCTAGAATTCTTAATATATTTATTTTTCTTTTGATTGAAACTTTGAAAGTCAAGCCTATCATCTTTTTGTAGTTCTTAAATATTGTCCAGATCATTAATAAAGCTGTAGCAGTATAGCCACGGTGTTTTACTTTTTACCTATGCAGGTTACAACATACAAATTACAATTAGGATGGTAGAAATAGTTATTACAAATAGGCCAAGGAGTCGGAGTCGGAAGCATAAAAATTTGAGGAGTCGGAGTCGAAGGTTTTGTCTTCGACTCCACAGCCCTGGTACCTATACTGAAATTTTGAACAAAATCCATTTTTTGGCCGAAAATGACGAAAATCGTAAGTCTAAAGTCTTAAAGGATTTTTGGCCAAAAATACGTTTTTTCTCCGAACTAAAATTTAATGTGCCTAACTATTTAAGTACATCCAGAATAATACGCTCCATACTGAAATTTTGGAACAAAAATCATACTTTTTTACGAAATTGACAAAATTGTAAAGACTAAAGCTCAGATTTTGGCCAAAAATGACGCTTCTGAAGGTAATTTACAGCTTAACTATTTAAGTACATCCAGAATAAATATGAAATGACCTCGAAACCCGTAAGTAGCGAGAATTAGCATGGCAGCAAAAAGTTACTCACAAATATTTTAAAAATCACGGAACATTTTTCAAAAAGAATGGAATGTTATAATCAAGATATCAACCTAAAGGAATATAGAGATCCTGCTGAGCATTATCTAGAGTACCTATACTGAAAATTTTGAACAAAATCCTATTTTTTTGGGCTTTAAATGATATACCTGTGGTGTCTAAAGCTCATGATTTCATTAAAATACTTTTTTCTCTGAACTAAAATTTAATGTCCTCAACTATTTAAGCACATCCAGAATAATACACAAGCATCAAACAACTTCGAAAACCCATAAGTGGCGAGTAATTAGCATTGCAAAAGTACTCTCAAAATATTCTCAAAACTATTTGTTTATTTTCAAAAGCCATTTGAACAAGTTATAATCAAGATATCAAATTTTGGTTAATAGATCCTTACAGCACATTCAGGAGTAATTTGCTCGAAATTTTGAACAAAATCCATTTTATTGAAATGACAAAATTGTAAGTCTAAGTCTTTAAAGATTTTTGGCCAAAAATATTTTTCTCTCTGAACTAAAGCAAAATTTAATAAACAACTATTTAAGTACATCCAGAATAATACACAAGCACCAAGAAATGACCTGAAAACCCATATGGCGAGTAATTACATTGCAAAAGTAATTAAAATATTCTAAAATCATTTGAACATTTTCTAAAAGCCATTTGAACAAGTTATAATCAAGATATCAATTTTGGCTTAACAGATCTCACAGCACATTCAGGAGTAATTTATACTCGAAATTTCTTGGAACAAAACCATTTTTTGGCCGAAATGACGAAATTGTAAGACTAAAGCCTGCACACTTTTGGCCAAAATACTTTTTCTCTCTCTGAACTAAAATTCTAATGTGCCTAACTATTTAAGCAATAATCTCAGAACAATACACAAGCACCAAGAAATGACCTCGAAAACCCATAAGAAGCGAGTAATTAGCATGGCAAGTAATTTAAAATATTCTAAAAATCATTTCAATATTTTCTAAAAGCCATTTGAAATAAGTTATAATCAAGATATCAAATTTTAAGTTAACAGATCCTGCTGTTACTATCTAGGAGCACTATACTGAAATTTTGAACAAAATCCATTTTTTGGCCGAAAATGGCAAAAATTGTAAAGTCTAAAGCTCCAAAGGATTTTTGGCCAAAATACGTTTTCTCTCTGAACTAAAAATTTAATGTGCCTAACTATTTAAGCACATCCAGAATAATACAAGCACCAAGAAATGGACCTCGGTTCCATAAGTGGCGAGTAATTAGCATTGCAAAGTAATTAAAATATTCTAAAAATCATATTTGGAATGATTTTCTAAAAAGCCATTTGAACAAGTTATAATCAAAGATATCAAATTTTGCCAATGATCTTCAAGCAATATTCAGGAGTACCTATACTGAAATTTCCTTGAACAAAATCCATTTTTGGCCGAATGACGAAAAATTGTAAGGACTAAAGCTCTTGTATGATTTTGGCCAAAATACTTTTTTCTGAACTAAAATTTAATGTATTTAACTATTTAAGTACATCCAGAATAATATTAGTTGCCACCAAGAAATTAATTGAAAAAACCCGTAAGAAGTAGTAATTAGCATGGCAAAAAGTAATTAAAATATTCTAAAATCATTTGAACATTTTCTAAAAGCCATTGAACAAGTTATAATCAGATATCAATTCTTGCTAACAGATCCTTGTTGTTAATATCTAGGAGTAATTATACTGAAATTTTGAACAAAATCCATTTTACGAAATGACAAAAATTGTAAGTCTAGCCTTAGCGATTTTTTGGCCAAAATACTTTTTTTCTCTCTACACCTAAAAATTTAATGTCCCTAACTATTTAAGTACATCCAGAATAATGAAGCACCAAGAAATACCCTCGAAAAACCATAAGGGCGAGTAATTAGCATTGCAAAAAGTACTCAAATATTCTAAAAATCATTTGAAACATTTTCTAAAAGCTATTTGAACAAGTTATAATCAAGATATCAAAACCCATAAGTGGCGAGTAATTAGCATTGCAAAAGTAATTAAATATTCTCAAAACTATTTGAACATTTCTAA